ATCTTGCTTACTTTTTTTCTTGTTTAGAATTAAGCATAAAACTTAAAATGACATATAATTCAAGTTATCAGTAATGTATACCATTAGGCTCTTTGGACCAGAGTAGGACATGAAAAATCAATAGTTTTTTGTAATGAATAAAACAAATCCAAGCTCAGGAAGGAGAAGTGGTTCGAATTGAAGATTTATTTTTGTGTTGAATTCCATTCATCGAGAAAAGCCTTGACATCAATTTGCAACCAATGGGAATGAAAAAATGGCTGAAAATGCGGAAAAAACGGGGGAAAATATTCATCATTAGGGGCAGAAATAAAAAGATGTGTATGGATGTATATATGTCTATCTTTTAAATCACGCTAACCGATTTTAGGGTGATCAAATATTAACGAAATTAAGGAGGCTAAATTATAAACTTAGGGGGGGGGGTCTGTTTTTTATTTTAACTGGGGGGGAGCATATATTAGTATATATTTTTTTTTCTAATATCTTTTTATTTTTAAAATTAAAAAATCATTTTTAATTGTAAAATTACTAAGCACGGGAAAGTTTGTTACTTTTCTGACAAGGGGAGGGGGTAAATAATTGTAATAAATCTGCTTACGTAATACTTGAACGGCCCATTACTACCAATTATTTGGAGTTTAACATAAACTATTGTCCAATCATATACTATAATTGTGTCTATTTTTACTGGATTTATTGAACTATCTAATAATCAAACTTATATGTAGTTCGTTTTGTATATCTTTTAACTTTCAAAAAAATGACCTTCAACATCATTATCATCTTATTTTGCTGCACAGTAAGGTTTGAATGGAACAATGAAGCATTCCGAGTGAGTCGCACATATTACGATCCTTTACTTCACCGTTGCAACATTCGTATCGCAATAAAGACAATCGCCGACTTATAGAATTCTATAGTCCAATAACGTCCTAATACCACTATACTACTAATACTGTGAATAGTCTAGCTGGTCCGGCAACCGTTGTATTGTTGTGTGCTAGTTGATTCGCAAAAAAACAGTTTGTGAGTTTATCTTTAAAAAAACAGTCATACATATACTGTTGCAAACATTTTTTAGATAACTTAGACACATTCTTTCAAGCAACGGAACACTCAAAAGAATTTTTCCTGTTTTCCAACATTTTCCACTGTTTCTTTGCTCTTATTGGTTATGCAGCGTGATAGTTTTATAGCCTTTCTCGATGAATGGTTTATCCAGCACGAAGACTTTTAAAATCCGAATCTATAGTTCCTGACTTCGATGATCTTAGCGTGTTAAAACAGACAAACTTTTTAGCTTTATACTAATTATATAGACTAATCGACCTCTAATTTAAAAAAAACATAATATATATATGAATCCAAGAAACTTGTAAGGCTATATTGTGTTACCAATGGCGAAAGCGACTATGAATATTTAGTTGAGGGAAAGTGTATTGTTATTCCTCGGGTGTATTGGTCAAATGCGATTATAGGTTTACAATAAACTCTTTATTTCAAGATAACAGATTTCATCCACACAAATAACATTTCTGTTACGACGGCCCAGAGGGCTTGAAAACAACAATTTAACAACTTATTACAACCAACGATGGAGTTAGACATCCCTGATAAATAAAATTTGCTGCGCTACGGCCGTTTTTTTTTTGTAGTTTTTGCGAAAGCAAGCAGACACACATGTCGTAAAGACAGGTTTAGAGGACATTTTTTAACCATAATCATTTAATCAATGTACAATCTTTTTGTTGTTGCGCCTATATAAGATTTTAAATTTTATGACGTTGGGCATTAGAACCTACAGCCACAGCGTTACGAAGCCTATCATGTATAGTCTGGAATTTGCATTTTTATACATGCAACTGTCGTGCAATGTAATTTAGTCCTAAGTCTATTTTACCGCCCGTTGGTAGTGGGTTCGACTACTGCCCTTGTGATACATTGATTTCAATCTAAGCTCTATTATTAATGATCATCGATTTTATTGTAGAAAATAATGTTTAAATAAAACACTTTAACGGTTTAAAACGCGATATATTATGCTTTGTAGCAGCCGTGGTCACGGTGAGACTCCCCGTCCGACATCCGAAACGTCGGGCCGAAGTTAAAAATCATTTTCAAATAAGTTTAACTAATATATCGCGTTTTAAACCATTAAAGTGTTTTATTTAAATGTGTACTACTCGCGTAAACTATATACAGAAAATAATGTTATATAATAAGTATGAAAGTGATAGACATTTCCTTACGTACTTTGCGTGTGTGTTATATAGGAATTAACGTTTATCAAAATAGGATGGTGCAGTAACAATAAATTCGTCCAAACGTTTGCATACGTTAAATCATGTAATTGATTTTATCAGCGCCGGTCCATCGAGGAAGCCCGAGAAAATTTATTATGAACGGCAGTCGATTTATTAAATACTGAAAGGTTTAAACGGAAATCATATTATCTGGCCACTGCAACAAAGGCTATGGTGGCGAGGATAAATGGGAAACGATTTTTAATCTTGGAAAAAGAAATACTAAAGACTAATTAATAGCACTTTAGGAACGCCAACGATTCTTACCATGCCCAATTAACCAATTACGATTTAACAATCCATAATAATCCGTCAGATTCACATAAGTTACTCCTTCCTTCTCGATAAATGGGCCTATCCAACACAAAAAAAAATCAATTTGAACCAGGAATTTCTCAGATTAAACAAGCTCTTCAGCTTTACAATAGTGAAGATCATTTTTTATTTGTGGTATGGATATGGGATGGCCAAAGTTGTAGGGTAGTCAGAAAATGTCAGGGCACAATGAATCGTGACACTTGCAAAATGTCATAATTTCTAACAATAAGTCATAAGTTCAAGCCGTATAAAGGTGAGCTGCAAATGTTAATAGATTCCTTCCTGTGTAGAATAAATACCTAGTCCTTATATTAGTCATACAATTTATAAAATATATAATTCACATAAGGCCGTGTGATAAATAGCCTCTGAGATTTTTAATTAAATGTTGGGGCACTAATTATATTTTATTTTTGCCGTAGTGTTATTTGAATGAAATGTTATTAAAAATATTCTTTATAATAAAGGAGGGCAGGCAAGCATGTGCATGGTATAATATAGCCCCAGTGTTATAACATCATGGCAAAATGCTTGCTTGGTAATATTAATCTTCTGTTGGCATTTGATTATTACTTGCAATAACAGTGTTTCCTCTCCATTTTTGCCCAATATATTAAAAAGATAAAATTCTGATTTCCCTAAATAGGGCAAACACATTTTGTCCAAGCATGAGACAAAAAATTTGATTTTGTTTCTGGATAACCAGGATTTTTAAAATGAGTTATTCTAAAAGCTTGGATTTTTTTTATTACAAAGGGAAACAGGCAGCAAAGGTATTTTACATTTTATTGAAAGTAAACTCTTAGCTAAGTCTGTAGGGCTTTAACTAACTAGTTAGTGATCCAGTTACATTCTTCGCCTTTAATATCTGAATTTCAGACAGTCTTGTGTTCAAAAATTATAGATTAATTTAAGAAACATTAGACCTGGTAGGAGTCAAACTTTAACCTTATAAATTACTACTATAAGACCATTAAAAATATGTAACTATTTAGCTGGACATCAAGACAACTCTATCTCAATCAAATTAAAAAAAATATAAGTAATTATTAAAAATTAACAATATTATAGATCAATTGATATTCGTAACAAGGCCCATTCATTTTATAACGCTTAAAATAAAAGAAAAGTGTACAGATGAATCAACAATTACAAGTTTCAAATAACGATTTTAAAAGTTATAATGCTTTTCTTGAAGAAGTAATTGTTTTATTGATTTCAATTTACCCAATGCTGGTAGGAGATTCAAATATAATGCAAGTAGCCTGGAAATAATAATTTATTTTAAATAAGGACTGGTTTTTTTTTATAAAAACCTCGTAGCATTGATAAGATATTACTAAAACATGTAAAATAAGAGAAATTGATACGGTTTATTGATAAGAAGCATTATAAAAACAATATAAATGACTTACATGCACTCAGCTTAAAGTTGTTATTCGTATACAACGGCTTAATGTAAATGCACTTGAAATAACTAATTTAAATGAAATTATTGTCTAGCACTAAAAAATACTAACTATCAAATAATAATAATCTGTTATAAACACACGAAACATAAATTGTTAAACTAACGATTAACAACGAGCGTGTCTTTAAAAAATACTGCGGCAATATTGGCACTGTAACACTCTGTATAGCAAAATGACAACATGCAGAATAGAACCGTCAATCATTAACCGAGCTGTTTGGCTCAGTAATCAGATATAGACTATCAAATAACAAAACGCAGATAAAGTAGTTTATATATATTCGCAATTAAGGACAGATAAGACAAAAAAGGCAAGATTTTTAAAAACAACGTATTTATAAGTAAAAATATTGACGCAATAAAAAGGTTATTTAAATTCTTTATAACAGTTTAATATTATATAATGAAATATAAAAATTAATTGAATTATAACTTAAGGACTCCAAAAATATATAAAAATTACCATTGACGATATTTTCATGAAATGAAGTAACTTATATACTGATAACTTTAACCGATTTAATATATTAGAAAATTAATTTAAGAGTATATCTCCCAAACCTTGTTGTCAATTGTCATCGAATGAACAATAATAATATACACAATGTGGGCATAAATGTTTGTATTGTGTCCAAATTAGAAATGCATATGTATTTGTTATTTATTATGTAGTATCTTTAAGTTTGTTAAATAATTTTAAAACGTTTTGTATTGAATATCGTTATTTCATTAACTATTTGAATACTTAAAGATCCTAAAATCGGGCATTCATTTAGTTCTTAACCATGTTTAATTTAATTGTAAGCATATTATGACAATACAATTCTCTGTTGTATAATAAATCGGTAATATTACTACCGTTCTAACTATTTCATGCACAAGTAAAGTAAAACGTTGATTGTAAAATGGAAGCAGACTCAACAACTTTTGATACCGACGCATCGAATTCGGCGAAGAATGTTTCGTTTCCATTTGTTATAAGCCCAAGGTTAGTATATTTACTAAAGAAGTCATTTTTGATATCTACCTATTTTCTGTAATGATTATTCAAATTGTACCGACTCCGTTACTTAATTTTTATGTCCTCAAGTAGTTATCTTTTTTCAGCAACTTACTCCTATACACAGACTTTGTCAAAGAGCCAGGCAATCTTATGAACCTTGTGGAAAAACTACAAGCATTTGGGTTACTTCCTGCACATATGCCATGTCCACTAAATGAATCTACATGTAATGTTGTTCTGAAGAATGCCAGAGTGGTTGACAGGTAGAGTAATTATAGTTAGGTAGTTAAAATATGGCCTGATTGTGAAGACCACCCTCACATATATTAATAAATGAAAAGTTTGCTTTTACATGAAATTATTTTAGTAACTGAAAGTTACTTAACAAGCCTGAAAGATATATTGCAAAATAGCTAAAGTTATCAACGCGAAGTGACCACATAATTCCATTTTAATTAAAACTAAGAAATTTATGTTTTTTGACCAATCAAATTTACTATGTATGTATGTTTATTACCTCTGTTTTGCTTAACATAATGCTTAACAACTGAGTCATGGTTGCAATACTAAAATTAGATACTAGAAAAAGTTAAGTGTAAATTTTCTTATTATGATCTCCGTAAATATTGTTGTTGTTGTGTTATCTAAATTTTATCTAAAATGGTACCAATAAAAAATTGTGTGTTTACAGAGTACAGTGGATCTGTAAGGGATGTAAAAGAAGGCAGCCTATCAGATCTGGATCATTCTTTCTCAAGCTTCAATGCAGCATAACCCTAGCATTACAATTGATTTTGGCCTGGTGCGAAGATGCTGATGTTAACATTGTCAGTCAATATTTTGGTATGTTTTTGTATGACAAAAGGGATAAAAAAAATTTCAAATGATAAATGTAAGGATGTGCAGTAACACCTAGCTAGTTTGGGTGAAATGGTCAGCTGATGGTGTGGACAGATCACCTGGCCTTCTACAGCGGATAGAAAATAATAAAAACACAGTTTAAAACACGAAATATATTACTTTAAAAACTTTAATATTTTTCACATATTACACAAGGCACTAAATAATTTAAAAATCGAAAATAAATTGAAAATAAAATCTACTCGGGCGGGATTTGAACAGGCATCGTCAGCGTTCCGTGCTTTTGCTTTACCAAATGAGCTACCGAGTCCTACACCTCATCGTCGATTTTTTTTAAAACTTACTGATACATGCACCTTTAGCGAATTTTTTTTCAACTTACTGATACATGCACCTTTAGCGAATTTTTTTTCAATTTATTTTCGATTTTTAAATTATTTAGTGCCTTCATGGGCAGTATGTGAAAAATATTAAAGTTTTTAAAGTAATATATTTCGTGTTTTAAACTGTTAAAAGCTTTTATTTTTAATTGGGTACTCTCATAAACTGTGCACCTGTCAATTTCCCAAATCATAACTTATTATGTATAAGAAAAAGATTCATTTCCATTAATTAACTATTTTTTATGATTGAATTACATGCTCTCCTATGTAACAATTGAAGCGGTAAGTTGGAAATTATTATTAATGAGGGAGTTTTGTTTTGTACATAACCAGATGATATATAAACATAATTTATAATTTCCACAATAATGATTCCATACATTTCAGTTTAAATGCTTAATTGTATCTTGTTTCTACTTCTAGATGTAAAGCCAAGGGTAGCTATATCGATCTACGACAAGCTGGATGAGCTATCGGCAGGGGAAATCAGCAATAGTAAGCTGGGAGGTGAAGATGCTGTAGTTTTATCCGAGATGTATCCAGAGTGTTTGAACAGACTGTCACCAGATACAACAGATCAACCTCACATACATCCAATACTTATGCTTGCTGATACTAAGGTAGCGCTCTTTGTTGCTTATGACAGTTATTGCTTTCATGCCTGTTTGGTGTCCTCTATATTGAAATTAATAAGAAATATATGGTAAGATAGTTTTCACAAGACATGTCCACTACATGCCTACATAAGTTTGAAAAATATTAGTATACAATGAGAGGTTTTCAGAATGCTGTGTTATTATGATTGTAATAACTGTTTCAGCACATCCCAACGCAATATAGACTCCATGTCATGAAAGATCATTTAAAGAAGATACCTAATAAGAATAACGAAGAGGTATGTTTTTAATACTTAATTTAGTTTACTAGCTAATTAAATTTAACGGTTTAAAACGTGAAATATATTACTTTAAAAACTTTAACTAATTTACAATTTGTCTTGACTACGGCCCGACGTTTCTATTATATAAGTTTATAAATATATTCCGCGTTTTAAACTGTTAAAGAGTTTTATTTGTATGGGTTCTACTTGCGAACTATGAACAATAACTTAAGAATTGTTGTAGAATAACAAAGTCAAGTCCCTTATTTTTGTTTTAACTCTTATGTGCTTATTGTTTCATTAAATGCTTTACGCGATGCGTTTGTGGTCCTGGGTTTGATTTCCAGGTTATCATTGTATATAGTTTCAGTCAGGCACCCATCTTGTCTAGATGATATATGGCTGTGTTACTTTACCTTCCATCAAGTAAGGCCCAAACTTGTCCTTCCTCCTCTTTCATAAAAAAATACTTGAGTAATCATTATTTTGCAGTACATTGAGTCTGAAGTCGAGAATGTGTTTGAGAAGACACTAGCAAGTGGCTCGCTGGTGGTAGGGGGGCACACATTACCGCCGATAGAGGGCGTTCATACACTATCGCACTTAACGCAACACTGCGATGTGGATATGCAACGCTTTTGTGAGTACTTATTTACTGTTTTTTTAGTTTTAAACATAATTTCTAAACTCAAGTTCAATGGAATGTACCCGTGTGCATTTTTTCTATACTAATATGTCAAGCTAAAGAGTTTATTTGTTTGTTTGAACGCGCTTATCTCAGGAACTATAGGTTCAAATTGAAAGATTATTTTGTGTTGGTTAGAGCATTTATCGAGGAAGGCTATAAAATATCGCGCTGTGGCTTATAGAAGTGACGATACAGCGGGAAATGTGAACGAAACGGGGGAAATTTCATCTCAGGGGATACCTTACGAAACGGTTCAAGACACCCAAAAACTATGTATGAAAGAATGATTCCTCTTTAAATGATCTTAAAAAAAGTCCACGATGATATATGTCTATCTTTTAAGATTAACTAGAAAGAGCGACGGGATGGGACGCGACTGACGTCCTGGGTAACAGCTTAAGTTTATAAAGATGATGGGGTTTGCATAACGAATTTTGATGCCCAAAATTACGATTCTCACGAACGAAGTCGCCGGCACAGCTAGTAATAAATAAAAATATCATGTTTACCATTCCTTTGAATCTAGAGATAGCAACACTATAATCTTGAGTGATATGAAACTTCTTTATCTGTGAGTCATCTGTGGCCATAACACAATAGTACTCTATGGATTGAAATCGGCCATATTTGTTGTGTTTTTGCCAAGTTAGAAAAAATACACTATAGCTCAGTCTTGTTAAATGATAATTTAAAAAAAACATTTTTTTTTCAGTGACCAGCCGTATATGGAGCCAAGCCCTTCTACTGTGCAACGCGTCACGTGACCTCTGTACGGGTTCGCCCTCTCTACTGTGCGCTAATCAAGTACAACGATATCTTGACGTGTCCTTATATCGTCTGAGACATAGCGACAGCTTCTACGAACACATGCTAAACGTTATCGCTGATAAGTTCACGGAGAAAGTAGATGGTGAGAAAGAAGAGTAGAAGAAGAGGCTTAGAATTTTTATGTTCTACTTCGAATGCCGTTGTTAGTTAAACTTTACAATATACCGTCTGTTGTTTACACGAATAGTACACATTTAAATAAAACACTTAGCGGTCTAAAACGTTATATAGTTCTGACTTATTTGAACTACGGTTCGACGACGACGTTAAAGTGTTTTATTTAAATAAATTTATTTCGCGTTTTAATCCGTTACAATTTTTCATTTAAACTCCTTTAGTGTTCTTAATATTTCTTTTATTATAATACAGTGAAATACCAAAAGCATGTTTTAAAAATTATAGGGTAAAAAGACTCGTATTTTTGTTTTTTGTTTTAATAATTATTTGCACGTTAGAAATAATATTGTTAGCTAAGTACTTGAGCCGCGATATCTTATGCGTAGTTAACTCTAGTATATCAATCTCCATACATTGTCTTCCTATACTAAATGTGCCTTAAGAAATAAGATATTAAGTAACATTTGATATTATTTTCTTGCTCTAATTATATTGACTGTTCATGTTTTTGTTAAGTACTATCTGGTGAATGTTTTGTTTGTCTATTTCCTGTCTTGAGGTAAACTCATACAAAAATTGGTTTAGTTTTTTATGGCGTACTCAGAATTTGCCTTGTCAATTTAGTCTGCAAATGTTTTAAGCACAATGATTGTATTATGTTGTATAAATGAAAAATCTATTTACTTGGAAAAAATTGACAATATGGGAGAGACAAAAGTTTTTTTTTTATCTTAATTGTTTTTTTTTCATTAATAGAACTTATTATGATTATGTGCAGAAACATATGAAAAATATTAAATATTTCGTAGCATAGTGAAGCTTAAAGAAATGTACATTTTTTTTCAGTTTGGTTTGATGCTGGATATGCCTTTGGTTGTTATAAGTGATGTTTTAGTAATTTTTACAAGTTGTTTTTATTCTTATTATTTCTGAGACAGTATCATATTGCGTAGAGTTATGTTGCTATGTTTAGTTTAAGTTATGTAAATTAAGTTTGAAGATATTAGAAACTGGAATAAAGTTGATTAATCTTTCATTTGTTTTAATACAAATACTATAATTTATTTATATCTTTTATACGTATTGTTTCTAATTCAAGGAAGTAGTCATTTTGATAAAACGCTTCAAACGGTTTAAAACGCGAAATATATTCTAAACATATTGACAATCAAAGTGTTACTAATTTTTTATGGACTTCTCAACCTTTGAGCTTAAAAAATCCTGTAGTAATAATTACTACAGTTTGGAGTAGATATTTATAAAATATATAAAAGTGAGGATCATTTTGTTCTCGAAACTTTCCTTTTTTTGCTAATTTGTTGCTCTGTCTGACTTTCCCTTGCCTGACTCAAACGATCTATTGTTTCCCCGGATTCTAACCCAGGACCTCTCGCGTTGAAGTAAATGGTAAACAACACGATTAATTCAGCTCTAGAGGTGGTTGTAAAATGTATGCCCAAATAAAAAATGTCATAAGTTTCTTTTTTGCTCGTTCAAAACTGTTGTATTTTCCCAAGATTCGAACCCGGTGTTTCTGACTTTTTATACTAGGCAATAGTACCGCTATTTCCTCTCGAAAGTCGGTTTCGAACTTTCGCAGGCCAACAACTCAGTTTACAACTGTACCTACAAGCTTTAGAAAGGCGATCAGAACGCGTATACATATCTAAATATGTAAATAATCAAAATGTCGGTCACTCGGTCCTGTTTGTCTTAACGCTACATGCTTTGCTGTTTTGTATTTTAATTTTATGAGACCTACTGCCCGAGATAGGATTTAAATTCAGATACGAAAACAATCTCGACATTACTTTAAGAAACACTACGTATTTATTTTCGTAAATACATCTATCTAGTCTGTGTTTATGACGCGTTTTTCAGATGAATATAAATTACTAACTGTCAGTCGTGTAACCTTTTTTTAAACCGATGGTGCATACTATAACCTCCTCGGAACCAAGAGCCGATCAGAACCACTTAACACACCACCAGCTAGTAACGCTACTTACGAGGGAGCCCTGGGAACACGTTTGTATGCTCTTAAGCTCCCAGACACCAGTCAGACGCGTTACATAAGTTTATTGTGAATAATAAAAAAGATACCATTTAAAGAACCATGATCAACGAAGTGGAAAACATACTACCTTTATCAAGTTTTAACTAGTGAAAAAAGTGTTCTAACAACCAAATATTTGAAAACTTTAATATTTTTTACATGTTATTGCACATGAAGGCACTAACTAACTAACATGTAAAAAATATTAAAGTTTTCAAACGTTATAACTTTGTAATTTCATCCTCAATGATCTGCTTAAGAAAAGCTGCAAAGCATAAGACGTTGAACCTTAATTACGCAAGTGTTAAGGTTGAAATTACATTGCGCGAGAGGTGCATGTATCAATAAGTTGAAAAAATTCGACGACGGACGGTAGGACTCGGTAGCTCAATTGCTAGAGCAACGGCACGGAACGCTGACGATGCCGGTTCAAGTCCTGCGCGAGTCAAAATTTTTTTTCAATTTATGTTCGATTTTTAAACAAAATATTTATAAGTTTAAAAAAAATGATTATGACTAATCACGCTGACCTGGCAGACGTTATTTTACCATATGAAGTATTTAGACAAAATTTGATTGCTATAAAAACCGTTTTTGTGAGTTAATCTTAAAAGATAGACATATATTTTACAGGATTTTTTTAAAAACCTATAAAGAGGAATCATTCTATCCTACGACTATTTTATTTTGAATCATTTCCGCAACGCACGCAACGGGAAGCCCTTAAAGGTATATTTTCCCGAATAATGTTCCCCGTATTTTCCACATTTCCCACTGTTTCTTCTCTCCTATCAGTCGCAGCGTGATGTTTTATAGCCCAAAACCTTTCATGATAAATGCTCTAACTAACACAGAACTATTATAATAATATAATACTATTTCAATTTGAATTAGTAGTTTCTGAGATTAACGCGTTCAGACAAGCAAACACCTTTGCTTTATTTTATTAGTAATTATTGATTGGCAAAATGTTGGACCCGGTAGGGTTCAGAACCCACGACCCGTTGATTACAGTAGGTACACCGACGAGCTCGCATCAGCAATAATGAAACCTTTTGCTATAGCGATTACAATTGATATTAACTACTGTCTGTAGTATACGCGAGTCTCCCCGTGACCAAGGCTTCTGCAAAGCATCCGAAACTTCATCGGGCCGTACTTAAAATTATTTCCAAATAAGTTTAACTCGTACATATCGCGTTTAAAACCGTGAGTGTTTTTAGTGTTTTAAACAGTCAAGTTTATTAAAATTAGCTCAAGCGTAGAAATTACCTAATACCAAGATACGGTTAACTAGCAATGATCTTCGAGATGTCAAGCGTGTACCGTTGATCAGTATACAGTTAGTTTAAAGTGCAGGCGCATCGTAACAGGTCCGACGCGATCTGTGCCAAGCTCGTCAGATTAATTACAAATTCACAACCTAGCTGTTACTTTTACCAAATTATTGACAACATTTTTATGCCATTGCGTATAAAAATAGTGCAACGAAGTATTAAGGATAAATGTATTAATAAAAACACTTTTAACGGTTTTAAACGCGCAACCGTTAGAAACTTCACTATTATCCGATGGTTGCTTTGCAGTAATAAAGATCATGAGGAGAACACGTTTAAAACCGTTAAATATTTACTAATGTGTATTCTAGAAAGTTCTCGAGAAATTATTAAGTAGTCAACGAAAAACATTACAGCGCAAAGTACAACTAACTTACAATTATGACTGACTTTGATATCTGGGAAATAAGCGCTTATCTGTCCTTTAAATACATATTTAAGAAAATAATATAATAAAATTAAGTTTATTTAAAAACAATATCAGACTAACTTTATAAAGGAATATGTTATTTACTTATATTAATTTCATTATAGAAAAAAAACAGTTTAAGTCCGCTTCTAAACTAGAAACTTCGACTAACTTTAGACTAACTAGACTTAAATTGTCCTGTAAATATATAAAAGAATAATTATTATAAGTTTTGTTATTATAAAACATGATAGTGTAATAAGGGGCCGTTCAAGTATTACGTAAGCAGATTTATTACAATTATTTACCCCCCCATCCCCCTTGTCAGCAAAAGTAAGCAAAGCTTTTACCCCCTCCCCCCGTGCTTAAAAGCGAATGCCATCTTAAAAAAGTAAATAAATATCGGTCGTAATCATCATCTGGACTCCCCCTACCCCCCATGTCATCAAAAATAAGCAAAACACAGACCCCCCACCCCCCTATAGTGCTTACGTAATACTTGAACGATCCCTAAGCAGCGTGTAAAGAACATCACACGTATTAAATGTTGCTTCATCGCATTAATTAGACCCATAAAACAACAGAATGTCGGCAACACAAGAGAAAAGTGTATTGTCTATAGTTTACGCGAATAGTAGTTTAAAACTCGGTTTAAAAACTGATTTAACATAGCAGAGCATCCGAAACGTCAGCCCATAGTTAAAATAACGAATATATTTCACGTTTTAAATCGTTAAAAGTTTTATGTAAGCAAAGGCACACTTTTAACATAATATATATGATTTATAAATCATTAAGCATTTATACATCACAGTCACCGCCACAACATAATTCCTTCCATCGAGCACTTGTTAATTCTAGTTTAGGAACGGGTGTTTCTTCGGACGCTGTTGTACCGCTATCTCTGCAAATAAATAAAAGATGCAGTTAAGAGCGATGCCACAGCCGCTCAGTGTAAGCTCAGACACCTGCCGCGATGGTCAACTACAAGAGGATCGTCTGCGAGGCCGCGGTGCTGGCTGCCCTACTTAGTTTAGCAGCAGCAGCACCTGTCCCTGACTGCGAAAAGTCAGAGAAACACTTCGATCAGAGGCAGAACGGTACTGAAAATTATCGCTTGAACATCGACGGAGTCGTCATTGCTGTAGCCCCGGCTGAATCCCTCCTAGCTGCTGCGTCAGATATAGATCTTAGTGATCTTCTTGATATCGAAGACTTCAATGAATTGAAGCCTAAGCCACCGAACAAGCCGATACGCCCGAAGCCAGAAGATGATAAGCCGTTGGAGAAACCTGATGAAAAACCTGAAACGCCACTAAGTGACGTCACGCTCACCAATGAGGTGAAGCAGAAGAAGGATGCCTCACAGCGTAATAAAGAGAAGTCTCAAAGGTATTCAACATTTTTTTTTAATTTATTGAAATGTTTAACAGTGAAAACACAATATGCGTTTTTCGTATACAAAACGTTCGTGTCTTACATAGAAGACTAAAAGTCAAAGTCAAAAATCATTAAGTAGTATTTACTTCTGTCTATAGTTTACGCGAGTAGTACACATTTAACTAAAACACTTTAACGGTTTAAAACGCGATATATTAGTTAAACTTATTTGAAAATGATTTTTAACTTCGGCCCGACGTTTCGGATGCTTTGAATTGGCGGGTCGAAGTTAAAAATCATTTTTAAATAAGTTTAACTAATATATCGCGTTTTAAACCGTTAAAGTGTTTTCTTTAAAAGTATTTACTTCGTTAAAAAAATATATATTTTCACCTAAACTTTTTAAATAATATTTAGCTAAAAGATATTAAAGTAAATATTACTTTCCATTCATAGGACACCTTAAGTAACACATCGGCTTATAATTATTGATGTTATAAGTACGTTTCTTTCTTGTTTCAGATTAAAGTATCGTCTTGCCAGCATGCTCTTACCACTTTTGAGAAGAAACCGGAACCACTAAGAGCTATTTTATTGATAGATAGAAATGTTGAGTGATATATGAATTGCATTTATTATTTATAAGTTATGATTGTTAGTATGTACTTGTACATGGACTGTTTCGTTACAAAATAAACATGAATTCTTATTGAAAAATCTATAAATGTTCTTTTGATTTTGCTAGAGACGCCTGCTGAATATTATAATACTTTTATTATAATTAATAAAACAATTATAAAGTTAAACGATCCTTGTATATACTGTCTATAGTTTACGCGAGTAGTACATATTTAAATAAAACACTATAACGGTTTAAAACGCGATTATTAGTCTCTTCATGACCACGGCCGCTGCATACATCCGAAACGTCGGGCCGAAGTTAAAATCCATTTTCAAATAAGTTTAACTAATATATCGCGTTTTAAACCGTTAAAGTGTTTGATTTAAATCCTTATATATAACAAGATAATGTTTGTAGAAAACATGTATGAATAAGCTTTCTACTGTTATTCAACTCGCATAACAAAATGTTTGCTTTATTAAAACAAGTTGAAAACACCTTTTTCAAGCTCAGAAAGTAACTAAACTAACTATCTTTTCTTTTTACGTACAACATTTTGTTTTAAAACTCGAAATTGGTTCTAACTTAAACGTGCACGAAGAAAAGTAGTTGATGGCTTTTTGTGAAATCACGTTGAGTTTTATTCAAAGTAGATCTGAATAACGGAATAAGCTTTTTGCTAAAAGCTATTTCCATAAAAAGTTAATTGGGAGAAACAGATCGGCTGCTGGTTTTATTTTTACTCAGTTGGAAAGGTAGGTAATAGTTTTAAGTTTTCACCAGGAAACAGTGATTGAGTGACATTTTCCATTTTGTGAAATGTATTTAAGAAATTCGTAATTTTTTCAATTAATTAATAAGTTAATAAATTTAGAACAACAACCCGATGCGCGACGTTTCGGATACTTATATAGCAGTCGTGGTGATGGGTCCTATCGTTAAGTGTTTAAACTTATATCATTTATAATCAAGATACAATTTTAATATTTATTAATTTAGAAGTACATATATAAAGCTCCGTAATTATTTAACTCGCCCAATTGAGTATTGTCTGTAGTTAACGCGAGTAGGACACATTTAAATAAAACACTATAAGGTTTGACTAATACATTTAGCGTTTGAAACTAATTAAAACTGTTTTATGTGAATGTGTTCAAGTGAGCTGATACATCTACTTGGGTTTTTAAGATGTTCGGCTGTCGTAATTGAAAAATGATTAATTACAACGATCAAACATCTTGTAAACCTTTTGCAAAATGGCCGCGAAAGGTTTATTCAACTTATGATCTGTAGCTATAAAACAGAACAGAAATTTGGTGGATTGATACAAAACATTATTAATTTATTAATGTTTAGTAATTCCAGTCAGTCAGTTATTATTATTATTAATATAATACTATAAAGATGTTTTATCTATATTTCGGAGATTCTTATCCAAATCTATGCAATTTCAAAATGGCCGTTTATGTTGGACAATCGGCGACCATTTTAAAAGATCAAGGTATGTTGATATGGAATTGTCTATTTATAACTTATTTTGATCTCCGATCTGGGTTATTGAACTGTTGACCTTAAATAAAAGATATTCTATGTGACCCACTTTATATGATGTTAATATCATTTCCCGTTTCTATAAAACGTTGTTTGTTTTCGAGTGAAAGGAATAAAACTTGTTTCATTGTCAATAATAATATTAGCTGTAAATCTATATTGAATATTTTATTTGGACATCATTTACTTAACTTCAAAATGTGGTGGACGTCTGTTGGTAAAAAAATAATCCTGTTAAAAGTCTCTTCGCAGTTTAATAATTAAAGATTCTTTACAATTGGGTTAAAGGGTTCGTATTCTGGAACCTTTTTTTGGTGGAGAGCACAGAAGTAAGATCATCTTCACAAATATTTACAGTTAACGGTAAATAAAATCGGTTTCTGAAACCGGCACATGCCCCATGCTCCCCGCAACGTATACGTGATTTCACTTGTGTTAGACTACTTAGTCGGATTTTTTACATTGCACAATAATTCTAAATTATTTCATATTTCTTTTTATTAAGAGATCGAAATAGACAGACAGAAAACTTTGACAGATTATTCATTTAAATAAAACACTAATACGGTTTAGAACGCGGAATGTATTAGTTGACGTTTCAGATACTTTGCAGCAGCCGTGGTCACAGGGGGCCTCTGTAACAAACAGTAGGTGCAAGGGTAGTTATTTAAAAGCTTTTTAATTATTTTTTTAGCTTTTTACATAATACTAGCAACCCACGCGCGTTGTCAAGTCCCTCTTGGTTTTATTATATGCTATTTCCTTTCAATGCACTAAGTAATTGTATAAAATTATTGATTTCTTCCTGTTGAACGAGAAACTGTTATAGCCCGTACAACCAGGTACCATAACGGTACTGAAAACTGTTGGGATACAGCTTTTATAGCTTACTTCGCTTTTTATATTGATCTTGTCTTTAGGTTAATTGGGTAGCTGTGAGCTTTTTGTGAACACACACACATTGCTTTATTATTTGAATATAATAGAAGCAAAATTACGTTACGATTACATATAATGTTTAGTAAAACTTATGTAATAGTTATGATGTAGTTACTAATCTACAAAGTGTAAAATCTTGTACCCACTGATCGAATTAAAATTTACCGGATATAATGTTCCAGGATTTGAATCCATGGTCCCGTTGAGCTTAACGCAATGCTCACGTTTGATCACTGAAGTTTTTCAGAAACAGACTAGGCTGTAGTTGTAATATTCGTTCTAACATGTGCACATTTATATACTGTCTATAGTTTACGCGAGTAGTACACATTTAAATAAAACACTTTAACGGTTTAAAACGCGATATATTAGTTAAACTTGCTGCTGCAAAGCATCCGAAACGTCGGGCCGAAGTTAAAAATCATTTTCAAATAAGTTTAACTAATATATCGCGTTTTAAACCGTTAAAGTGTTTTATTTAAATGCCATTTAAATTTTGTATTGTTTTTAATATCTATTTATTTTAAAACTACACAACTATTTTTTATCAATGTTGTATAGGGAGTTCATTTAAAAAAAAGGACTATGCTTTGTTCATAACTTTTTTTTTTTTTTTTTTCTTATTTTAATGTACTTAGAAGTTAATTATCACTTAAATTTTACAATGTGCTTTTCTCTCATATAATATATCTTAGGTAAAGTTGTGTATTCAGTTGTAAGAATGTAGGTGAATCAAATAAATAATTAAATAGACAAATAACAAAACCTTTGAAGGAATAACCTATAGTCGATACATCACGAAATGACATTTGAGTCCATTCAATAAGTACACTACGTGATAAATCGAGTACAAGTCCAAATATATACGCTTATCGTATTACGAACAAGTCAAAGGTTACTCATGCACGGCTTCTTGACGTCTCCACGTCTTCGCAGTGCACGCGAGTCTTTCGCTAAACAAATATCGATAATCATCTTTTAATGACCACTCGATCTTAATGCAAATTACTAAAAACCGTTATTGTTCTCGATTCATTTACGACTGGTTCACGGGAGTACCGGTAAAAGCATCGCGGGTACCGAACAGTCGATCCGCGCTTGGTGCCTTGACTACACGCGCCATGTTCTTAATCCTAGCGTTGGTTGGCTTAGCAGCGGCTGCTCCAGCTACATATGATCAGCGACAGGACGGCGAGTTCAACGTGCAAGCGGACGTTCAGAATGTTGTCTTCCTCGTCGCTGTACCGCAGAAGATACCAAACAGTCTGCTGGACCTGAGCTGGCTGAAGAGCGCGAAGAATGACGATATCCAAGAGCGAGCTGATATTCATGTGATGGAAGCCTTTGTGGAGCCTAATACTCCGTACCGCGTTGAAATCGGTACGGAAGGGGAGAAGAAGGTTTGTGCCATATTTTTTGATCATAACAAGTTTTCATTGTTGTATTTTTTTTTAATGATAAAAGAAGACAGATAAGCTTGGGGTTCGCTTTATGGTAGGCTAAACAAGTGTCGACCTATTTCGTTTTTGAAGAATAATTTATAAATATAAAGATAACCACTATTTCTATTTTAATACTATTTCTTTTTTATATTGTTTTGAGTTTGCGTGGAAGAAATTGCTTTTTTCAATCAGTGTACATCTTTATGTGTCAGAAATAGTAAGGAAAGTGATGTTTGAAGGAACATTTAACACTTGACCGATATAAGTATTTTTTAAATGATAGAGACAAAACAACAGACAAGTATGGGTTAGACTTGATGGGAGGTGTAAGTACTCCAGCCATATAACATCTACACAAAATGCTTTCTACCTTTTTTAGGTATATATCCAAAGGTATATTCAGTATTATATAATCTAAATTTTTTTTTTAAGGTTGAAGGGGACGGAAGACACGCCGAAGTCCTGATCGGTAGGAAACCTATTGAAGCAGAGGAAGACGGGGATAAGAATGAGTTTAAGCTGATAGGAGCCACAGAGCAGTGTGGTCCTAACAGAGTGAGAGACCCTCTGACCCTCATGTGCATTGACCAGCCAGAAGACCCCACCAGAACACCCGAAGTAGTCCCCATTTCGTAACCCGATCTCTAGTAAGGATACAACTTATTCACGCCAATACTTAATTTATTTGTAAATTATTTTATATTTAAGTAAAATTGTATTACTTTGTTCGTTGTTTATTTTACTTTTCGAAATCGAATCTTGGGAAGAAAAAGAGCACACACGAGTTTATTTTATCCAAATCAGTTTATCGTGTTCCTAACCCAGGACTTATCACAAATACACAAGTTTTTTTTTTTCAATTTATTATCCATTGCCTACACTCGTTTAATAATTCTATCAAACAGTATAGATCTTAACGGAATATTCTCACGTTCCTTATAAACTACACGTTCCAACTCGACAGATTGTCTTGAATTAATATAAATACTAATTTACTATTACGTAGGTAACATTATGTATGACTAATGCACTAAACATGACTATAAAAGTTACGGTTATACAGTCATAAATAACAACAACATATTATCTACATTTGTTCTTACATTTTACTGTTCCCTACTTAGCATATGAAAGTAGAGATTCATAGGAAAAAGGCTTTTAAGAGCTTACGACCGCCGCAAAATTTAAAATTCACCTACGAGCAAGTGCCTTTAATTAGTATTTAAACAAGATTTGAAAAATCTATTTTTCTCGTCACTATCTATCTCTCTATATCTATCTGTCTATCACGTGTTAGCTGAATATAAAATTAAAATATGTAATTAATTTTTGAGGACATCCGTTGGCTGTGCTGTGAAAACAGTTCAAGAAAACTAAAAATGTGTGTGATGGAATTATACTTCTTTAAATGACTTTAAAAAAGGAATTTGTAGTTTCATAAAGCTGATAGGTTGTTTACAAAAAAAGATGCTAAAAATAACTATTCAACGTGGACGCACTCACTGGGAAAGCTAGTGCCTTATATTTTCTTTGCAAACTTTAAACATTAACTAGCTTAAATACGGTCCGTAGCTTACACGAGTAGTACACATTAAAATAAAACACTTTAACGGTTTAAAACGCGGAATATACTAGTTAAACTTATTTGAAAATTATTTTCAACTGCAATGCAAAGCATCCGAAACGTCGGGCCGAAGTTAAAATAATGGTCAAATAAGTTTAACGAATATATATCGCGTTGTATACCGTTAAAGTGTTTTATTTAAATTAAATGGCTTAATTAGAAAATAATTTTCAAAATTTTATAAAAATCACACGGCTCGTTGGACTTTTGAAAATCTTGTTATTAAATGGTATGGTATGGTACGGTAATATCAAAGTTTTGTCGAAGCAGCGCGGTGGGTAAAACTGGGCCCAACATTGGGACAATAATAACTTGAATCGACATACCTACGTAGATTATTAACGCAACGTAATATCATAATTTACAATAGTTACATGTTTATAGCAGTTATTATATAGTTTAGCAAAGTAACGATTACTTATACTTTTTTCGTCAATTATCGATGTCGATAAATTGATATTTGACGAATGATTCAGGCTAGCTTGAATAGCAAGACGATAAGCTTATACAGTCTAGAATAATCATATTCCGTAAGTAACAATATTCTTGTCAGATAAAAATACAGGTCTACAACAAAACGCAATCATTAACAAGAGTAAATTTTAAATAAAATAGTTTTAACCATTTTCTCCTGTGGGCATGGGGCGAACACATTTTTTTGTCCTTTTCAGATCAGAAGTAGTTAGTTCTGTGCTCTGCCCGACCGAAACAATCTATTTTTTCCCGGGATTCGAACCCCGGACCTCATAGCTTAACACAATGCTAGACACTATGTAAATATTTAGATTTTAGCTACAGAAGCGGTCAATACTACAATAAACTTATTTAAAATTTATTTAGAAAATTAAAAATAAAATAATTTAAAATAAAGTGTTCATAATTTAACTAATACATTTCGCTTTATAAACCGTTAAAAGTGTTTTATTTAAATGTGTACTAGCCGCGTAAACTACAGATTAGTAGTTTAAAATTCTCAAATTAATGCCATGATGGTGATCGTTATGGGATACAGAGTTCTTACATCAAGACTCCACCACTCCAGCTAAAGGCGTATCGTAAGATTTTCATGCACCACTTGAAATCGAACTCGCAACCTCACTGACGATCAGGTGTTCATACTACATCACGGATTAGTCACGGTTGGTTTTTTCTGGAATGTTAAATTATCTTATCAAACTTCGATCTATATGGTAGGCTTCTTTTTCAGTTTGGCATTTATAAAGCAGGAGATTCACGTTATACATTAAACATATTTTAACTTATGACAATGAATTTCCAAATGACTGCAACCCACTTGTGGCTTCGTTGAAAATGTTGTCTGTATATATCTGTCGTCTGCGCAACAATGTTTTCCGAGCAGATTGATGAGATAAATCCTAATCATTGAATTTCCATTTATTTTTATATACTAAATATATATGAGACTGCTGAAGGCAGAGGGGCTTAATACCAAAAAAATATGATTTTTCAAAAAAGAGAAAAATAAAAATGAATTTGTAATATTATTTATGTAAAAATTATGTTAACAATTTTCGATCTCGCTGCTCTCGTAAATCTACAACGTAACATTTTTAGACTACGAAAACATAAATAACTCAACTCATAAAATTGCAGTTAGGCTACTCTGACTCTAGCCTCTCATATATTGTTAGTTTTAATTTTAAAATAAGAATTGAGCTTCGTCTTCTGTCTTCTGATTGTAACTTCTAGGTTTTGTAGGAATAAAGCAATAACAATAGAATTTAAAAAATAAGTACTTATTAATGTAATTCTAAATTAAATAATAATAAAATAAATATACAATTTAATTTTATATAAAACAGTGGTGTATTCTCCGCCTTAAAGAATAACGTGTTATTTAAAACCCAATGATCTAACACTATTGAATGACATGCGAAACGACGGCGTAAGACGTTCTTAATATGTACCTTAATATGGAACACATAGACGCTTCTAAAATACATTATATTATCAGATAACAGAAAATATTTATTTTTTTCAATGCATTATATAAGATAGAAAATTTATAGATAATATATTAGTTTCATTCTGTTTTCTTTACTTGTTTGATTTAGAAGTGTACGATGGCCAACGATTACCCTTTTGAAATGAAACGTGAGGTTCCTGAAAATTCGAAGGGCGAAAAGTTACAACGTAAGCCAACATCTGTGTAATTGTTAGTTTCGATGTATTGATGGTAGTAATTGCATTTTAATCGTATTGCGATCCTACTGTTTTGTTGTACACTGGAATTTAGACGTGTATGATGAATTTGGAAAATGCAAATTCGATCTTGGTATTTAGAAGTTTAAGTACTGTTTATACGTTAAAAATGACACAAACGGCAACCAACAGATTGGTGGTATCATTTGTAATAAAATGGCAAAAATTAAAACCTTGTTATAATTCTATAGTTTGAGTATCACAAGACTTATACTATTATTTTATATATTTGAAAGAGAAGAAATTTTATTTATCGATGTATAAATGCCGCTTAAAACAATTAAAAACCTACGAAATAAGATCTAAGCTCAAGCAGAAAGTTGCAAAGTTAATTATACCCCATTTGTTACCAAAGAGACATAATTCAAATCAAAATATACTTAAATGTTTCGATTTTATTTTATAGCGTATTTACGATAAACACAACCTTTATGATTATTATGAAAATAACTGTACAAAGAGAACCACGCCTTGTGTCGTTGAAAATATACATTCATTTATGAAAGACCTGTGATTTGTTATTACTTCATGCGTCATTTGTTATAAATGCATTGTCTTATTTTCAGCCATTGTCCGTGTAGGCCCAAAGGGATATGCTTTCCCTGAGAATTTCAAGAATATCGCATCAGACATCTACAACATCGAAGTTAGATCTAGTGATGTTTTTGTCTTCAGTTTTCCAAGATCAGGTAGAATATTCACGATTTTTAAGTAATAGAATAAATAGGGGTTTTATATGCGATTACATTAAACAACTGCTGTAAACTTTGTTGCATGATAAGCCACCTATCCTATATGGGTATATTTGTGTTGGCCAGACATATTTATGTACCTGTTTTACTAATCGGCTTTATTAAAAAAATAGTAGTAGATAGTTAACGATACTTCTCTACCAGAACGACCGCTTCACTCAGATTATACCTCATGCGCTAACCATGCAATTGCGGAGGCTATGTTATCTTGACTTCGGTTTGTACAAGTATGCTGTTAGGTTGTTGTTAAGATAAGATCTTTAATTGACAAATCTGTCCAGGAACCACGTGGACACAAGAATTAGTATGGTTGGTTTTAAACGATTTGGACTACGAAGCTGCTGCCAAAACTCCACTTACCGAGAGATATTTGTTTTTAGAGTATGTATTTATTACATAATTATTTAGGACTAAAACATCAAATGAGATCTGTTCATTTTACTCAAGATATTTCATATGTTTACACAGTTTCATACTTTTTCCTAGTAATCAGTGTTTGGTAGTTCCATACCTTATGTACAAGGTTTTAAGTCTAAATTAGTGAGTTGCTTTATACAAACTTATTGCGAATTCTAAAAAAAACGAAACAAATTTTGTGTAAAAATAGAGATAGTAATAAAGTTCTTTTTTAAATGTATGTAGGCATGTAAGGAATATTACGATTTATTTCCAGGTTTTCAATGATCTTCGACGAAGGTCTAAAGGAAAAGTTGTACGAAGCCAACAAGCATGATGAAGATCTTCTTAAAGATGCGAAGTTCGTTAGCGATCCAGTGTTCGATTTGATTAAGAAACAGGACTCGCCGCGTTTCTTTAAGAGCCACCTACCGTTATCCTTGTTACCCCCAAGTGCTTTAAAGGCCAAAATGGTCCACGTAGCGAGAGACCCGAGAGACGCTATGCTATCCTTCTACCATTTAATGAATTCTATGACCTTATCTAATTTACGAGGAGACTTCAAGGACTTTTGGGAGGCTGCTATTAAAGATTTGCGTACGTATTTTTATGACGTTAGGGGTCACCAGATTGAAGGTGAAATACACCTGTCATAACGTCTACAAGATGCGCTTTGACAGTTACAGTTAGTTTAAAAATCTAAAATAAATTGAAAAAGGCAGGCTCGAAAATTTTTTCAATTTAGTTTAGATTTTTAATCTAACTCTAATTGTTAAAGCTATATATTAGATAATATGAACTAGATTTTACTTATGATATGTAAAAGTACAATTTCTATCTAATAGAGCTCTGTTTTAGATTCCTGGACCCCATACTTTGAGAACGTCAAAGAGTCATGGGAGATGAGAGATCATCCTAACCTACTATTTTTGTTCTACGAAGATATGAGAAAGGTAATATAATAGAGCTTCTTAATAATTATCGATTTTTAATAAATGTGTTCTAGATTTTACTCTATTATTAATATAAAGATATAATTTAGGATCTACCATCGGCTGTCCGTCGCGTCTGCGATTTCTTTGGTAAGAAATACAACAATGAACAAATTGCACGACTCTGTGACCACCTTAGTTTTGAAAGCTTCAAGAATAATCCTTCTGTCAACTATGATCTAATGAAGGAGCTCGGTTTGATGAAGAGTGATAAAGAGTTTGTGAGAAAAGGTTAGTTTTATATGAAATTAAATGGGTAGGAGTATCGAAAATTTGGTCATTCGGTACTCGTGGCTTTTTGAACAACCAAATCCAAATTAGGTCGATAGCTCATCTCGTGCTGATGTTATAAGGCTGGAGTATTTTATTTATGCGAAGAAATAGGTCACATCAAAGAATTAGAAGTCAAAAGAAGACCAGATAATTTAGGGACCTCTCCATTATTTGCCTAGATATGTTCTGCCCACTTTTAACAATGCTTACGGAAAGCGCATACGAACTTATCTATTGCCCTTGCTTCTGAAAAAGTTAGATGAACACAAGCACAGTAAACTAGTAAAAGATCCGGGCAGAAGCAAGGCAATTCTTAAGTCGTTTGATGCTAGGTGTAGACTATATTTATATTACTTAATAATACTTTTATATTGTTTCCGTTGTTGGTATTGTTAATTGTTAAGTTAATTTTAGTTAAAATAAGTTAATATTGGAGTTTGACTCGAGTAGCAGATAAAAAAACCGTCGTAACGGTTTAAAACATTGTTTTTAAATTGCATATTAGTTTTGGTGTACAAAATAAATTTAAAAAAAAAATTACCTCCTATCCCGTGAATCCCAAGCTTGTTGTCCTCCCCTATCATAAAAAAACATCATTATTTTTCTTTCTTTCAAATTATACTTAAAAGAGTCAGTGGTCGGGTACAGAAGCTTATAATTTGAAAAGACCATTGAAGGGACATAAGCAATTGTTGGTCCCATGTTCCACGTGAAAAGTACAATAATTTTCAGGCAAATCCGGCGGATGGCGGGAAAACTTTGACGAAGAGATGACGGCGCAAGCGGAAAAGTGGATCGCGGATAATTTGAAGGACACTGATATGAAATTTCCCAGCATGCAATAATTTTCACAAAGATATTTAGTTATAAAATGATTGTATGTATGTCTAAGGGTGGGTTGCTTCAATCTATCCGTTAGTTTATGTTAACGTAAATACATTTTTAAGCTTTATTATTCAATTTAAATTATATAGAAAAGTGTAATTTAAGTTAAACCGCATATGGTACACATATGCGGTTTTAAACGGTTCAATCTGTCCTTTTTTTTCAAAATATAAAATAATGTCCGTTTAGTAAACCTATGTACGCTTCTGTAAATACTGTGTTCGTATTGTAAACGTATTATTAAAGAAATTCAACACATTTTTTTTCGTTTTATTACACGTCTGTCTGAATCACGATAAGAAAACGATAAGTTAAAGATAAGTTAAAGATTTATCTAATCAACCATTAAAAATTTCCGCTATTGACCGTTTGAATTACTGTTATCGTGACCTATGGAAATATTATAAAGCTGCAGAGTTTGTTTGTTAGTTTAAACTATGGGATAGAATTGATATTTTTTTTGTGTTGGTTGGAGCATTACGACTACGATCAACAAGCGAAGAAATATTTAGTCGACGATATGAAAAAACGGGGAATACATCTTGAGGGCCTGCGTTGCGTACGCTACGAAACCAAAGTAGCAGTACGTGGACGACTTCGGAGGTAACAGCTTTAATTTATAAAGCTAAGGTGGTTCATTAGAAAAATTAATATTGATGCTCAAAATAACAATTCCACGCGGACAAAGTCGCGGGCACAGCTTGTCGTAAATATAGTGATAGCTTCTACCGAATTAGTTTGTTTAGTTACTTAACATGTGAAAGTGAATTAGAAAAACCCTTATGTATTCTCGAAATCGAATATCCAGAATTTCAGATGAAGTATGTAGTGTTTTAGAAACATTATAAATTTATCTAAACATTTTCGATCCTATGCGCAACAATTGCACGACCCGTTGATTTTTAGCCACACATTGTTACATTTTATTTTCTAAGGATAATTTTAATTGAAGTTATGTTTAAATAAAACACTTCAACTTAAAACGCGATATATTGGTTAAACTTATTTGAAAATGATTTTTAACTTCGGCCCTACTTTTCGGATGCTTTGCAGCAGCCGTGGTCACGGGGAGACTGACTAATGTATCGCGTTTTAAGCCGTTAAAGTGTTTTATTTAAATGTGTACTACTCGCGTAAACTATAGACAGTATTTGAAGTTGTTTGTCCAATGTGATAAAAGCTTCGCTAAGTAATAAAAAGTGCCTATCACAAACTTACGCATTAAGAAAACAGGTTTTGGGGAGATGCACTTTGTTTGACTGATCAATTAAATTAATGGACACGGCCACATAACATCTAAACTTGACGGCTTTTTTATCCGATCCGATATTCTTACCACCCGTTACACCTATTCAGATTTCCAGACGAGTCCAACGTGCTTCTTAAAAATTTTAACTTCATTAGAAACATATTGTTCCCGATGGGAATCGAACTCACGTTATTTATTATACATTGCTACCGACGAGACCGTAATTAACCTCGAAGCTAATTTGGTAATTTAAACTATAATCAGATTAGGAATAAAAAGCAGATGGAATTAATTAGATAGTGACGTCATAATGGCTTTGTGTCGGTGTAACGTTTTGATAAAATACGTACGCAGTCACCGTTTTATGCAATATCAGAGATAACGTTGATAATAACAGAATAGTATTAAATAATATTTACCTTAATGCAGATCGTACTATGACACTTTTGAGACGTACTTAGTTACTGACTAACGTAAAAATATATTTATTTTAATTTAATAAAAAAACAACATGGCGAACAAAAGCTTCCCTTATGAGATCAAACAAATGAATGTGTCGCAAGACGAAATTGGGCAAAAGTATCCCGGTAAGTATTTGAATTTGTTTTTTTTTATTCCGATACAAAAGTTTTACAAATTAAATAAAACATAATTAGCTGTGTTTGAACAATTGTGTTTCACATATTTTGCACTTGATTTTAACATTTTTTTTTTCTCTTGGGACTGAACCAGCATCCACAGCGTTTCATGTTGCCGCTCTAATAATGAAGTCTTGGTGATATCGGGTTTTCAATTTATATTTAACTGTGTTGTCAAAGACATATTCAATAAAAAAATATTTCGCGTTTTAAACGGTTAACATGTTTAATTCAAGGTGTAAAAGTGTCAGAAACTACAGACATAGACATAGACATAAAATAATGACAATATTATTCCGATAACGTTTAGGTTATCTTAGCTTATCAGTCTAGGATTTGATATCGAAAAAGGAAGGAAATTGAATAATTCGATTTTAATTTATATAAAGTCATTACACACGGAAATATAATGATATGTACAATATTAGAAGAGTTTGCTCTCGACTGTACCTTATAAGTGATGTACAGTCAAAGAGAAAATGCTTATTTCAGATTTCACGTTTCATTCGCGAACTTTTACTTAAATACTGTCTGTAGTTTCCGCGAGTGGTACATATTTAAATAAAACACTTAAACTGTTAAAAACGCGATATATTAAACTTGTTTGAATATTATTTTAACTACGGCCCGATGTTTCTGATGCTTTGCAGCAAAGCAGCCGTGGACACGGCTTATTTCGCGTTTTAAACCGTTAAATTGTTTTATTTGAACTTTTACTTGTAAAATTTAAAACTTTTTCAGCAGCGTTGTGAAATTTGTTGTAATGGTAAAAAAATATTAAAGCTAAGACCAATCCTATAATTTTGTTCATTACGACTGCGTTTCAAAGATACATATTTTTAGGGCTTGTAAGCGTGGGACCCAAGGGCTTCGTTTTTCCAGAGAACTACAGGAATTATGCAGAGAAATATTACAACCTGGAAGTAAGGCCTAGTGACGTTTTTGTCTTTAGTTTCCCAAGATCAGGTGAGACGTGTATTAAGCGATAGATTATTTTTATCTTTACATCGATAATCATATTTTTTATTAAAAAGGAACAAGAATTATCACCTAATCGTTGTTACTAAGTTAAATTAAATGCTTAACAATTTTTATATCCTGCCATTCCAGATGAACTATGTCTTTATACATATACACAAAATTTAGTAATATGAATATATAAAGTTTAGTTAAATAAATGTATTGTTTAGCTTAACTAATTTTATAAAAGAAAGAAATGTTGTAGTTAACTGGAATGAAACACAAGAAATAAGAACCCGGTTTTTTTACGTTTTAAAACGGGAAATATATTAATTTTGACAGTGACAGGACGTCGGATTTATTAAAGACTTTGAAAAAATAAGCAATCTTTAGTCCCTGTCACCACGCCTGCTGCAAAGAATGTTAAACGTCAGGTCTTTGTCAAAATCATTTAATTAATATAAACCGTTACAAGGGGTTTATTTAACATACTTTTCCGTTTAAGACATTGAAAGTGGTTTATTTAATGAAAATGAGATTTCCCAATATTCCAGGAACTACGTGGACCCAAGAGTTAGTCTGGTTGGTGGTGAATGATTTGGATTATAAGACTGCAAACAAAATAGCGCTGACAGATAGATATCAGTTCTTAGAGTATGTATTTAAATAAAAGTACCTAAAATGTACCTGAAAAAATTAAGATCCCTTTGGCCTGACTACAGTAATCTTATCAATTTTCCTGTCAATAAAATCAACAAAGTGTCTGCTCCATGCTCTACTAAAAATTATAAAATGATTTTTCTTTTATTAATGAAATTTGTAAAATTTAAAATTCTTCGTGCATTTCGGCTATCAATACTTTGGGAGCTTTGGAGTCGTACAAAAGCGTTCCCAGGGCTCCCTCGAAAGCACCGTAGCGGCCTGGTGGCGTGTTCAATGGTCGGAGATTATCTCCGAGGAGGTTGTAGTACGATTTACCACACTACCCACGTCACTATTGCCCGACGTGGGTGTGCATTAGGCATTCAAATCATCAGTCAGAGCAATCTAATTTATATCTTATCAGTAATAATTCTTCCGCTACGGGTTTTCTTATTTTACCCTTGTCTCGTTAACTTTATTAATTATTAAAATATTTATTATTAGGTTTAATATTTCCTACTCAGGGTCCAGAGGCAACATAAGCCGTTAGCACACCTTTATTACAATTACAAGGCTAGGTTACACTCTTGTAAATAGAGCCCCAAGCTGATCTACCTTCTTCTTAAATAGGTCGTAATTATAAAACCACATTTTAGATACATACACAGCTATACTGATGAAAGAAAACGGAGTCTCTACGAACAGCACAAAAATGATGAGGAGAAGTTAAAATTAGTCGACGTAGCTCTTCAATCAGCCGTGGACGTACTACCAACGCTACCATCACCTCGTTTCATCAAGAGTCACTTACCATTGTCATTGTTACCACCAAATTCGCTTGATGCAAAATTGGTGTACGTAGCGAGAGATCCGAGGGACTGTATCGTCTCTTACTATCATTTCACGAACTCCTTAAAGTTGGTTGAACCTCAGAAAGACTTCAAAGTCTTTTGGAATGCTATCGTTAAAAATTTACGTGAGTATTACTATATATGAGGCATAATGTTTTTTTTGTATAGAAGTTTATTTTAAATGTATACTTGTGTTTCCTCCTTATTATTTGGTTGTCATCATTCTCTGAAAATCGGCGCTGAAACAAATTTGTTGTTGCAGCAACATCTGAGTGAAGTCCTTCCACAGCAAAGTTAGTGTTATGTGTGCCTAAACCATATATATATAACTAGCTATGCCCGCGACTTTGTTCGCGTGGAATAGTGACTTGGGGTAGAATTTTTAATTATTTAGGCTGTTTATTAATTTATGTTGCGTATTTACCGCAGCCAATCTATGTTGTAAGCGCTACTTTGCCGCAACATTCTCACCTCACATCACTCCTACGCTAACTCTCACTCTCACTCCCACTCCTAACCTCAAATAGCCAAAGAAGAAAGTTTCAATGTTCTATCTTCAAAAACCACGAATTTCCATACCAACTTTCACCCCCATTTTTAACCCCTTACAACCCCCTTTTCGCAATAAAAAGTAGCCTATGTTCTTTATCAGGGTCTAGACCATATGTGTACCAAACCCCCCCCCTTTCATTCAAATCCGTTTAGTAGTTTTAGCGTGAAAGAGTAACAGACAAACAAACAGAGTTTCGCATTTATAATATTAGTAAGGATTGTCTGTATTATTAAATTCTTTGTATGTTTTTTGGTGTGGTTGGGTAATAAATAATTTAAATATATGTTTATAGTCATCGTTTCTAAAGAACGTGGGAAGTTGTTAATGAGGTTCTATATAAAAGCGTATTATCTAAATATCTAACAATTAACATTAATTAATTAATTCAATAATTTCAACGACACTTATCGTTTCAGAACCTTGGACGCCATTTTTCGAGAATGTAAAGGAGGCTTGGGAACAGCGGCACCATCCTAACTTATTATTTATATTCTATGAGGACTTGCGGAAGGTAGGTGACATATCCATTCATATTTTGGCGTTTTATATAGAAGATATTCACCTTTACTAATATTATAAGGCTTAAGAGTTTGTTTGGTTTATTTAAATACGCTAATCTCAGGAAGGAAGTTTGAATTAAAAAATTCGAACGAGTAGTTCCCGAGATCAGCGCACAATCGATTATTTTTATTTTGGTTGGAGCCTTTATCGAGGAAGACTTTAGAAACGAAGAAATAGTGGGAAATATTATTCTTATCTACACATTACTATCTTTGTGGGTTTTTGTTGCGTACGCTGCGGAAACTTTGACTACTATTACTCACACTGCTAATACTAAGATACCCAAAAATATGTATAAAAAATAATAATTCCTCTCCAAACAATCTAAAAAAATTCCCGCGAAAGTATGTCTTTGTAATAATCATATCTTTTAAGATTAGAACATACGAGAACTACTTATAAAGGTGAGAAGGAGATTTGCAAAACCGATAGACGATGGCCCGGGCACAGCCAAAATAATAACCGTAACCGTAGTATAGGCCTACGCGTATACTTCGATACAGTTAAATATTATTAATCTACCCTCATAACTCTTCAGGATCTCCTCTCATCCGTCCGAAGGGTTTGTGACTTCTTCGGCAAGAAATACAGTGATGAGCAATTGGAGAAACTCTGCGACCACCTAAGATTTGAAAACTTCAGGAAGAACACCTCCGTTGACTTAAATATTATGAAGGAGCTAGGTCTGATGAGCACCGACAAGGATTTTGTTAGAAAAGGTTTGTATATTTCGCAATAATGATTGATTTTGGAAAGACGCCGAAATATGACAAATATCCCAAGTTTCTTATATGCTTGGACACTTCACCTTCCAATTATTAGCAAGCACCATGTTTGTCTCATGACCCATGCTCTTCTGTTAAAGAATATGTGGTTCAAATGCCTTGTAACGTTATTTGTATGCCTGTCTATTTGTCTTTCCTTACTTTTGCTTAATGTTTAATTAAATAGTATAACTCAGATTAGTATTACTTCTACTTATCACTTCTATCAAACATTTGTTATTTACATAGACATATTCGATATCCAATTTTTTCACTGAATTTTAATAAAAAATATATATCTCAATAAAACCAAACCTCGCAACTTCTGACCTTTTAAAATTATTATCATGTAAAAGACATAGTTTTTTAAATAGTTATATTTGTTTGTCTGTTTCAAATCACTATAGTAACGGATTTATAAAAATTCCACTGTAAATAGATTATCTCTTATCGTAGATTAGCTCGTGCCAGTTGATCTTGGATACAAAGCCTAGCTCGTAGATAATATATCATGCACTTATATCGAGATAGCTAAATTTGAAATCGTTTCGACCAATTAATTCTTCCACAGATCCCCTCTATAGATTTAAAATTTAGATTTCCATATTAACCATCTAGAGTGTCAATAAAAATCCTATAATATTATAAACGTGAAAGTTTGTATGTGTGGATGGATGTCTGTTACTCTTTCACCAAAAATACTAAATGGATTTCAATTAAACTTTCCAATAGCTTATACATCAGAATAACACATAGGCTACAATTTATAAAGATATTGTGTAAGCTGTCCAAAATATGTCAAGTAACTAGGAAAAAACCTATCTTTCTGCGAGCTCTTCTGACATTCGCTGCCATAAACGTTAGTTACACATAATAATGTAATGTATGATAAGATAGACATCATTTAGTTTAAATGCACGATACTACGTAATCCTAATCCTAATCCAGCTAGTTGTTAATATTAATTGCGAGTGGCGGAATATCATGCTCTCCTCCTCATCACCATCCATCATCACCCTCCATCATCTTGATTTAAACTTTAGGTCGATACCGATTTATTAACGGTGTATATTTCGCGTTTTTAACTGTTTAGGTGTTTCGTCAGCTACTCGTGTAAACTACACTGCGTGTGTAGGTTTTTGACGTGCTCTTTGGTGTAATGGTAGAAATGCACAGTTAATTATCAACGGGTCCCACATCTTCCTAATCAATTTATATTTTTCTAAAATACTTGGACGGACTTGGCCTGGAAATCATATTAAATGGGTGATAGGAATATCGAAGTCGACCGAATCACCGTCCATAGATGATAGAAGCCGTGAAGTTTAATAACGTTTCGGTTACAGTCTGTGGATTTCCGAATCTATATAGATGCTATGGGCTGTGGTATTTTACCTACCATCAGTGAAGTCCATGCTTGCTTTACGAGAGTTCCCAATTTCATCCAATTCGTTGTTTGAATCCTGGATCTGAGCGTTCTACCTAATTTGGAGTCTGTGTAACTTTGATTGATTTTTTTAATCCGGGAGCAATTAGTCCTTTGTTTGTATTAACGAATTAATTGCGCAGGTATGTCTGGTGGATGGAGGGACTATTTCGACGAGGAGATGACAGCAGTAACGGATAAATGGATAGCAGACAACCTTCGCGATACCGACCTACGATTCCCAAGCATGCAATAAATTAATTAAGACTAGCGTATTATTTTATTACTTCTTATCTTTAAAGATTATAGGTTTGATTATACGTAATATCAAGAGATATCATAATCACAAGATAAGCATAGGAATCTATCTAAGTGTTTGTTTGTTTGTATGCGCTAATCTCAGAAACTAGTGTTGGGAGTTGAAAAAATATGTTTTTCTTGGTTAGAACATTTATTGGGGAAGGTTTTGCAATATTAATATTAATAATTAATAAGAGCAAAGGAAGACGGGAAATGTGGATAATCGGGGGGATTTATTCATCTTTGTGAGTTTTCGATGCGAACGCAGCGAAAACGGTTCAAGATACCCAAAAAATATGTAAGAAAAAATGATACGTCCTTAAATCAAAAAAACATGTTCATGACACTATATGTTTGTCTTTTAAAATTAATTTGCAAGAACGACGTGACACGACCGACGTCGCGGGTAACAGCAAAAATTTATAAAGATGAAGAGTTTTGCAAAAACAAATTTGGATACCCAAAATAACTATTATACGCGGAAGAAGTCGCTGACACAGCTAGTCTTAACTATAAGATATAGACGTTATATCAAGAGATATCATAATCATGATTAGGTCTCGTGATTAGGATAAAAATTATGTAATATACGTCACTGAAAAGAAGTCACATTTAAGTGTTAGCATTAGTAAATAATCTGTGACGTTCGGGTCGTTGGTATAATGGAAGCAACATTCAAAACTCGTGGGACACTGGTTCAATTTTTTCGATTCAGCCGTTCCGTGTCCACTGCTGGACATAGGCCTCACTGGTTCCATATTATGTTTTTAATTACTTTACAATTTTTCTGAAACATGTTGGACTTCGTCAGGAAATCTAGTTATTAAATGGGGGGTTGGAATATTAATTTTTGTTCGGTTCACCAACTTATGTCCACAGATAAAAAAGACGTAAAGTTTGATAGCGTTGACAGAAATCCAAAGACGGCAACCGTTCAGTTGTATATGTAATTCCAAAATAGATCGACAATGCATTTAGTTAAGATTATATATGGCTGGAGTATGTAAACTCCCTGTGTAGGGACCGCCTTTGTAGCCTAACGGTTAAACGTATTGCCTAGCATAGCGTTAAGCGCGAGAAGGTTCGAATCCCAAGGAATCAAACAATTGTTTCGATCAGGCAGAGCATAGAAGTCTGATCCACTATTGTCTGTTAAAGACCGGATCAGTGAAACTGACTCAGAAATGCGTTCGCCCCATGCCCTACGAGGGGGAAACGGGATTTTACTTACTTATGTAAACTCCCATTAAGTGAACGACTTGTTTATCCGTCCTCCTTTATTTAAATAAATAATTCAATTATTTCAGCTATGGTAATTTTGCTATGACGATAATATTTATATTTAAAGAATTAATAATATTATAACATTGAATCACCATTAGAATAGCTGAAAAGCAATCAAAATGTCATAGTTAAAATCATCAAATATATTTCGTTTAAGTCCGCTTACAGTGGTTTAATTTGTGATCCGCTCGTATAAACTACGGGAAATTCTTATATATAACTACATGATACATATAATTAATTCCCTTTGCTCTTGAGAATAAACTCAGTTCCAAAAAGCACTTACGCGTGAAATTAATTTTGCTATGTTGTTTTTTACAAAAACTACACTTAATTGTATCAAAAATTAAATTGCCTTAAACTTGTAAAACAATGTATTCTATTTTTGAATACTTTAATATTATTCACATGTTATTGAAATCGAAAATAAATTGAAAAAAAATTCGACTCGGGCAGGACCTTCAAGTCCGGCATCGTCAGCTTTCCGTGCTGTTGCTCTACCAATTAAGCTACCGAGTCCTACATGGATCGTGTGCAATAACATGTGAAAAATAATAAAGTTTTCAAACGAAATAACTTCGTAAAAATCTTCAATGATTTCTTAAGCTGCAAAACATAAGACGTTAAACCTTAAAACGCAAGTGTTAATGTTGAAATTACATTGCGCGATAGGTGCATGTATCAATAAGTTGAAAAAATTCGAAAAGAATGCGTTAGTAAGTAAGCAATTGTAAATTCCGAATATCCAAAGCCAAAATAGATAGACAGCGCATGTATGTTATACGTTCTAGGTATTTAACCTTCCATCAAGTTACTTATATTAATTAAATTAAAAATTCTTATACTTGATGGTAGGTAAAATCAGCCTTCGGATATTCGGAAATCCACAGACTGAACGAAACATGATTAAACTTCACGGCTTTTTCGTCTGTGGTGGCCGTGACCCGGGCGGAAGTTTGATATTTCTACCACCTATTTAATATACAGATTTTCAGGCGAAGTCCAACATGAGAAAAATTCTACATTGATTAGAAAAATGTTGGACTAAATGAGGGTCGGACCCACGACCCGTTTATTAGCCGTGCATTGCCTATTATTACACCAACTCTATCATAAAAGACTTATATAATATATATGATAATAAAACTATCAATTATAGTGCAACCAAACAAAAAAACTTTCTTTTGTTTATTTAACACGAACCCGTCACGCACTTTTCCATTTGCGGGAGATAGACACCAAAATAAACACTTCATAGATACGATTAAAAGTGCGATATAAAATATTACGGCTTAAGATACGTAAAATAAATACGCACAAAAATTTCGAGCCAGTTTCTTCATAATCGCTGACCTATTTATTGTGTTTGCTTCGATATTGGTATTTTTCAAATATGGCGAACAAAAATTATCCATATACGTTAGAGATTCTGAAGCCACCAGGAACTGACGAGGAGTTAGAAACTTTACCAGGTAAAAAACAGCATTTGGTATTTGGACTCGGGATGTTGACGGCAAAATGTTTGGACCAGCCTACGCCATGTGTAGGAAACACAGAGTAGTTACAAACCATAGTGCAAAACCAAGATCGGTCGACAGGGCATCTTAATTACATTATACTAGCTGTGTCAGCGACTTTGTCCGCGTAGAATAGTTATTTTGGGTATCCAAATTTGTTTTTGCAAAACTCCTCTTCATCTTTATAAATTTTTGCTGTTACCCGCGACGTCGGTCGTGTCACGTCGTTCTTGCAAATTAATCTTAAAAGGCAATCATATAGTGCCGTGAACATGTTTTTAGATCACTTAAGGACGTATCATTTTTTCTTACATATTTTTTGGGTATCTTGAACCGTTTTCGCAGCGTTCGCATCGAAAACTTTCTTTGCTCTTACTCATTATTAATATCAAAATTGCAAAACCTTCCCCGATAAATGTTCTAACCAAGAAAAACATATGTTTTCAATTCCCAACAGTAGTTTCTGAGATTAGCGCATACAAACAAACAATCAAACTAACTCTTCAGCTTTATAGGTATATTAGTTTACATAGGTAATTGGACTTTCACCTCTCAACATATAGATCTTCTTCTATCTTTTTATCTCTAATACAGAATACATTTTGTCTGTCCGTTTGACTTATCGATGTTCGCTAGATCTAGCGGCAATTAGATTTAGTTAAATAAATAAATAATTGTTCAAAATTCCTATTCTTATAGTTAAGTAAGCATATGTGCACCGATGTTCTTCTGGGTCAAAAGAACATCGGTTCACATGTCCTAGGTAAGACAAAGTGGACCTTAAGATAACATACAGAGTTCGAATATGCTGACGTAAGCTTAAACAACGTGATTGACTTGAACAACTTACTTATCTCTTGATGGTGTTGTTTGTTAAAAAACAAAAAATTGTTGTTAAACGACATAAAAAATACAATTTGAAGAATATCGTAAAAGTATTATTAAATCATTTGTTTGTATTTATTTGTTACTTTTCTTAGTATTTATTTCCTTATTACCATAATATTTTAATGACAAATAAATAGGACTTTAAAGTACTAGAAGGCTGTGCATTTCGCGACCCGGCAACTAACAAGCCCTTCAGGCTACGTAAAATGTTTAATATTTTACTTCTTTCTAATTAACATCTGTTAACTTTTAACTTAGTCAACAATAACTAGTTTTTATATTCAAATGCTATGTTTTTTTACTTTTCAAATGCGATAAAGAATTTGAACTAATTCGAATCTTCGAGAAAAATTGAAGTCGAGGCAAAGTAGCCTAACTGCAATTTTCTGACTTGAGTTATTTTTTCATAGTCTTAAAATGTTAATCTATAACACCACAGTGACCGAAAATTGTTAGCATAATTCTTACACAAATAATACTAAATTTTCGCCTAATAATTGCGCATTTATATTTTCCTCCTTATTGGAAATCATGTTTTTGTTATTTGGCCACTCTAGCAGTCTCGATTCAACAACTGCATCTATCTATCATTTAAATAAAGATTGAATGTTGATTTACAGGACTAGTTCGTATAGGACCGAAAGGCTACATGTTCCCTGAAGGTTTTAAGACCATAGCGGCAGATGTGTACAACATGGAAGTTAAGCCGAGCGATGTTTTCGTCTTTAGTTTTCCTAGATCAGGTAAATAGATAACGTATCTGATACAGCCCGTCAATATAATTAGTTATGATGGAAAGTAAGATAAAGTTTAATCAAAAAACGCAAAGATATTAAACATGTATTGCACAAGGTCACTGCAGACAAAACACCATTTTTAGAATATCATTTTAAATTCGGTACATACAATACATTCGGTATTGTTTAAAGTACTGAATGAAAAAACGCTAGTTGTTCATATATTTTTTTAAGTGCTGTGCTCATCAAATCCTGATATAGTTTGGATTAGCACAAACTTGGAACATCTACTTTCCAATGAAAAAAGAATAATCAAAATCGGTTCATACTCGTAAGCAACGAAGTTGTGCAATATAGTGTAAACGAAGTTGTGTAATATAGTTAACTATATTATATTTATAGAGGCATAAATACAAATCGAATTCAGAAACTACTTTTCTTTGAAGTTGGTTGAAAAAGCTTATGTAGCTCGAAAACCAATTAACTTTGATTTTTTAAATTTTTTTAAATGATAGAAAATATAAAGCCCTTAATTACACAATGTAATAAGTAAAGATTATATACATACTTCTTAAGCATGTTTCGTTAGTAGTCGATGATTAGTTTCCACTTAAACTTAAACATGAAAACTTCAGGTACCACCTGGACCCAAGAGCTGGTGTGGTTGGTTGCAAATGATTTGGACTACGAAACTGCAAGCAGAATACCACTCACCGACAGATATCCGTTTTTAGAGTAAGATTTTACATTTTCCACTTTTATTTTTATGTGTAATAAGTTGATGTGGGGAGAAGAGAGAGTACTCTGTGACCTGACTAATGTTTTGTGTTAAGCTTATAAATCCCAGGTTCCGAAAGTAGAACCTCGATAAACGCTATAACCATTGCGACATCGTATACAAAACATAGTTTTACATAAAAACAATATAATTCCACACTATATAATTATAATACGTGATTGGCGGGTTTTAAACGACTGTTACCTGTAAAATAATAACAATAACCGAAAGTCCGGTACTTGAATTTTTTATTAAAAATACAAATACTAGTACTTCGACCACTGAACAGTCTCACGACACAAAAAAAAATATCCGTTACTGTTACTTTCCTATCAGATTTTCAATATCTTTGGATGAAGAAATGAGAAAGAAATTATATGAAGAGAACAAAGGTGATCCGAAAAAGGTGAAACAAATAGAAATGGTGACGAGGTCCGCCTTAGAGTTACTGGAAGCAACGCCACCACCGCGCTTCATAAAGACGCACCTACCACTGTCGCTGTTACCACCAAATGTACTAGATGCGAAAATGGTCTACGTAGCCAGGGACCCGCGGGACGCCATTGTTTCTTTCTACCACTTAACGAAGTCTATGAAACTATTGAACTATAAAGAAGACTTCAAAACGTTCTGGATTGGAGTCCTAAATAATATCCGTAAGTTCTTTTTTAAAATAAAGAGCCTCCCCCCTCCCCCTCTCCTATGGGACCTGCGGTAAACACGTTTCTGAGTCCGTTTTACTTACTTCCAGACTTCTGTATCTGAAGGCGAAACCGATTTATTCGTTCCCAGGATTCTCTCGTGGCCGCAGTACTAGGTAACGCGTTTAGCGAAATGGCCAGTTATAAAAGAGTTGTTTGTTGTCGTGACGATGTGGTTTGAGATCCACTTACCATTTTCTTAAACCATTTCTTGATATTGAGTGGTACAGTCACTGCAAAAACGCATTTACATTAATTTACAGAATGAACGACGTAAATTTTTGGACTAATTAAAAGCTTTGCATAAAAACTTCGATCCTTCTTCTTTATTTTAAGCCAGATTATTAGGTACTATAGTCCTTAACATAATAAAAATCTTCCTAGAACCCTGGACGCCGTACTTCGACAACGTTAAAGAATCTTGGGAGAAGAGGGACCACCCTAACCTGCTTTTCTTATTTTATGAGGACATGAGAAAGGTTTGGCACTGAACTTTATTGCATCAAACGCGTGGTGGGTATAATAAAATGTCTGGGATTAGAAATGTTTAGCATATTATTGTTACTAAAACACATACAAGTGTGGGTGATAGTGTTACAAAAGAGTGTGTGAATTAAGTAATTAAGTTAAGCTAGTTCTCACTTACATCCCAATTATAAAGAAGTCAGGCATACGATTTAAAAATATATTAATACTAGGTGTGCGAACGACTTCCTCTCTGTGGAATAGTTATTTTCGGCACCTATATTATTTATTGTTGCAAATAACCTCCTCGGATTTATATAATATAGTCCTCCGCGTCCCATCATTCTTGCAAGTTAATCTTAAAATATAGACATTTAAATAAAACACTTTAACGGTTTAAAACGCGATTATTAGCTAAACTTATTTGAAAATGATTTTTTACTTCGGCCCGACGTTTCGGATGCTTTGCAGCAGCCGTGGTCTCCCCTTGACCGAACGGCCGAAGTTAAAAATCATTTCCAAATAAGTTTAACTAATATATCGCGTTTTAAACCGTTAAAGTGTTTTATTTAAAGGAATCATCATTTCGCATATATATTTTTTGGGTATCTTGAACAGAATTCTCTATATGTCTCGCTGTTTCATCGGCGCGATGCTTATAACCTATATAGCCTTTCTCGACATCCTTTAACCCACGGGGCCCACATAACACAAGAGATTTTCTGATATATTAAACAAACAAACAGACTATTCAGCTTTTTGATATCAGTATTAAAAGCAAAGAGAAGAGAATGTAAAAGAACTAAAGACGATAATTAAAATGACTTCATTATTCAGGATCTTCCATCAAGCGTTCGCCGTGTTTGTGACTTCTTCGGCAAGAAATACAGCGATGAGCAGATATTGAAACTCTGCGACCATTTGAGCTTTGACAACTTCAAGAAGAACTCATCAGTTAACTACGATCTTATGAAGGAGTTGGGATTTATGTATGCTGATCAAGAGTTCGTTCGGAAAGGTATTATTTATAAATTATAATGCTTTTGTAAATTGTTTGTATGACCTCCAAAACCTTTGAATTAATTTGAATGAAATTGTGTATATACATTCGTTAGCAGACCTAACAGTTTTTTTTATATAAATATAGGATATTTGTTACCCATTTTCGGCCATTTGTTCTTATAAACTACAATCTTGCACGACACTCTTGATCTACCAAATATTCTAGAAATAATGGCAGAATTACGTTTAACGGGTCAGCTAGTTACATTATAAATGTATCAAATTCTCATGATAATCTTTGGATCCCTCTAAACTATCTATCTAAGCTCTAAACATCAGATACTTTATATTTTATTGTCATAGTCGTCGTCCACCTTTTTTACATCTTTATTGTTTTAGATAACCACTTTTTATTCGATATTTAATTTAGCATCCCTATGGTTTAGCGCCTAGTTTTTTTAGTAATATCTGAATAGGTAATCAATTATCCCTTGATTATTTATTCCCGTGAATTATAAAAGATGAGAAACAGAATCATTTCGTTTCACACCTTTAAAAATGTTGAAAACAAGTATACATTTCAGGCAAAACTGGCGGTTGGCGAGACTACTTCGATGAAGAGATGGTAGCACAGGCAGACAAATGGATAGCTGATAATCTTAAGGACACAGACCTTCAATTTCCAAGCATGATTAATTAAATGTCTCTAAATTTTGTTTAAAAAAGCTTATTTTAAACAACAATAAACCTTATAATCGCAAAAGGTATGTCTTTTAAATAAGACTCCTTTAACTGTTTAAACCGCAAACTTAGTTAACTTATTTAAAATTACTTTCGGATTCTTTGCAGCATTTGTGGTCACGTGGGGCTGAAGATGTTAGGTCACCCAAATGTCTGCTACAATAGCGCCATCTGTAGGGAGGACGGCCTCAAGATATTGAACAAATTTTGTTGCATAAAATATTATATTTGCACACGTAAGTGAATACAGTGAGACTTCACAATCTAACAAATTATTTTTATAATGATCTTCGTATATTTGAAAATTTAAGTAAATATTTAATAAGCCACCCGCCCCGGCTTCACTCGGGTGCAATGCTGATAGTATAATATACACTATAAAAAAACTGTCAACGTTGTAAAAACCATCAAAATCTGTTGCATAGTTTTACCGTTTTAAGCGCACATAGGGACAGATAAGGCGACTTTTATACTATGTAGTGATGATGACAGAACAGAACTGCAGCCCGATTTTCGTAATATTATAAGATAGCAGCAGCGCAGTTGCAGTGACGTTTTGTTGTCTTTGTATTCTCGTCTAACGTCAAACACGTTCGCGTCAAGTTTTTTTTTTTTTTTTTTTTTTTTTTTTTCATTTGTGGCAAGAAGAACTAACTATTTGCCAGTGTCAAGTTAAAGGCTGTGGTTAAAGGTAGGGAAACTTTACACGGAAAAAAAGGATATTATGACGGCTTATATATAGTGATCAGGAGAGTTAGGCAAAATTAATATATTAATGTAGATAAAATAAAAATATATAAACACTACAGTTTTACGTTATTAATAAATATAAAATGAGAAATGATCTTAAAATGTTTTTTAGGATACATACATAGATAGGACATACGAGTAGGAAGAGGAATATTCGATGAAATTAAAGAGGAATAAAAGGAGGAATGGTCATACAGGCGGCAAGAGAAAAATATATGATCTATATTTCCCTCTTCCTCACCACACTCACAAGTAGCATTACTTAAAACACCAATTTTGGCTAAATGACTAGGAATACATATATGTCCAATTCTCATGCGACTTATAGTGGAAATTATCATTTTACTTGCATCAACACCAAAAAACCAAGGTTTTGTTGGTATTGTCGGTTGAATGTTATAATAGTTCCTTCCCTTATACTGTCCAGTCTCTGCCCAACCCTTATTCCATGCTTCAAAGAGAAATCTTTTCGGCAATGAAAGGAGGTCATGGCTATAGCTAATGTATGGATATATATCCCCACAATGCACCGCATCCTTTGCCAAGGAATCAGCCCTATCATTTCCTTGGATTCCAGAATGACTTGGGATCCAAGCAAAGGTCACCAAGTAACCGAAATTCTTACATTCAGCTAATTTATTTCTTATTTCAAATATAACAGGAAAATATGGTTTATTATAAAAAGGATATTTGTCTAAAGATTGCAGAGAACTCATTGAGTCAGTAAAAATAACCGATCTAGGGAGTTTCATTAATAAAATATATTCTAATGCTTTCAGGAGTCCAAAGCATTCTCCAGTAAATACAGAAGACTCAGGTGGTAACTTTATTTTTTGTGTAATCTTATATTGAACGTGATATATTCCAACTCCAACACAGCAAAGAGAGGAAGAGTCGGCTTTAGAGGCATCGGTATAAATGTGATGCCAATCACGCCATTTCTTATCGATATTAAACCTAAAGTTAATATTTGATTCTACTTCGTTCTTATTGATTCCTATATTGTAGTTTATATGCGGTTTGATCAAAAGGCACTGGAAATTATATGTATACAGCGATAATACTGGAGACTGAAAAATATGGGTAGACATTGAAATGAATTTACGGTAACTTATAATTAAACAAGGCATTGATCTATTTTTCCAGAAAGTTGACGTACTTATCCGATCGTTCAAAGTTTTTAGCTTGTTTATTAATGGATGGTTGCTGTATTGTAATATACGGAATAAAAATCTATCAGATAAGTATTGCCTTCGGATCTTGAGCGGAGGATCCCCACCTTCAACCTGAAGAGCATTAATAGGACTGGATTTCATAGCACCTAACATAATTCTCAGAGCCTTAGCTTGGATTTGATCTAATTTTTTTAGTGCTGTAACGTTACCGCTTTCTAATAAAAACATACCATAGTCCAGAATACTTCGAATCAAAGCATTGTAGACCAATTTCATACAATAAGGATGAGCACCCCACCAAACTCCCGAAAGACATCTTAATAAATTAAGTATACCTTCACATTTTGTACATATGTACTCAACGTGAAAAGTACCAGTCATTTTACTATCCAAGATTATACCTAAAAATTTTGTATGATTTTGAAGTGGTATCTGCTTCTCATTAAAACAAATATTAACCCTAGGAATCATTCGCGATCTTGTAAAGACAACGGCGACACTTTTATGGACAGAAACATCTAATCCATTTTTATCGAGCCAGCATTTAAGGTCAGTAAGACCTTGATTTAAAAAATTACAAGCACAGTTTAAGTTAGCATCTATTGTGTATATAACTAGATCATCCGCGTACTGAAGGATGTTAATAGTGGAATCGAGTGAATCAGCCAAATCATGTGTGTAAATATTATACAACAGAGGACTTAAGACTGATCCTTGAGGGAGACCTTTACTTATTGTACGTTTTAGTTGGACAGATTCATCAATGTTTAAAAATATATATCTTTGTTCTAGTAATGATATAATAAAATTAATTAAAACATTAGGAATACCAAGTTTCAAAAGTTTTTTTTGTAGTATCGAGATAACAACATTGTCGTATGCTGAACGAATATCAACAAACGCAGCAACAACATGTTGATTACATGAAAAAGCGATATTGATGTCTGAAGTTAGTATGGAGATGTTGTCAATGGCGCTCTTTGCCTTTCGAAACCCAAATTGACTATTCGATAGAAGTCGGTTATGTTCCAAATACCACTCTAGCCTATTTTTAATTAAATGCTCTAAAATTTTGCAAAGAACAGATGATAAAGCAATTGGCCTATAGGATGCTACCTCACTTGAGGATTTATTTGGCTTTAAGATAGGAATTATTTCTTGCGATTTCCAAGACCGAGGAATGTTCCCAGACATCAATATTGAATTTATTAAGTCTAAATAATATTTTAAACATGGTTCTGATAGGTGAGATAAAAAGGAATATGGAATCCCGTCCATTCCCGGCGAAGAATCTTTAACACACGAAAGAACTCCTTTGAGTTCTTCTAAAATAAATGGACATCCTACTAAAGAACTATAATTATGATCTGTAGGGGAGATAACTGAGGGTATCCTATCAATATACTCCGGGACCGTAAGAGGTGCCAGATTATCTATAAATTTATGAGCTAATTCCTTAGAAATGTCGGATGATTGTTCTTTGAAAGCTGATCGAAAACGTCTAATATTTTTCCACACTTCACCAGGAGAAGTATCAGGGGATAAAGATAAACAAAAAGATTTCCACCCTTCTTGTTTTTTTGTTTTAAGAAGTGACCGGGTAAGATTAATGGTTTGAGAGAGATTTTCAAAATTTATGTCGGACATATCATGCGCGTAAATTCTTTCCATACGCTTCCTTTCTTTGACAGCGTTACTGCATTCTTTATCCCACCATGCTGGAAATTTAAGTTTTGAACTATTAGTGGATTTATGCGGAAAAGTATCATCTGCCGCTTCAATAAATATGTTAGCTAGATGTTCAGAACAAGAATTCTCATTACCTGCATAAATTACTGGCAGGTCTTTAATCCGGCTTTCAACATTCTCTTTAAATTTGCCCCAATCAGCATTTTTTATTATATATTTTAATCGTGTTTTTTTAACCTTATTGTAACTATTTTTAATCGGAACTGTCATTATTATTGGATAATGGTCACTTCCAAATGAAGTTTCCAGAGGACGCCATAATATAGATGAAGCCAATTCTGGCGAGCAAATAGAAAGATCTATCGCACTTATATTTTCATTTGCTTTAGTACGGCGTGTAGGGTGACCCGTGTTAAGAATGCATAAATTGAACATATCTATTAAACCTAAAAGCTGTTCCCCACTTCTATTGGTAATGCTACTTCCCCAATATTGGTGTTGAGAATTAAAATCACCGAGCAACAATAAACGGGTAGAAACTGAACCTATTAAAGTTTGTAAATAATTATAAGTAGATTGTGAATTATGAGATATATAAGTGGAAATAATGGAGATACTTTTATTTAAACAAATTCCAACACTGTTTATGAATTTATTGTTGTGGGATGGCAAAACTAAACGTGTGAACGGGATTGTTTCTTTAACGAGTATGGCAGCACCACCATACCCATCAAATCTGTCATCTCGAACACAAACATAGCCTGCAATACGAAAATGAATATTGGGTTTCAGCCAAGTCTCATTAAGAGACACTATTATAGGATTATATTTGTTGATAATATAAATTAAATCTGTCTTTTTAGGAATTAAGCTTCTGCAATTCCATTGTACTATTATTGAATCCATTATTGATGTTAATAGTATCTATTAACTTATGTAGAGTGGCAACGTTGGACGGTTTCAATGTATTTGTTTTTGATAAAGTCTTAATAAGAGAAGTTATTATTTCCATGATATTGGAATCATCAGTGGTATTAGAAGATTCTTGATAACCACACCCATTTTCGGGGGCAGGAATCTGACCTTCCCTAATTAAAGAATTATGAGCAATTTTATCAAATCCCTTATTTGTTTTGGGAGGCGATTTGGGTTTTAAAAAATATGTTTTTTTGTAAGAAACGTTTGAATTGGGTCTATTTATAAAGTTGGGTTGATTTATTAAACTGGATTGATTTATTAAACTGGGTTGATTTAATAAACTGGGATAATCAGGGAGAGACTTTAATACATCTCCATACAGTTTACCTACTTGAGGGTGAAGTTTGCTTGCTTCGTTGTATGAAATATTATTTTGAGCCATACTAGATTTAATATTTTTTTGACGATTATACTCTGGACAGTTCTTATTAGTAGCATAGTGAAATCCTGAACACATTAAGCATGAAGCACAATCCTCCTCAACAGAACAAGAATCACCTGAGTGATCCTGACCACATTTGTAGCATCTGGGTTTAGAACGACAAATTGTTTTAGTGTGACCATATCTACAACATTGAAAACATTGTACTGTAGGAAAAATATAGAGATTTACCGGTAAAGAATTATAACAAACATAAATTCGTTGAGGAAGAACCTGCCCATCAAAAGTTAAAACTACAGACTGTGTAGGTCTCCAAGACACAGAACCATCAATAACGACCTTATAATTTATACGCCTAACTTTTATAATTTTTCCACAGCCTACTGGTGTTGAAATATTTTCTATAATTTCTTCTTGGGACCACTCGGATGGTATTCCTTTCACAATGCCTATACGACTAACATTAAATGTTGGTATTTTGGCACTTAACTTATGTAAACTTAAATTTTCATTTTTAATGAAATCATTAGCATCTTGTGGAGTTGAAAATGCTACAACACAACGATTTCTGCCTATTTTTTTTACACTGCCTGATACTATGTTTTTAATATTATAGTTTTTTAAAAATCTACCAAATGTAATGGGATGCAAAGTGGAACCATCTTTAGGAGATGATTCCAATCTCTGAACATGGACAATATAAGGGCGGGAATCACTTGGTAAGTACTCAGAACGTACAACTGGTAAAGAAGATTGTTCAATCATATTACTATTGTTATTAGTAGTGGTTTCTTTAAAAGTAACATCAGAATTGGAATTATTATTTGATTCTAAAGAATCACTGTCATGTTTCCTTCGTCTGCGTTTCTTAGGAGTGGCATCCATCCACTTATCTAATACTACATTATTACAATTAGTATTGATAGTTGGAACTGTAACATAACTAGCTACTTCAGGACCCAGTTGAGAACTAGGTTCTGAAGTAGTTGGTGCGGGAGGGTCGTCCATCGACTGACCCGCCAAAGAGAGAAAAAAAAAAACTACATCTAATATACAATTAAATAGACTTACCAATAGAAAATAACTATCTACACTAATTTACAAGTTTATAATGAGAAAACAAATTATATATACAAAGCCAAACTCAATTGAAAATCAATTTAAAAAATATTTTAAAATTCAATATCAAATAATACACCCGGTTCATTCGAAGGTTCCCGCGCTTCCCCGCGTCAAGTTTACGTGACGCCAGCGTGTATTGACATTTCGCTGGCGTACCTTATTGGATGGGCAGTTGTCAAATTAAAAGGATACCATCGGCGCTGAATCGAAACCTAATCGCGGCGTAACAACAACTTGATCGAAACGTCATTAAATTAGTAGAATCGGCGTGCAGATGAAAATACACCAAAAAGACACGCCAATTATAGAGATATTAAGCAACAAGTATTAATTTTTTTGTTCTTAATAATTACATAGAATATTATTTTACCCACGGTGATAATAAAAATGAGATTCAAAATATATTACATATTGTTGTTGTTTAATTAAAAGTTAAATATATACTTATATTCCAAAGTTGAAGAGATTGTTTGTTTAAACGTGCTCATCTTTTGAATGACTGGTTCGAATTGACCATTTATCGAGGAAGGCTTTAGCCCTTTCTACAATATCACTATGCTGCGATCAATAGAATAAAAAAAACAGTGGAATGTGTGGTAAAACGTGGACCATAATTCATCTTTGAATTTCTTGTTTTCATCTTTTCCGTTGCGTGCCCTGCTAAAATGTTTCACGGAATCTTAAGTACTTATAAAAAAAAAAAATGATTCCTCTTTAAATTATATTTAAAAATCCGCAACAGTATATGTCTATAGTTTAAAATTAAATCGCGAGAAATGTTTTTATGGTAATCAAATTTGTTCGAAATTTACCAATTATTTGTTGAGTTGTATCAACATAAAATTGGTAATCTTACAAACAACAAAACAACGTTTGCCGGATCACCTACGTCAGTATAAAATCTGCACTACATCTCGCCATTAGCCTATGTCGTTCAATGGTCACAAAACTCCGTCCACAGATGAAAAAACCGTCAAGTTTGTTCATCTGTAGACTGCATTTCGGTATCAATCTGTGGATTTCTTAATATCACTAACGAAAATAGGTCGCGAGCGCATTTTTTTGATGTGATATGGCTGGGGTATTTCACATACCATGAAGTGAACGCTGTGCTTGTCTGGTCTGTTCTGTTTTAAAAAAAATTGAAACATCTTTGCCCAGTGGGAACCTACAACCCCTGGGTTAGTAATCTTATTTTCCGGACATTGAGGCGACGAAAGATGTTGCCAGAATTATCAATATAACGATTAATAGCAACGATTTTTGAACTCTGTGGTGAAATTTGTTATGTCTATATCCTAATCTTAATGGAGATGGACAAACAAGCCCAGATGCTGGATGAAAATGACCTAGCCATATACTCGTAACAAATAAACAAGCACCGCTGTCGCTAAAAATACTAAAATAATTGTAATGGGTTTAAAAGCAATATATATATATATACTTTATTAGACTTTATAACAACTTAAAAGTGCAAGTGTAGATAGTAGTGCCCTGTGATTACGGTAAAAATCACAGGGCACTACTATCTACTTGGGAACAAACCGTTAAAACAAGTTTTATTCCACTTCTATGTCTATGTCAAAACTCATAATTGTTACTAATAACGTTAAAAGCTATTATATTATATCTATGTTATTTCATAAGATTTATTATACATTGAATTACGACACAATAGTTACGTAAAGAATGACGACATCGCAAATTATATTAGCGTATCTTTTTACGTCCATCACCCAAGTAACGATAGGACAAAAAACGATAGTGATCAAAGATCTACGTGCAACCGATCCATTTAAATATATTGACTTAATCTGGATTTCCTCTTTATATACTCAATCCTGTCATAACTTCCTTCTATAATGTTCAGTATAATATTGGTATAAATTTAGATTGAAAAGCGCGAGAGGTGTAATAGATAGGTTGAAAAAAGGACGATAGTTGAAGTGCCATGGGACGCTGTTTATAATCGCCAGTTCAAGTCCTGCCCGTGTTGTAATTTTTTTAAATGTACATATATATTTTTTTAATATATAGTCATAAACCGAAACGCGATTAACATTTATGACCTTTGAATGTACGCTAAGTCCTTTAAGACCGACCAGTTTACGTAATTATGAATTTAACAACAGGAAAATTGTAAATAAATCAAATCAAATTGTACACAAAAAACAACAAAATTTTGGTGACAATCTAAATAAAAAAAAACTGTATTAGTCTCGCTTGACGAAACTGATAATTTTTATGTACGCAAAATGTTCGTACTTAAATAATAAAGAGAGATATCACTCCCCATTTCAGAACTGAAATCTAACTGAAGATAGCGTGGAGTGAAGATACGAAAAATGGCGGCAAAATCAAATGCGTTGGTGGTGAACGAATTGGATGCGGAAACTAAGGAAATGTTGAAAAAACATTTTACAGGTGAGAGGCTTATTAGTGGCGCGAAAAAAATGCCCCCCCCTGATCCTCCCACCCCATGGTCAGATTTATGTGTTCCTTTCAAACGATTTTACTGGTACTTCTGTACAACAATTATTATTTATGAGTTCTATTTCTTCTTTGTTACATTATTTTACTATCTTACCGTCATATATTATAAGTGTGCTACAAATATTGTGTATTTTGCATTCTAAGAATTAAACTACTTGCATCATAAAAATAATAACGGTTTTAACTACATCAACGGTAATTAGCGTTATGCGAGAAAAATACGAGTAACAATGAGATTTACCTTACACAAGCTGTATTAAACCAAAATGTTTCTCAAAGAATTTATTATTTTTTAATAAAAAATTATCGGCATTGAATTTTGTTATCTCAGATAAAGATACGATAAATGTACGTATGTATTACGTGGGGTGCACAATAAATAAAACACTTTTTAACAGTTTGTAACGTGAAATCAGTAAATCCATAATGTCCACAGTTGATAAATATCGATGCTTTTAAACAAGTCGGTCTAATAAAAACCCGAGACTTTAAAATGGCCAAAGCCTTAAATGATTCATGTTATGTATATATTAAAATAAAACACTTTAACAGTTTAAAACGCGAAATATATATCTACTGTTTACTTTTTTACTTGTCTCCCCGTGATCGCGGAAGCTGTAAGTCGGACCGTAGTTAAAATAAATTGTTAATAATATATTTCGGGGTTTGAACTGTTAAAAGTGTATTATTTCAATATTTAACTATATGGGTTTAACTTAATTAGTACTTCGTTTGCATAATTGTGTGTGATTTTATTAAATGTACAGACAAATTGTATATATTTCCTGATATAAGTATAAAACAAATGGCCTTAGGTGAACGCGGAGGCTTCGTTCGCATGGGTCCCAAAGGTTATATTGTGACTGAGAGATACAAGGAAATGGCGGAGGACATCTACGACATGGAAATTAGACCAAGTGACGTCTGGGTGGTCACTTATGCACGATCAGGTTAGTGGTTGAGTTTGCCAATGTGACTGGCTATTAACTTTGACGGCCTCGTTGGTGAAATCTATACGAATACTAGCTGGTTTCGGACGAAGTCGCGAGCATGACATCGTCCGAATGGAATAGTTATTTTATACGACGTCGGTCGCGTCCCTTTCCGTCGTTCTTGCGGGATAATCTTAAAAAAAACATATAGCGTCGCGGACGTCGCTTTTTTTCGATCATTTAAAGAGGAATCACTCTTTCGAAAATATTTTTCGGGTATCGTGTACCCGTTTTTCAACTTTGCGTTTTTATGACACTCACGTAAAGGTCACTTTTCCACTTTGTTAACGAACTAGGACGGAGACGTACCAAGGATACCTTCACCATCGGTATCCCACCGCTGCCACCAAATTGTTATAAGGATTAAGCCGAAGGCCTTTTTAAAAATCGAAATTATTTTAATTAAAGACTTTATTAGTCAATTAGAGTAAAATTAGGATGGCAAGTGTCACGCGCGGATGATAAGATTGAACTGAACTAATTTCTAAAGACAAAACCTATGAGCTGTCACAGGTACTGACTTGGCATTGTTTACAGAAGGGTCAGCATTATTATATACATAGCCTATATATAACAGTACGCCTCAGAAACACATGAATGAATAATTTTCCCAAATTTTCTCACATTTCACGCTGTAACTTCGCTCCTAACAGTCACACGACGATGTTTTATAGCCTTATAGCCTGCCTCGATAAATGCTCTAATCGACACAATTTTTCAATTCGAAGCCGTCGTTCCTGCGATAAGCGTGTTCAAACAAAGAAACAAACTCTTCAGCTTCAAATATTAGTATAGATATAAAGCTGAAGTTGCATACTTGGTTAGATGCGATGCGACCACTAGGAAGATATAATTATTCATAGTTAAGGGTTCGTCATTATCTGCTTGTCCTCTTCTTAAAAGTTAAAGCTTCTACAGGAACAACATGGACTCAGGAGTTGGTTTGGATGGTGGCTAACGACTTGGACTACAAAACATCCAAATCTATAATACTGCCAGAAAGATTTCCATTCCTGGAGTAAGTATAATATATGGTAACATAGTGTGTGTCTACCATAATCTTTTGTCTTTTATATTTATTATTTATTATAATTAAATACTGTCTATAGTTCACGCGAGTAGTACACATTTAAGTAAAACACTTTAACGGTTTAAAACGGAATATATCAGAGTCCCCGTAACCACAGCTGCTGCAAAGCATCCGAAACGTCGGGCCAAAGTTAAAAATCATTGTCAAATAAGTTTAATTAATATATCACGTTTTAAACCGTTAAAGTGTTTTATTTAAACTGTTATAATTTTTAAGTTATATGTAATATATTGGCGTATATAATATACTCAGTTTTATATATTTAAAAATATAAATTAATAATTATAATATTAATATTTTGAGTATATTTCCTTTCCTAAAACTTTTATATTTTTACATATTACTGCATATGATTATTTAATCAAGGCATTATCAAAATTAAAAATCGATAAAAAATAAAAAACGACCGGTTGGGACTTGAAATGGCATTCAGCACTGGCACAGCGTGTCATGTTGTTGCTGAGCAGGTCACGGTAGCTTACGTACACTTCGTGTTGTGTCTTAAATATGATAAAATAGAGTTATGAAGAACTGATTACGAAGTTTTCGCGTTTACCATTTTTGTATTTGATTAACATTTATTGTACCTTTGCAGACACGCCATGATGTTGTACCCATCAATGAAAGAAGAAATTCTAACAGAGAAGAACTATGATCCGAAAATAAGGAAACTCCTCGAGTTATTCTCAGAGCCTTTCGCGAAGCCACTCGCGTCCGTACCATCACCACGTTTTATTAAATCTCATCTTCCCTTATCTTTGCTTTCACCGAATATTCTCGACGCTAAAGTGGTGTATGTTGCGAGAGATCCCCGAGATGCAGCCGTCTCTTTCTACCACATGGGCTCGTCCTTGAGGACTATTGGCTTCCGAGGGGACTTTAAGACCTACTGGAGTCTGTTTATGAGGGACTTACGTATGTATATAAAGAAAAAATAATTAAACTAAGCATACAAGATGTATGTAGACAAACAGAAGACTGAATTTAGTTCCGAATTTCCAAAAAATAAAATCGGTCGACATCTTGTTAAGATGCTATATGACCTAGGTATTTCACATTCTATTAGAGAACCTCAGATTTTTTGTACTCCTCTGTAGTAAAAATAACTGAATAGGAACTCTACATAAAATACAACATATATACTTCCACTAGTGGCCAATAACAAATTGTCGGGTCTTGATTTAATTAGGTACTTAAAATCTACATCTTGTTAATCAGTTAAAGCTGAGAGGAGTTTTCCGGAGTGATTTCTTATTCATCTAATGGAATCTTCCGAGTGTATTAATTACATTTATTTATTAATTTTAGTTTATTGGACACCATTCTTTGAACACGTAAAAGAAGCGTGGGAGAAACGCAACCATCCAAATCTATTGTTTTTGTTCTATGAGGAATTACAAAAGGTTAAATATTCAAAATATTAATAGTGCTTAATTAAAAAAAATAAGTTGCCGAGAGACAGACTACATTCATTTATATGAATTGAAGCAACAAGATTGTCAATTATATTTTACTCAAATTGGAACTAGTCAGTAGGCTGTAGAGTTATGTGTAAGTAAAATCCAGTTACTCCGTGGGACAAACACATTTATGTGTCCGTTTCGTTGATCAGTTTTACAGTGAAGTAGTTGGTCAGACTTCTTAGCGCTACCGTTCGAAATAATCTAGTGTTTTTCTGGGAGTCGAACGTAGGAATTTGCGCTTGCGCAACACGTTATCCGTTTGACTGGTTATGTAGCTTAACATAAACGTTACAATACCGAATTTCTTTAACTATTGTCCTTTAATTATTTGCAGGATCTGAAAAGCGTGGTTCTACGAGTATCAGAGTTCTTCGGAAAAACATATACAGAGGAACAGGTGCTAGCTTTGTGCGACCACCTCACTTTCAGTAATTTCAAAGCCAACCCAGCTGTAAACAGTGATTTATTGAAAGACATTGGCTTAGTACAGCCCACCCACGAATTCATTAGAAAAGGTAATCATTGGTAATAATTAAAATCACAATAAAAAAGTTGAACATTAAAAATAAAAAAATGGTTTATAATACAATTGGATAATGGACAATTTTAACCTACCGCTTCTAGTTTACAAGTCAAAATATATATAACGATAATCAGCTTTCACCAAAAAGTATGTTAAGGACATAATATACCTCCTAGGCACGTGATTCACATCAATCTTCCCAGGAGAGTGGTTTTGGATTCTTTTAAATAAAACACTTTAACGGTTTAAAAAGCGATATATATTTGTTAAACTTGTTTGAAAGTTATTTTAATTACGGCCCGAAGTTTTGGATGCTTTGCAGCAGTAACAACTGATGTAGGTACTGCGCGTTTTAAACCGTTAAAGTGTTTTATTTAAATGTGCACTACTCCCGTAAACTACAGACAGTATTTCATTGAATTATTTTTATCTATGCAGGCAAAACTGGTGGATGGCGCGACTACTTCGATGAAGAAATGATGGTACAATCAGACAAGTGGATAGCAGATAATCTTCGCAATACCGATCTGCGATTCCCAAGCATGCAATAACTCTGACTATGTTGTATAATTATTGAGAATTATTTTAACATTTTGATCTATACAAATTAAAAATCTAAAAAATTTACGATTCGGGCAGGACTTGAACCGGCATACTCAGCGTTCCGTAACCTGTTGCTCTAACTAATTGAACCAAGGCCTGCTCGTGTCGTTATTTTTTAAAATTTAAATTTTTTAATTCATATAATGCCATCATGTGAAAAATGTTATAAATTCAAATGGTCATCTATTTTTATTTTATTCCTACGGCGTTTCTCAGACGAGGCAATGTATATGTTAGGATTTAATTTTAATAATAAATTATTGCACGAAACGTTTTTTAATTTCTAAATTAATTAATAAAATATACATATTTTTTATTTATTATAAAAGTCTGGATTTAATGCCTAAGATACAACCCTTTTAGTATTTAAATAAAGCAAAAATGGTTTAAAACGCGAAATATATTTATTACTTATTTAATAACGGCCCGATAGATTTAAAGCTTACGGTTTTAGGTTTTATTTAAATGTGTACTCAGCGCGTAAACTACAGACAATACTTACTTATTAGTTATATTATTTTAATTAATCACTTTGTTTATGATAAAAACGTTACATTAATATAAAAATTCCTGCTTAAGAACTTCAAGAATTTACTAAAAATATATTGTAGGTGCCTTACTATGAATAAAGTTATTAAAAACGAGAAATATCTTATTTGTGTATGTAATGTAATGTACTGTAATGTAATGTAATGTACTACTCCCCTAAACTACAGACAGTAAGTCTGTAGTTTAGGGGAGTAGTACACATTTAAATAAAACACTTTAACGGTTTAAAACGCGATATATATTAGTTAAACTTATTTGGAGATTATTTTGCATGCTTTGCAGGGGAGACTAAAGATGGAGGGTGTCTCTAATGTCAAAGTAAAAACTGCTACGCTAGCGCCATCTGTTCCATTGTTTGCCAACTACGACAGATGAAATCTTATTTGGTTTTAGAAAAATATCGAAAGAGTTTAGGGTTCGTTTTTGACATACCTAAATAGATAGATAATATTTTACCCGATATGGTGCCAGAGTTACCGTGTCTCACAAATATGAATACCAAGTTTAATGGGAAAAAAGATTAAACTATATATGTAGTTGTATTGTCTGTATTTTACGGGGGTAGTACAAATTTTATTAAAACACTTTTAACAGTAAAATATACGAGTTAACTTATTTACAATTTATTTCAATTACGGCCTCACGTTTTGGGTGCTTTGCAGCAGCCGTGGTCACGGGGAATAACAAAAATAATTAAATATATTATTATCTCAATAATTTATCAATGAATAAGATAGTCGACTATCTTACATTGATAATAGATAAAATACCTTCAATTCGAAGCGTATTTTGTTTCGAAAAGGGGGAGTAAAACATCGGAAAAGTTGACAAATACTTTTTTTAATGCATCCGAGCTATATGTACAAAAATGTGGACAATAATGGCTTGGACATCTGACGGTCGTGGGTTGGATCCCCACCAGCTCCATCAAGTTTCTAATTTTTAGATTTGATTTAAGTGGTAGGAATATAGAAATTCCGTCCGGGTGACGAACCACCGTCCACAGATGAAAAAGCCGCGAGGCTTAATCGCGTTTCGGTTTTAGTCTGTGGATTTCGACAAAGCCAAAATAGGTCGACAGCCTTCTTGGTTAGATGCTATGCTGGCTGGGGTGTAGTGACCATAAAATACAAACTAATAAAGAGTTCCTCCTAAGTCTATCCTAAGAAAACTTTGTCATATTATAGACTAGATTTTTTTCTTTATTTTGTCTCTGACGCCATAGAATTTGATAAACTAAATTCTGATAAACAGTGAAATCCATATAAAGACAACTCACGTAGATAATATAGCCAGTGTTCAAATTATATCAGCAGAAGCGGTATTATTAATTTTGTTTACTGCCAAAGAACGTGTTAAGACGTAAGATGGCGAATCTTTACCCTTTCGAAATAAAAGACATCGAGCCGGAGACGAATAAAAAGATGATGAAGTACTTTTCAGGTGAGTCATGGTCATGGTGTCTGCAGTTCACGCGAGTAGTACACATTTAAATAAAACACTTGCACGTGCTCACAGGAAGACTGCTGCTACAAAGCATCCGAAAGTCGAGCCAGTGAACAATTTTCACAAAAGTTTAACTAATATATTTCACGTTCTAAACCGTTAAAGTGTTTTAATTAAAAGTAAGTCATAATTTCACAAAGTTCGATTCATCCGATATTCGGTCAGTATCGTGAACTTACTTTTGCATGACACTAGCAAGAGAAGCATGTAGTTCCCTCGATGTAAGGCGTAATACCTCAGCCATATAACATCTAAGCAAGAATTTCAAATATTCGTAAATGTACAGACCCAGAAACGCGATTAAACTTCACGGCTTTTTCATCTGTGGACGTTAGTTCGTGACCCGGACTGAATTGCGATATTCCTATATCCCAATTTCCATACGAAGTACATGTTTCTGAAAATTATAAATTGATCAGAAACATATTCGATTATTGGATACATACAAGATTTGAGATATACAAACATTAATTAGCACGGTAGTTTTATTTACGTTTCTATTCTAAATATAAAGAATTAAGTATTTTAAGTAAAAATAAATATTATATGCTAATATAATATTTATTACCAGGTCTGTTACTATAAAAAAATGTTGTTAAATGAAATACAGGGATTTTCTTAAATAAAACACTTATAACGATTCGAAACTGGCAATATTAGTTAACCGTGACTATAGTTGTAGCAACGTAGAATTTAAAATAACTTAACTAATATATTTCGCATTTTAAACGGTTTTATTCATATTTGAACATCTCCTGTAAACTACTACTACTTTCTGGCTTCTAGTACAACCTAAGACTCAATGTAAACAATACTTTTTGGGAAATAAAGAATGTTTATTGGTATACTCAGGGGAACGTGGCGGTTTCATCAAAATTGGACCAAAAGGTTACGTTTTAACCAAAGCCTTCAAAGACATGGCGGAGATCATTTACAACATGGAAGTCAGACCCGACGATGTCTACGTTGTAACTTACGCGCGTTCTGGTAAATTAATTATGCTTATTTTTTCCACTAATCATTATTAACAAACAAAATTATTAGTCTCACAAATACACTATATATATTTAACTTTCCTGAAATTTAATAATAATAAATTAATCTATTTTTTTCAAGCTACCCACCTATCTTTGCTTAGTTTTTATCTTTTAGTCACTAAATACCCAGTCCTCTGTAACTTAGGTTTTAACATGTATAAAAGTGAAACATTACAAGTTTCATTTGTATACATTGAGAACATCAATGTTCATCAACGAGAGAGTGCGTCTAGAGGAATCGCAGGTTCGAAGGAGAGGTCTTCGAATCGTATCAGCGTCACATATTTTTGCATAAAAATTACTTTTATACCTCAAATTGAGTTATTTATTGACAAAGATTCACTTTAGGTACAACATGGACACAAGAACTAGTTTGGATGGTCGCTAACAATTTAGACTACGAGACAGCAAAAAAAGTTCAACTAACCGAAAGATTTCCATTTTTAGAGTAAGTCTGTAGTACTTGTAAACTCGATTATGTAAAATCGATTTAAAATGTTTCTTTGTCACGTCTCGTGATTTGACGCCAGCATTGCCATTGTATGCGCATGAGTTGAATTAGACACCGTACGGTCATCTAATGCAACTCCTGCGCATGTATGCGCTAGGCTCCTGACGTGTTTTTAGCAATGTATTGTGTAATCACACCACCCAAGATTTTTAACACACATTATATAGATTTACTACTAGTAAATGCTAGTGAGAATAAAGTGATAATACAACTTTATAAATATGCCTTTACAGACATACAATGATGATCCACCCAACTTTAATCGAAGAAATCAAAGAGATGAACAAAGGAGACGAAGAAAAGGTTAAGATAGTCGATCTATTTTCGAAGCCAGCGTATGAAATACTGAATGCTGCGCCGTCGCCTCGATTCATTAAATCACACCTTCCCTTATCGTTATTATCACCAAAACTCTTGGACTCCAAAGTTGTGTACGTGGCTAGAGACCCTCGTGATGCAGCAGTATCCTTCTTTTATTTGTGCAAGTCGGTTAGAACTATGGGTTTCAATGGAGAGTTTAAAGAGTTTTGGAAGCTATTTATTAGCGATTTACGTAAGTAATCTATACTAATATACATATAGAGCTTGTTTGTTAGAACGCGCTAACCTTAGGAACTACCGGTTCAAATGAAATATTTTTGTGTTAGTAAGAGCATTTATCGAGGAGAAGAGTATAGGGGCTGCAACAAACAGGAGCATGGCACTAAATATGGCCAAAGAGGGTGGAAATTATTTAACCTTGTGGTTTCCGTTGCGTACCCTGCGACAACGTTTCAAGATATCCAAAAAAACATTCAATATTATTGCTATCTAAAAAATGTCCGCCACAGTATATGTCTATCTTTCAAGATTAACTTGCAAGAGCGATATGACGCGGATGTCATCGTGGGTGACGGCTTATATTTATAGAGTTGCACCAGAGGTTTGCAGAAACAAATTTAATGCCCAAAATATTTTTACTATTTTACGCTTGTCTTCATATATTCCTCATTGCTATTCTTATAAACCTATACTTAAAAAAAGATATAATTCGCTTTAGATTATTGGACACCATTCTTCGAACACCTGAAGGAGGCGTGGGAGAAGAGGCATCACCCGAACCTGATATTTTTGTTTTATGAAGACTTGAAAAAGGTATTAATTAGATTTCTTTTAACATGCGTTGAAAGAGTATTATCTTGACAACCTTTGAGATAAATCAACTTGGTTGTGGTAATCATTGTTGGTTTGATGGAAAATAATATGAACACCTCTGCTCGTCACTAATGTTAAAGATTTAAGTTAATGAGTAAAATGTAAGTAAAATGGCTCAGAAACGTAAAAGGTGTTCCTTATTGGTTGCAGAAAAGCGAAACATTATTAATTATGTTGACCAAAATCCCATGATGAAAAAATTAGACATAGCTAAAAAGCTCGGGATTCCCGCAAGTACATTGGCTACACATTTAAAGATAAGTTTTCAGAAGAAAGTGGTTTGAATGTAAACAGCAACAGATTAAAATCATGCGAGTACAAAGACGTAGGAGAATGTGTGTAAAATGGTTAAAACAGTGCCGAGACAAAAAAATCCCAATCGGATATCGGAATCTTTAACCTCTATATAACGAATTTTAGACCAATCTAACCTCAACATAACAAACCTCAGTTTAACGAATTACTTGATATAAGGAATATTTTCTTGTTCCCCTCTGATTTGTTATATCGAGGTTGCACTGTATATTGTCTGTGGTTTACGCGAGTAGTACACATTTAAATAAAACACTTTAACGGATTAAAACGCGATATATATATCAGTTAAATTTAGTCTCCTGTCCGAAACATAGGGCCGTAGTTAAAATTAATTTTCAAACAATAGTTATGATAATATACCATTTGATGTACAGGATCTTAACGGCGTAGTGCGTACCGTTGCTGATTTCCTCGGCAAGAAATACAATGATGAAGAAATAGCTACTCTCTGCGACCACCTGGACATCAAGAACTTCAAGTACAATAAATCGGTTAATAACGACATTATGAAAGACCTGGGCTTCATGTATCCAAAGGAAGAGTTTATTAGAAAAGGTAAGCTTTTCAGTTTTTCGCGGTTCCGGCGATTATCTACTTGTATTATAATTTCGAAAGTAAACTAAATTTAAAATAATAAACTTTAAATAAAACGCTCGTAATTTAAAAATATATTTTTCGTGTTTTAAACCGCTCAAAGTTTTAGATAAATCACGATAAACAGCATTCAAATATTGGTGGACATGCCTCATAATATAATTTTTTTTTAAAATAAAACACTTTAACGGTTTAAAACGCGATATATTAGTTAAGCTTATTTGAAAATGATTTTTAAATTCGGCCCGACGTTTCGGATGCTTTGCAGCAGCCATGATCACGGGGAGACTAAAGATTGAAGTCCACTAATACATCGCGTTTTAAACCGCTAAATTGTTTTATTTAAATATATGTGTACGGACAGTATTGATTTTTTTTTCCTCGAGAATGAAAAACATAGGGTGCACTCGATGAGAGGTGAACCACTCCAGTCATATAACATTTGAATAAGATGCGGCATGTCGACATATTTTAACGTTAGCTGATTATTATTAACTATAGGCAGTCATTTTAGGGACCTACCCTGACCTATTGTGACCGCCTCTGTAGCTAAATGGTTAAACGTGACCATTGCGTTAAGCGTGAGAGGTTCTGTGTTGGAATCTCGGGAGCAATAGATTGTTTCGGTCGGGCAGGACACAGAAGTCTGACCAACTACTTGCGTGCAAGACCTGATCAGTGAAACGGACACAAGAATGTGTTCGCCCGTTGCCCTACGGGGGAAGCGGGACTTATACGGGTCTATTTCTATCTTATATCTACCATTTACTGGACTGTGTGATTTTTCTGCAGGAAATACCGGCGGTTGGCGCGACTACTTCGACGAAGAGATGACGGTAGAAGCGGATAAATGGATTGCTGATAACCTACGAGATACAGATCTTCGGTTTCCAAGCATGCAATAGATATTGAAAACAACACTATGTGAAATTGTTGAAGTTGCGATGTTTTTCACATTTGAAGTATTTTAATATAAATTATGTTAAGTATATTTTTAAGTGTAAATTGTTATACAATAAAGAGTACCTCTAAAGCTATTGTTTTAATCTAAGCCTACTTTTGGGTGACACACACCCTTACAAGTGTGTGTGTGTGTGCGTGTGTAATAAAAGTAGTTAAATGACATTTTACTAAAAGTGATATACTAATAACAGAATGATCCAAAATATCGTCATCATACACTTCTCGCACCCTTAACTAGAGATAATAGGAAACAACCATCTATGCTAAATAAATGAACAAATAGAACCTCTTCCAAATGAATGTCGACGCAGCAAAGTGATCTTAAATGAAAATTCAATTTTCATGTTTTTGCTATTCGTTGTACCTAATCAGATGCAAGGCCACCAGAAGGACCCAATAATAATAATTAATGAGGCTTTTTTGTTGTTTTACAATAGTTGTTGGTGATATATTACATTAAATAAATTTCAGCTTAGAATATGTTAGTAATTTAAATATAAGTGTCATGTTCAAAATTCTTATAGATCCTCCAAAGATGCCCATTTTTGTCAGTCTTGTGCTACGGTGTGAAACCCATATAAATTTTACGTCTATGGAACCAACAATTTCGTTTATTATTTCGTTATAACTAGATGTCTGCAGTTAATCATTGAACTGTTAACAAGCAAGACAGGTTGGCGTGATTATTTTGACCACGAGATGGCAGTACAAGCGGTCAAATGGATCGCTGATAATAATCTACGGGATACCGACCTCCGTTTCCCTACCATGCGGTAACTACCACACTGCCTATTAGAACCAAAAGCAGACACATTTCTGTGTCTAGTCAACCCAGTACACTGAAACTATTTATAAACATACCTAAACTTTCAAACTAATAAATTGAAGCTAGAGTAGCCTAACTTTATGATTTGATTTATTTATTTTTAGAGTCTAAAAATGTTAATCTACAATAGCACAGTGACGGAAAATTGTTTAGATTATTTTCAGACACATAATAGTACAAATTCATTTTCGCATAAGTTAATTGCGCATTTTTATTACATCACGAAAATCACGTTTTCCATTAGGCCACTCTGCCTTTGGCAGCCTCAATTGTAAATCATTTCTAGCTTTTTACTATGGTCCAACAATCTGGAAATATTTTTGCCACATTGTTAGATTAAATGGAGTGCTTCGACTAGATGTATAGGAAATTAGTAATGCATTTGTTAAAATAAATTGCATACATAGAAATACTTTTTGTAAATATAAAAAAAAAAAACAAAAATATGTGTTGCTAGTTTATAAATGTTACAATGTTACTTAAATACTTACAAAATACCAAAACCTCCTTCCTTTTTTATTATTCTTTATTGTTTTTTCTCTTCATTTTATCATAACTTAGTCAAATCAAACAAAATAAGATCGCGGTTCTTTAATATAAATCTTATCATATAGATGTCAGACTCTATTAAAAAGACATTTAAGTATTTAAATATATTATATACCTATTGTAAATAAATGCCCTATTTACTTTTCAACAATCCATAAACATTGAAAAATTAAAGTAATACTAATCCAAGATAATCAACTCGAAAAACGCTGTTCAAGTATGACTAAGCAACTGTTCCAATATCAAGTGCTTATCACTGTCAAATGTTATTGTTTTGATAAGCTCTGATATAATCGAGACGTAATATTTTAATAATGTTGGTCGCAGGTTAAAGTCTTAGAAATTATCAACGTCATAATTGAACTTTGCACCGTCATGTATGTTGTATGTTACAATCGTGTACAAAGTTCAAATGTATCTGTCGAAAATATTTTACATATCTTATGTATAATCTATATTTTACTGTAAACATTCTAAAATATAGTTTTTTTTTGATTTACACAAAATAGCTCAGCACGTGTGAGTTCCCATTTTCTCACACGCAGATACATTTTTGTATCTTTACTCACACAAATAAAAAATAAAAATTATATTTTACCCATTTCTATATATTTCTTTTTATATTAAGTTTTTCAAGCGTATATATGTGCAAAGATTTGTACATCTATACGCTTACGTATATACTACAGCGGTTATCAACAAATTTTTATTATTACCAACAATATATTTCACTCCTTTTTAGTGCAACAAAATTTATGTTTTAATTACAAATGTGAAAAACATAGTTATAAACTTATAAAATGCTTAGTCATGTACCAAATTTATACTTTTGGTAATCTATTGAAATATTAGATTACCTTACGACTAAGATTGTCAACGCAAAATGCTATCGTAACAAATAAATATGCAGAGATAAGCGCAGGGATTTAAATTCGACGCCTGCAAATGTTGTAAGGCAAAATCTATATTGATCGTTCTCTCTCTAGATAGATCTAGATCAAAAATATATTTTTAAAAGATTAAGAAAGGAGAATATTGTATTTGGGAAGATGTTTATCGTCTTCTAAAAAAAAACCCGAAAAACATTACAAACAGTCTTCCCTTGACCACGGCTGCTGCGAAGCATCCGAAACGTCGGTCCGTAGTTAAAATAATTTTCAAACAAGTTTAACTAAAACACATCGCGTTTTAAACCGTTAAAGTGGTTTTATTTAAATTAGCAAAGAAATAAGAGGGACAAAAACCGTATTCTTTGAAACTATACTATATATTGTGCAAGATTATTTCAGTATAGATAAACATTCCGTATGTTCGGTATAATGCATATAATATAAACATAATAAAAACTCACTTCAAGATAATTCTATGCCAGTTCTTTTTAAGTCATAGCAGATTGTGTTGATCTTCGGTAGGGAAATAACCGTTTACAATGTCGAACAAAACTTATCCGTTCGAAATGAAAGATATGACAGCAGACGAGGCAAAGAAGTTGAAACTGTTTACAGGTGAACCTTTGATAATTACCATGACATTTAAATAAAACACTTTAACAGTTTAAAACGCGATATATATTAGTCAACTAACTAACGTACCATCGCGAATTTACAGACATCATTTAATTCATCAGTACGGGCTGGAAAATGCAAGTAAAGTTCGAATAAATAATATGTATATATCGCGTTATAAACTGTTAAAGCGTTATATTTAAATGTGCACTCGCGTAAACTACAGACAGTATTTAATTACCATCATTGTTTTATTGATAAATTGGGGTTGGCAGTTCTTTGATTGTCACATGTCGACCTCGAAACATTGAGATCGTTGCGTGGGGTCGTGAGTTCGACTCACAGATATCTGACAAACTTGCCAGAAACAAGAACCGATTTCGATAAACGGGCAAAGCACAAAATGTGCTCGCCCCACGGGGGAAAACAGGATTTTACTCTTAATTCTCTCTTGATCTCTTCTTATGTCTTAATTTTAAACTAAAACACAAATTTTGTTTATATAGTAATATTTCAGCAATTTATTAATACTATTGTCTACTAAACTACTGTGTACTAAGAATAGTAGATGGGAATAATATTAGTAGACCGTTGATTATAACATTATTGATTGAATGAAAGATGGAATTTTTACATTATTGCTTTGTGACGGGTTCGATTTCCGTTCGGAGTATTTATTATTTATCTGTATTTAACATGCTTTGCAATGTATATTTTTAGCTTCGATGGCCACACAAATAGTGATTGAGTTCGCTTAAATCAAAAAGATTTAACTTCACTATCCTTATACAATGCACGTGGTATGAAAATCTTTATAATTACTTTAAATAATTTCGGTCAAGTGCGAGTTGAAAGCAGTCTCGAAGGGTTCCGTACCTACTCGATAAACAACAGTTTGCACATTTTCAGATTCGTTATTGATAAACAAATTTTGCATTTTATGTGGGACCCCTTGAAAAAAAAAAAATTATGTCGTTTTTATACGTTTTCTTTTAAAAAATGTGATAGTTTCTTAAACCATAAAAAATATATTTTAATCAGTATACTCGAAATATTATAAAACAACAATTATATCTAATCTTTATGTTGGATAACGCGACAGTAAAGATGTTAATTTCACCTTTATATAAAACAAATGCATGTGTGCATATGGACTTAAAACAAAATGCTTGTTACCAACAAAATGCCCAGTGTCCAATGACCCTTTGTTTTAACTGATGGGTGTGAATGCCTAATGCACACCCACGTCGGGCAATAGTGACGTGGGGGTTGTGGTAAATCATAGTACCAACTCCTCTGAGAAAATAGCCGACCAAAACCACTAAACACACTACCAGCCCGCGACAGTGCTTTCGAGGGAGCCCTGGGAAATCGTTTGTACGACTCCAAAGCTCTCAGCAGTGTCCGATGACCTTACGACTTGCATGAAGTGTTTCGACGATGTTAAATGGCGTGGTCACGATTATTTATTGTATTATTTGTCTATAATTATATGTAAAATATTAACTTAAATAAAACACTTTAACGGTTTAGAACCACGGCTTTTGCAAAGCATCCGAAACGTCGGACCGAAGTTAAAAATAATTTTCAAATAAGTTTAACTAATATATAATTATAGACTAATAATACAATACAATGTGTACTACTCGCGTAAACTATAGACAGTATTTAAAAGATTAATTATTTAAATAAAACACTTTAACGGATTCAAATGACTGTACGAGTCAAACTTATTTGAAAATTATTATCTATCTATACCTGTACTAATATATAAAGCTGAAGAGTTTGTTCGTTTGTTTGAACGCGCTAATCTCAGGAACTACTAGTTTTAATTGAAAAAAAATTGTAGGTTACAGCAATTATTTATCGAGGAAGGCTATAGGCTATAAAACATTGCGCTGTGACGAATTCATTCCGAAGGAGCAGCGGAAAATCCAGTAAAAACGGGGAAAATTAATCATCTTTGTAGGTTTCCGATGCGTACACTACTAAATTGATTCACGATACACAAAAAATATGTACGAGAGAATGATTATTCTTTAATTTATCAAAAAAAAATGTCCGCAACAATATTATGTCTGTGTTTTAAGATAAACTCGCAAGGGCGGGAATCGAACGACGGGTCGCGTCCGATGACGTAGGTTTCAAAAACAATTTTGTATGCTCAAAATAACTATTCTACGCGGAGGAAGTCGCTGATTAAGCTAGTAACTAATGTATTTCGCGTTATAAACCGTTAAAGTGTGTTTAAAATACTAGGTACTTGCGTAAGCTACAGACAGTATTCATGTAAAATTTTAAAAGCAAAAACCTGAAAGTACTCTTTTGATTTTATGTTTTTATCTTATTTTGATATAATTCTTATCTTAAAACGATGTGGATTGGCATATCAAGTTATTATGTTTGTTGGTTTTACCACCGCGATGGTAAATGATAACTCCATTTATTTTACAAGACAGAATAAATATCTTAAATATTAGCTTTTTTAAATGTATAAAGTGGAAGAAGAAAACAATAAAAACTTGGAAGAGTGCTTGTGAAATGGGGAAAAGCACTCGGCATATGCTTCACCACCCAGAGTAGGTGGAGGTAGGAGGGGAAGCGCCGGTTTCCAGTTCCCTCCACGGATAAATATGTTTGTCAAAGATACCTACAAAAATCTGTAAAACCCGTTACTTGACTAGATTTTTTGGGAATTGCAGGAAAAAGTACATAAAACAAAATCTATGTAAAACTAGCAAGACAGTGCGAAAAATAGTGTCTATCACATAGTATAGATAAAGTTTTCGCAGCGCACGCAACGGTCTCAAAGAAGAATATTTTCCCTCTTGTTTTCACATTTCCACTGTTTTCGCTTCTATTGGTCGCATCGTAACGTTTTACAACCTTCATAATTTTTTTTTAATTCGAACCAGTAGTTATATTAGATTTATATTTAAGACAATTATATTTACTACTAGCGACTTCGTCCGCGACCCGTCGTTCTTGTAAATGAATTGTTTAATATAGATATAATAAAGTGTCGCGGACGTCTTTTTAGATCATTTAAAAAGAAATAGATATTTCATACATATTTCTCCAGCCGTTTCAGAGAATCCTTCGTGCGCGCGTCCGACTCGCACTTGGCCGAAAACAAAAGTGGCCTATGTTACTCCCTATTACATCAGCTATCTGTCCGTGAAAATCGGTCTAGCCGTTTCTGAGATTAGCCGGAACAAACAGAACAACATTTTTTAAAATGTTGTTTTGGTATGTGTACCGTGTTGTTACAAACAGACGCTCCAATTTTATTTATTTGTATAGACTTAGAATTAGCAACAGTTCATAAAAATGATACCTTTGATTTTCAGGGGAACTTGGAGGTTTTATTCGCGTTGGACCGAAAGGATATATCGCAACGCACAGATTTAAAGAAATGGCCGCTGACATTTACAACATGGAGATAAGAAGTAGTGATGTGTACGTTGTTACTTACGCCCGATCCGGTAAGAAACACTTTTATAGAGAAAACAAATTAGTTTTTATAGTTTTGAATTTATAACTTATTTTATTCATAAACACGCTTAAGTATTTTAGATCTTAAAAAAATATGACACTGACTTAAATCGAACCCCCGATCGTAACAAGTACACGTAAACAAGCTATTGATAGATTTTAACTACCGCTGATATATAATTTAGTTATAAAACACAATTTAATGAAGAAAATTTGCGATCGGTTTATTGTTTGCAAAGATTAAAGTAAGCGCGGTCTAACGACGACCCCGTTCTGGCACAGCGCCATCTAGTTGCGGGTCGGGTGACATATGTATAACACGATAGTTCAATTTGTATAGGCGAACTTTTCTACTTCGTTGATCGTATATTCGAGTCTCGACGGTGGCACGAACTTTAACATCTTACAAAAATACGTTTTCATAAACATAAAAAATGATTATTAACTACGATGTGTAGTTTACGCGTTAGTACACATTTAAGTAGAACTTCTTGAACGGTTTAAAATGCGAAATCTATTAGTTAAACTGATTTACCATTTTTTTAACTACTGTCCCATTCTTCACCGTGTCCCATGGCTGCTACAAAGGATCCGAAGATACCTTATAACCCGTCCTAAAGTTTTTTATTTAAATTAAAATCCTTTATATGACTTCATTTTCCAGTTAGTATAAGCTATCTTGATTTTTTAAATATTTTAGGCACAACCTGGACTCAAGAGCTAGTGTGGATGGTGGCAAATAATTTGGACTACGAAAAAGCTAAATCCTTAACACTCACGGAGAGATTCCCATTTCTAGAGTAAGTCAAACACGTAATTGTATTAAAAAGGATTTAAACAAAATACGCTATTTAATAAAACTTAGTTTAAAACGATTTTTTAGTTAAACTCATTTTTTCATGATTTTTTTCCCCCGCCCGCCGTTTCCGCTCCTTTTCTCCCCTTTTTTTTTCGAAACGTAACGGACCGAAGTTAAAAATCATTTCCAAATAAGTTTAACTAATATATCGTTTTTAAAATTTGGTTGTTTTTGTTTTTAAATAAGTTAAAGTGTTTTAGTTAAATGTGTACTACTCGCGTAAACTATAGAAGTATTTAAAATACGCTATTTTCTTGTTTAAAGAGAAAATTACAAAGTTTGTTTTTCTTTGTACATCGCTGTGGATGCTTAGGCCGCCTTCCTTGATAAATTATTTTTATTTTTATAATTAAGTGTCTGTCTTCTACTTAGTTTAAATAAATATGTGCAATGAAGAATTTTATTATTAATAATAGTAATAAAACACTTTACTGAACAAATACATAAAATACAAATATAGTAATACTGAATTCATTATTTACATAAGAGTTAGTTCAAAGGCGGCCTTATCGCCTATCACGATATCTTCCAGGCAACCTTTCTATGAAGAAAAGTAAAAGAAAATAACAATACATGAGTATCCAACGAGACTGAGAGAGAATTTGCAATAAATTGTACATTTCAATGATATCTAATACTAACACAACAGAAAACGTTAGCACACTAACAACAAGTAAAAACTTAAGATTAAATTTTGATCTTACAAAGATGCAACTTTAAACATAATAAAAATATAAGACAATAAAAACAAGACTGAACAAAACGTTCAAGAAATTATTGTTTGATTTTGCCCTTGAAGGAGTTAAGTGTTTGTGAGAGCCTAATCCCGGGTGGCAGCTTATTCCGTAGACAGACAGCCTGTACAGAAAAACAGTTTATTATTATTATTAAATAAGGAAAGACTTACATATATTGCCTACATACGAGAAAAATCCACGTTAGAAATAGAATCTATAAAGCTAAGGAGTTAATATTGAGTAGGTACACAATAAATTGTGTGGTCGAGCCTATGTATATTGCAAGTATATAAATACCTGATACTTGTACATAACTAACATTCTATGATTACACAATGTTTATATTAACGGGTTTTAAACGAGTATTTTATCTTTAGGATTTTTAATGAAACATTAATTTGTCCTTGAATTTCAGATTCTCAATGATGGTCCACCCAGACATGACGAAGTTCTTCAAAAAACAGAAAGAAGGTGACATAGAGAAGCAGAAGCGACTAGAAGTTGTCTCTTCTCATATCATTGACCGCGTAGCAGCTGCACCATCTCCTCGCTTCATCAAGACCCATCTACCACTCACTTTGATGCCGCCAAATTTGCTAGATGCTAAAGTGGTTTATGTAGCAAGAGACCCGAGAGATGTCGCTGTCTCCTTCTATCATTTGTGCCGATCTATGGTATTTATGGGATGGTCAGGCGACTTCAAGTCCTTTTGGGAGTTGTTAATAAACGACTTGCGTAAGACTTCAACACCAACATGATTCAACATTCTATCTCTAGTCTATATCAACTATAGTCTATGGAGCATCCTGTATTTTAGCAATTTTATTAATTAGTAGAACTGAATTGTTTTTCGCGATTATCTAAAAAACTAATTCTAGGTCATAAAAGAATGAATTTAGTGAATTATGTAATGTAATGTTTTTTTTCTTAAACTCGTTTAAAGTGCCTAAAAATGTATTTTCATTGGATTATTTTGAGTGGTTTTTATGTATGAAAAGTGGTATTGAAATGTTTTTGTTCCTAGTATACTGGACACCGTTCTTCGACCACTTGAAGGAAGCTTGGGAAAAACGCCACCACCCTAATTTGCTCTTTTTATTTTATGAGGATATGCAAAAGGTAGATTAACTTACACGATTATTTTCAAATGCTGGACAGAATAAAATGGGTAACATTAAGCTTACATTATTAAACATTACATAATTAGTGCCTTCTTGTGCAATAACATGTAAAAAAATAAGGTAAAGTTTTCAAACATCATTAAATTAATATTACATTAATTTTAATTTTACTTTTTATGAGAGACCATGAAAAACTTAAATTTGAGAAGTGATATAGGCTAGCTATAACATAGGTATATATTATATATAGTATGTAAAAAATTTTAAACCCCAAACAAAATTTTTTTTTCCCCCCCCCCCGGTTTGGGTTTTTTTTTTTTTTTTTTTTTTTTAACTTATTTTAAAGCATTTATTTACTATGGAATTATAAAACGGGCCGATGTTTCTTGGTTGGTACAATCACAACTCCTAACTGTTGAACATATGTCTCAAATCATTCTGGTTTTTGCAGGACCTTCCAGCGGTGATAAACCGCGTCGCTGACTTCTTGGGCAAGAAATACAGCGATGAGCAAGTGGCACAGCTGTGTGAGCATCTCAAAGTGGACAGCTTCAAGAAGAATCCCTCCATCAACAACGTACAGTTCAAGGAACTTGGTTTGATGAAACCAAATGAAGAATTTGTTAGAAAAGGTAAAATACTGTCTGTAGTTTACGTGAGTCCACATTTAAATAAAACACTTTATTATTTTAAAATGCGTCCACAACGTCGTGTGGTAGTTAAAATAATTTTCAAATAAGTATAACTATTTTTTATTTATTATTGCTTGATTATTTTTAAAACAACCCACAGAAAATACATATTAATGAGGTAACATCTCACGAACTAACTTATAAATAAAAGGCGGCCTTATCGTAAGTATCTAAGTAGCGATCTCTTCCAGGCAACCTGAAGTACAGGAGAAAAGAAATAGAAAATGACTTATTTAGTGGGTAGGTGTAAGAAATAACACAGAATATCAACGGTACACAGTGAAAAAACACACAACGAATAAGAGAGAAACTAACTTAAATATTGGAAACGCAAAACTTATAGAGCAAACTCTTAAAAAAACTTAACTAATATCTATCGCGTTGTAAACCGTTAAAGTGTTTTATTTTAGAAGGTATATCTTAGAAAATCATCAGTCCTGTCTCAATCCATACAGGATTGATAAAGGGATCAAAAAAAAATATAAGTTTTTTCAGGGTGTGTCAAAAAGAAAACCGGGACCATATTAATATGATTACGCTATGTCTCTGTCACCGCGATTAACGGGCTTGTTGGTGTCATGGTGCAATTTATGGCTTTCAAATAACGGATCGCGGGTTCGAACCTCACCGAGTTGAACATTTTTGAACTAAAACATTTTCGACTTCGCCTGGAATCATAAAATGGGTGGTAGGACAATCGAAAATCCGTCGTGTGGATTTCCGAATATCCAAAGACATTGTTTGTTGGCCGTATTTCACCATCCCTCAAGCGAAACTCATGCTTTGGCTGTTCCCCCTCATTAAAAAAATGTAAGCTAGGAAACGTTATACCTACAAAGTTTTCACGAATTATGTATCTATTAGCATTATAACAACTCTGTTAAATTAAAAATCGATTTTGATTGAAAAATATTTACGACACAGGCGGAAATCGAACCAGGATCTACAGCGTTTGTGCGTTGCCTTAAACAATTGATCTATCCTGTTCTAGACGTCATGTTTTGTTAGTTGCAAAGTTAGTTCTTCAAGGTAATACTTTATATTATATATTAAAATATGATGCAGGTAAGTCGGGAGGTTGGCGCGACTACTTCGACGAAGAGATGACAGCCCAAGCAGAGAAATGGATGGAGGAAAACCTGCGCGATACTGACTTAAGATTTCCGCATCTACAATAGGAAATTGCGTCACCGTAATGTCAAAGTTATTTTGCGCGTAGTATAAATTTTAGTATTTATTTATTTAAAATGTATTACTTACCCAGGAATAAGAAAAGTTATTAAAGCAATTGAAAACGATGGTATTGTTTTATTGGAACAATTTAAAACGCGAAATATATTAAATAAACTTATTAACGAATGAAAATTATTTTTTAACTTCAGTTCGACGTGACGGATGCTTCGCAGCAGCCGTGGTCACGGGGAGACTAATATGTTTCACGAATATATCGCGTTTTAAACCGTTAACCATCACTACTTTATGTTTCTGTGTGTTAATGAGGTTTAACAATATATTTTCCACGATTATTTGTTTTCCGAAAACCTGCTTATTAACCCAGACCGATTAGGAAGTTGTGTTCTCATTTATTTTGCTAATTCACAATTACAGTTATTAAACTCTTTATAATGAAGCTCAAGGTACTGACCATGAATTCAGGAAAAAACCCAGCGTATCTTAACATTGTTCGTTTCATAGAAAACGTAGTTACTGAAATAGAAAGTTTATTTCGTCTAGAAGGGTCCAATTTATACAGATGAACAATATATAGGCAAAAAGGGAAGGGTCCAGCCGTTCTGATCATTGTCTTTGGGGGACGCCTTTACCCTGCAATGGAGTCCAATCCGAGAAGAAGCAGAAAACTAAAACTGGATCGAAGTATAATTTATCGGTAATAGAAATTATTTGTGTATTGTAAAGCAAAAAAAATTATAATTTATAGATTGTTAATGCACCGGAAGCAGCCAAGTGCCGACCACAGCGAATTCTAGTTAACCCTAACGCAAAGTGTAAATAATATTTTTTGGACAATAAAGAAATGAATATTTGTATTTACAAACAATAGTTTTGGAGACATTCCATTAATGTACATTAATACAAGAAGTACACAAAATATAAACTGTTTTAAACGTAAACAATATTAGTTATTGTATTTTTAAGTAAGACCAGAAATTTGAGTTCTTCGTTTAATATTTGCAGTAGTATATAGTTTCTAATATACTTACGTGTTATAATCGTGATAATCTTTGTTAACAAGTTTTTTACTTTCAAAACTTTAATATTTTTCACATGTTATTGCACATGAAGGCACTATATAATTTAAAAATGGAAAATAAATTGAAAAAAAATTCCGACTCGGGCAGGACTTGAACCGGCATCGTCAGCGTTCCATGTTGTTGCTCTAATTTTTTTACCGTCTCCAATATGCCGCAAATAATCAAGGTTTTTTTTAAATTATGTTTGTTTTTCATGATAAAGGATGGGGACAAGCACGGTGTTCATTCGATTATAGGTGAGACCCCATCTAAACAACGATGTCGACCTATTTTGGCGTCGAATCACAAATCCACGGACTAAAACCGAAACGCAATTAACATTCATAATTAGAAACATGTTCGACCCGATGCGGGTCGAAGCCCACGACCCGTTGATTATTTGACATACATTGTACCATACACGCATTACACCAGCCATTATTTATTCTGAACATTTCTAAATCGGTGTTTGGAAATACTGAATAATAATTTGTGGTGGGAATATTGAAATTCGGTTTCCAGCTGATAAGCCACAGGTAGAAAGGCCGTGATATGTAGATTCTACCGCGATTTAGTCAATGGATTTCCAAGCCCAAACATAAAGTCGACAGCAGAATTGAAAACGCTATACGACTACCTATAATCGTATTAACACCATGATTGTGCACCCTCTTCTCTTATAAAAATAAAACTCCAACTTCGTTTTTAAAACACCCTGTATCTATACAAATGTATTAGCGCACAGTGATATAATTAGTTGTATAAAACGGTTATCCTTGATATGTATTTTTTAGTTTCTATTCAAGTCTTTCATTATAAACAGATTGTATAGTTTTTGCAACATATATTGTGGTGTTTATAGATAATAAAGTTATATGAATAAATAAATAAAAATGTCGCACAAGTCCTATCCCTTTTGAAATTAAAGATTTGTCGCCGGAGGAAGCGAAGAAAAATTAAAACCATTAGAAGGTAAAAATAAATTTCCCCCCCTTTTTTCCCCCCGTACTCCCCCCCCCAAAAAAACCCCCTTTCCCCCTACACCCCCCCCTTTTTTCCCCCCCTCTTTTAAAATAACTTCCCCCCCCCCCCCCCCCCCCCCCCCCCCCCCCCCCCCCCCCCCCCCCCGGGGCCCAAAATGGGGGAAACCCCCCCCCCCCCCCCTCCCCCCTCCCCCCCCCTTTCCCCCCCCCCCCCCCCCCCCCCCCCCCCCCCTTTTTTTTTTTGAAAAATAACATTAAATAATAGGCAGGCTTTATAGTTTATATCACACGAAAGGAAGGGGAAGAAAATACAGTTTACGAAAGTATTGTTTGAGGTGTTGTTTGTCTTTATGGGGGTAGTACACATTTAGACAGGAAATACATCGTTAACTTATTTACAATTTCCTCCCCCGTGACCACGGCTGCTGCAAAGATTTTTTAATAATATAGAAGAGACAGCCAAACGCCAGGGCACTGATGAGAGGTAAATTACAATCATACTCCCTTCCAACTCCTATTTTTTTTAAGTTCGTAACTAATATGAACGTCGGGCCGTAGTTTAGTAACTCGTATATAAGTAATTTTTTATTTAAATTGTGTACTACTCCATAAACTATAGCACAGTAGATTTAAATATTACAATATATCATGTGCAACGTGAAACGATTAATAATTCAAGCGTTAAATTTGTTTGATTTCACCTTGAATAATTTATTAAAGTTTAAGGTTAAAACTATATTGCACGAGACGTGCCCAATGTTTAAATCGATTGAGCCGTTTATAAGAGCAACGTTAGTTGCATGAGCTAATAATAGTGAGTTCGAATCCCGCCTGTGTCATTTCTTGGTTTTTGTGTGTCTTTTCTCATCTTCAATGCTCTGACTTCAGGAGACCGTGGGCGTTTCGTTCGCGTCGGACCCAGGGGTTACCTAACAACGCACAGATATGAAGAAATGGCTGCTGATATTTATAACATGGAGATAAGACCTAGCGACGTCTTCGTTATTGGTTATGCTAGATCAGGTATATAGAAATATGATTATAAAAAAATGTAAGACCAGCATTGCTTGCTTATAGCTAGTGAGCAGTATTGCAATTAATGATTTTTTTCTCAAACATGCATGAATGAAGATGCGGTACGAGTCGAGCAAGGGCATGCTGTACGTGTTTATCGGCCAAATAAATAAAAATTTTAAAAATACCTACTATAATAATTAGGACATATTTGTGATAATGTAATTTAAAAATGAAACGATTTTCGTTTCCACAACATGGCGACCAAAGAGGTAACTTTGCAAAGGTTTAATTTAAATTTCGAACTGGCTGGCGCAAAGAGATATGTTCAGTGAGAAAAAAAATATTTGGCGCGTAAAGCGTAGTAATTCATTGTTCGTCCATTTTGTCATTGGTTTTAAAGTTCTGAATTATACAACTTAATTTTAATTATCGCGCAGTTTGGAAAAATTATGTATCGAAAAACATACTAAAACAAGTCTTGGTCGCAAGGAATGATGGATTTACGTATGTGCCACACGTTTCACCCGTAAAGTACTGACTAGAAAAATAGCTACCTAGCTTAACTTGTTAGTCATTCTTTATTAAAATTTGTTAATACATTATTTTAATAAATGAAAAATCAGGGTCTATAAGCCTTGCAGACTTGCAAGTTCATAAACTTGCGTCGTATATAAAAATGCCAATATCGTGAAAACGCTTATAGACAGAAAAATAGGACATCTAATGAATTTGAAAACTAATATTTAATAGGCACAACTTTGACCCAAGAGCTGGTGTGGATGGTGGCTAATGACATGGACTATAAGACAGCTAAATCAATTTTACTTATGAAGAGATATTGTTTTTTGGAGTAAGTTTACAAGAATAACTAATATAGTTGAATCATAGTATTTACTTTCGTAATCTTTTTATGAATTTCAATTAGTTTTTTAAGTCATTTGGTTAATTTTATTTGGTTCAGTATATAAATAATCTCTTTATTAACACAAAGACTTGTACATAAATAAATAATTAAAACCATTTAAATAAAACACTCTAATGTTTTAAAACGCGATATATATTAGTTAAACTTATTTGAAAATTATTTTCAAATTCGGCTTGACATTTCGGATGCTTTGCAGCAGCCGTGAACACGGCAAACAAGGCAATTTTCAAACAAGTTTAATTAAAATATATCGCGTTTTAAACCGTTAAAATGTTTTATTTAAATGTGTACTACTCGCGTAAACTACAGATAGTATTTAATTAAAACCTTCTATGGGAAGAACAAAAAATACTTTTTTAAACTTTGTGATAAGAGGTGTCAGACTCAATTCGTGCTCAGCATAGCTTGAGAGACACTGATTTTTAATCTGTCCCTTATCAGATAGCAAGTAGAGATTTAAAAATTTAAACACTTGGAAACACTTTGTAATGAAACTTAAACAAAAGCAAGTCTAAAACTATTGTATAAGTAAAGGAAGAGTTATAAAATTTAAAACGTCCATAATACTTTATAACAAACACAAGGATATAAAAATTCGGGGAACTACATATATTAAAGTAATAAATGATAACCTTTTTGTAAATCTCAGGTACTCAGTAATGATTAACCCTGAAATGAAGGAGCGTTTCTTAAAAGAGAAAGAAGGTAATATCGAAATACAGAACGAAATAAAAGCGATCTCTTCTCATAAAATCAACGAGTTATCAGTGGCGCCATCTCCCCGTTTCATCAAGACTCATATTCCTCTCAGTTTGTTCCCAAGAAGCTTACTCGACGCAAAAGTGGTTTACATAGCGAGAGACCCGAGGGATGTTGCCGTCTCATTCTTTCATTTGAACCGATGTATGGTCTTTAAGGGGTGGACAGGTGATTTCAAAGCCTTTTGGAATTGCTTCGTTAACGATTTACGTAAGTATTTAATCAGAATTATGTCATTGGATTGCGTTTCTTAATGAAAGGTAAGTATTGGCGTTATCTATGTTTAAAATCAATTTATATTGAAAAAAATACGACACAGGCGGGTGTTGAACGGGCATCCACGGCATTCTGTGCTTTTTTATTATGTTATTATGTATGTATATTAGTTCAAAAAATCATGGTAGCTGTTTTGTCTTCTTGTGACGACACTTGCTATGTGCGTAACCTTGAGTTATAGTAAATGAACGAATATATCGCGCGTTAAACCGTTAATTGCTTTTTATGCCCCTTGTTCAGTTGAATAGCAAATATGTTTCAAAGCTAATATAAAGTATTTTTCTGCTGTCACATTATATTACCTAATGGATAAGTAAACAACCCCCTTTATCCCCCCTTTCTTATTATACCATGTATAAATTTCAGACTATTGGACTCCTTACTTCAGCCACTTGAAGGAGGCTTGGGAAAAGCGACATCATCCGAATTTGTTGTTTATATTCTACGAGGAATATCAAAGGGTATTGAACAAATAAGATTAAATTGAGCATGGACAAGTTAATGATTAATATTATTATTATATACACTTAAATATATAAAATATTATAATAAATGATGTTTGTGCAAAGTAAGCGGGTAAGTGTAAAGTGCAAAATCCCGTTTCCGCCATGGAACATGGCCCAGATGTTCACACTGAACTCTTTTATTTCCCTCCGATTTGATTTATTCTTTTTCCTGGGGCTCGAATCCAGATCCTAGATCTATCCAGTATTTTAAGTAGCTGACATTTCCCTACATTCCATATTTTACATTTCTTTCTTAACTATTATTAGGCGCAGAGTAAGGTTACATAGTCTTAAGTCTGCCTCGATAAATAAATAATCTATCCATGACAAAAATAATGTTTCAATTCAAACAAGTTCAAAATTAGCGCGTTTAAACCAACGAACAAACAAAATCTGCTTTTTTATATTAGGGTATACATATATGAAAGACCATATAACATGTTTTATGTTGATTGTATAGGATATGAGCGCAGCGATTAAACGTGTGGCCGAATTCTTCGGCAAAACATACACAGACGAGCAAGTAGGGGAACTTGGCGAACACCTCGACGTGAAGAACTTTAAGAAAAATCCGTTCGTCAACAACGACCGTTTGAAGGACCTTGGCATCATGCTACCTAACGTGTCGGAATATATCAGAATAGGTAGGTATAATCTTTAGGGCGGATATTTTTTGTAGCTGGGTGTCGAATCTTCCCATTAGTGAAGATTGGAGGCGGACATATTACTGAGTCCGTTGAATGATGATCGATTTTATAAACAATCGTTGATCATTTTGCGCGTCCTTTTTATCATACATTAGGGCAAACAAACCTGGGAATCACTTGAGGGTAGGCGAAACACTTGATCTTAATAAGTTGAACTATCAACGTGTTTTGCCTTTGGATATTCGGAAATCCACAGACTGAGACGCGATTAAACTTAATGGCACGGCACTGTTACAAAATTTCGATATTCCTACTATCCAATCAAAATCCAGGCTTTCCAAAAGTCCAACAATTTCGGAAATATATATGTCGATCGATACATTGACCCGGTGGGGATCGAAGCAACGACCATTGTTAGCCATTAACATTAGACCAAAGAGTGTAATAAAAAATTCATTCATTTCCTCAATTCAAATACTATTTATCTACACACATCTTATTGCATGCAGGTAAATCCGGAGGCTGGCGCGATTACTTTGACGATGAGATGACTGTGCAAGCTGAGAAGTGGATTGAAGAAAATCTTCGCGATACGGATCTTAGATTTCCAACTTTACAATAATTATCTAATGCCGGTTATAAGTAGACTTGCACCGCAGTAGAAGCGACACGTGCCGAAGAACTTACGTTTGGCTAAAATATTATACAAGGCGCAAGGTACTTTTATTCAGTGTTATTGGGACCGGGGATCTTAATTTTTTCTAAGCGGTGCTAACAAATACTTTATGATTAAATACTGTCTATAGTTTACGCGAGTAGTACACATTTAAATAAAACACTTTAACGGTTTAAAACGCGATATATTAGTAAAACGGGGGGACTCCCCGTGACCACGGCTGCTGCAAAGCATCCGAAACGTCGGGCCGAAGTTAAAATGATTTCCAAACAAGTTTAACTAAAATATATCGCGTTTTAAACCGTTAAAGTGTTTTATTTAAATGTGTACTACTCGCGTAAACTACAGACAGTATTTAATAAAATAAAATAATCGTGTTTTAAACAGTCAAAGTGTTTTATTTAAAAAATCAATCATTCATATCCGGGTCACGAACCTTTCGCAGATAGAAGATCGCTGAAGTATGTATATTTTGTTTCGGTTATAGTCTGTGGATTTCCAACGGCAGCATTTTGCAGCTGGACTAAAAATGTTGGGCGTCCCTAATATCAATTTTCTAGCTAGCGCCATCTGTTTTCTCTTAGCTAGTACTTACTAGCTTTGCATAAGGGACAAAAAAACTTTCATATTTCCAAACAGTACATGCTTATTGAATTAGTATTTTATACCGTTTATAAAATAAGGGCCTATATTAGCTGATAAATAGATAACATGAGAATACAAAATTATTGTCTATTCTAAAATTATAAAGATGAAGAGATTTGAAGGCGCTAACCTCAAGAACTACTGGTGCATAGAAACATTATTTTTACGCTGGTATGACCATTAATCAAGGAAGGCTCAGACTATAAAACATAGGGCTGCGACCGATAAGAGCAAAGACACAGAGGGTACCTAATGTGTAAAAAACGGGGACAATTTTTATTCTTTGAGGGCTGAATGTGTAAAAAAATTACTCTTCTTTAAATATTCCCGATAATATCTTTTAAGATTAACTCCCAGAACGACGGGCTGTGGACGCCGTCGTGTTTAACAGCTTTAATAGTTTATAAAGCTGAGTAGCTTGTTTGTTATAACAGCTTCTTTAAAAAAAAAAATAACGATGCCCAAAATAACGAAGCGAAGACTCGGGCACTAGTAACACATATAAACCAAAAGGTAGTCAACTAAGTAGGCATCGAAAGGAAAGTTTGAAGCGAAAGCGATTCTTGCTTTTCGTAATATGTAGGTCAGAAACGTTTGTTCGTAAAATCGAATAACCTTTGTATCACATATACAATTAACAGTAATTACAATATCGAACCATTTACGCTATCAGGTAAGATTGTATTGTTTGTTTGTTACCGATTAGAAATCAGTAGTGTTCTGGCAGCCAAGCAGAGTGAACGTGTTTAAGTTAAAATGCCGGAGCCAAACTATCCATTTGAAATAACCGATGTCGACGTAGATACGGCGGAATTGTTAATGAAGTACTTTACAGGTGAGTTTTAAAACGGAGTTTCTCTAGAAAGGTTTAGTTGCCTTGGTCCAAAATATTATGAGTTTCTTGAACGAGTTCTAACGGCGAATAAATTATTCGATATTAAACATTACCACGTAAGTCATAAGAATAAGAACGAAAGAGTTTTTAATGTACGATTGACTGTATAGTGCTATTTTTTTTTAATTAATACTAATATAAACACGTCTTTGTTTAATGTATTATTTAAAAGATATACTATATTTAAAATAAAAGACTTGTATCGCTGACAAAGTTAAATTAATTAGGTATAATGACAAAAAAACAAAAAAAAGAACTTAAATTTAGGTACATTTAAATTTTTTATTAAGAGCTATAAATAATCTTGTATTAGAGTAATAACACTACGGTACCTATATACATAGTGTGTTTATTTAATTGCCATATTTATATGCAGTGACTATTTCATTTCTACCCTGTATAGATAAAATTTAATGCTTTTCTAAGAGAATAAGAATTAGTATATACAATGCAATATTTTACACACATATAAATACATCTTTGTTGTAAGCATATTTACTATAATGCATTAACAAAAATAGACATAACATTTCTAAGAATAATTAGATAAAACAACAGTATTAGATTAAATAAAATTAACTAGGTATCATTTTGATAGAATTTCTATCGCTAATTTATCGAGATGAGCCATTTATAGTTTACTTATAGCATATAAATCAAAAATTTGGAATTCCAAACTCGTGTTTTGAATTCCAAACGCCAAAGTTGCCCTGATAAGTTTTATCGTCAGTTCGTTGACGTTTAAATACTCCTTAGATGGACATTATCTACTGTTTGGTGACATTTAGGTATTTTGTCCTCTTCAGATAATAAACAAATAATATTAACTCAATAAGTGAAATGCCGTTTTCCCCCGCGGGGCGTCCTCATTTCTGTGTCCGTTTACTGATAAAGGCAGGAAGTAGATCGTAATTTACTGTCCTGAACGACCAAACAATACGCAGAAGTCAAAACCTAGGCAACACGCTTGAAATATAGTTACGGTGGCAGTACGGAGTCAATTTGTTAACAATTTGGATATATAGAATAAATAAAATGTAATATTAAAAAAAAATACGTACTTTAATGGTTTAGGACGTTAAATATAAAGCTTATTTGAAAATTATTGATCTACGACCCGACCTTTCGGATGCTTTGCAGGAGCCGTGACCACAACTGTTTTCAAACGCTGCAACCTAATATATTTCGCGTTTTAAACCGTTAAAGTGTCGTATTTAAATGTGTACTTCTCGCGTAAACTACAGGTATTTAAAATATGATAATAAATATGTATATTAAAAAAAATATTGCCTAGTCTCTTGACATTTTTCTCTTTTATTTAGGGAGAAAGTGCCTTGTAATATAAAAATGTTGCTTCTTGACCGCAGAACTAACAAATGATAAGATAACAACTGTTAATCGCTGGTCTTTTGTTAGTAAATTATGTTATTAAATACTGTCTATCATTTACGCGTGTAGTACACATTTAAAGAAAACACTTTTACGGTTTAAAACGCGATATATAAGTTAAACTTATTGAAACTATAGACGGTATTTTCAAATAAGTTTAACTAATATATTGCGTTTTAAACCGTTAAAGTGTTTTATTTAAATGTGTACTACTCGTGTAAACTATAGACAGTATTTTCAAATAAGTTTAACTAATATATTGCGTTTTAAACCGTTAAAGTGTTTTATTCAAATGTGTTTTACTCGCGTAAACTATAGACAGTATTTAACTTTGTATGTATTACATTTTCTTTACAATTTAAGTTTAAGATACCAAAACTAGGTTCAAACAGTTATGTTAATCATTTTAATGACGGCTTACTCACCTTGATTTTACTTATACCTAGGTATCGCGTAATATATAAAATGTCAATGAAACAGCGTCAATATATTGTAGATACACTAAGCTGAACAAGATCGGAAATTATTAATAATTACACATTTAAATATTTGGTTTTGTTTTTTATGATAGAGGTGGTCAGATAAGCGTGGAGTTAACTTATTAGATGTTGAGATGAAATTACATAACATCACAATGAGATGTGCTGTCGGCCTGTTTATTCGGAAATCCAGGTACTGAACCGGTAATGCGATTAAACTTTGCATTATGTCAATTTTTACTAAAAAGCATTTGAAAAGTCTGTTTGTAGTTATAAAGTTGATACTAATTGCGTTCTAAACAGTTATCATTATATTTCAACAATACAAATATTGTAAATTACAAGATTCATTTGTAGGTTAGGTGTAGTATGTATTATTTATTTATTTATTAACTTTATTAATTACAAACACACAGAAATGGTTTACAACAATAAATTCTTATGTACTATGTTATAACTAAAACGCGGCCTTATCGCTAAACAGCGATCTCTTCCAGGCAACCTGGAGAGAAGGGAAAAACACTGTAACTATATGGCTATTTCTAAATAGTATCAAACAAATATAGTATTGTGTAACCGCCTGTTAAACAACAGCTGCAATCAGGCAAGTTAAAAGGTCGCTTTATGGTATCAGTCTGGATATTAAAATGCCATACAGAACAGCCTCCTGCATCAAAAAAAATCCACCAACACCTATTTGAATAGGGAGTGACACGGCAGTTTTTCTCGGGATCGCCAATTTGCCCGCCATACCGGCAAGGAGAGTAATGAGACTCAGGCTCACTCAAAAAATACTTTATTTTCACAACACAATGTTACAAAATACACTTAGTTAAATAAAAACAAAATGTAGCGAGGAAAGGCGGCCCTATCGCTAAAAAGCGATTTCTTCCAGGTAATTTTTTATGGCGATTCAGTCTATATATTAATATGAAAGGTAAAGCCTTACATACAGAAATAGTGAAGCTGAATACGTGAGTAATTGTATAAATAGTATATATGCGGCTACGTGCATTAAACAAAACAAGAGAATATTCTTACGAAACGGATTGGCTAAACATCTATAGCATCTAAACAAGATGAAGAAAATACTGTCTATAGTTTACGCGAGTAGTACACAATATTTAAATAAAACACTTTAACGGTTTAAAACGCGATATATAAGTTAAACTTATTTGAAAATGATTTTTAACATCGGCCCGACGTTTCGAATACTTTGCAGCAGCCGTGGTCACGGGGAGACTCATCATCAAATCATTTTCAAATAAGTTTAACTAATATATCACGTATAATAATCCACAGACTGAAAGCGAAATGCTAAGCTTCAAGGCGTTTTCATCTGGGACGGTTCAATAATATTCCTACCGCTCACCCAATTAATATCCCGATGTTCGACCCGGTGGGGATCGGACCCACGACCTGTTGATTATTAACCATACATTGGTAGGCCGTCACATCGGGCCCGTCGAAATTGCTATTAACTTTTTCTATTACAGTAGTGTTTAACCTTCGACCAATTTTCATAAGCCGTGAAGGTTATTTATTTGATTGTCGCAATAAGGAAATGCACAAAAGCGATATTAATTTCCCTATTGAGAATATAATACCATTTATACCGAATAAAAGCAAAAAGTTTTATAAAGCGTAATAAATTAGTCAGTAAGTATTACTTCGGAAAAATGCCATAATATATTGCCCCTTTAATTATTGCGAAATTTTAAAATTATTTTCTTAATTTACCAGGTAAATAGTAAAATACTATTTTGGATATTCACGTAAATAATTACGATTGCTTTTTTCGTTATATTGTTATTGTTATTTTCCGACGATACAGGCTGGTTATAAAGTTTTTACCAGACAATTCAGAAGATTTTTTTGCAATGAATAGATGAATCATTGTAATTAAATAATAATATTTGCCTACCGACATACCGACAGCCTTTCGTATTTAGGCGACAGCGGTTCGAGAGAAAATCATTTTTTATTCTATAAGGAAAATAACTATGCAATAAAAATGGATTAAATTCATAGAAAATTTTTAACGACACGGTCACGTCTTGAACTACAGCGTTTCGCCGTTGCTCTATCACGTGCGAATCTTCATAAGAAATAAGATTGACAATCGTTAATATTGTTTTGTCGTTCATCTATAAATAACACTTTATACTTATTAAGAAATCTGGGTTATATAAACTATCAGCCTTTTTACAAGAATCGATCCTGTTTGTGTGAATCACATGTATTCAGACTACATAGATATTTACAGACAGAGAACGAAGTGGTTCATCCATACAGTATATTATGTTGCAGGTGAAACCACCGGTTTTGTACGCGTCGGTCCCAAGGGATACTTCTTCCCAAACAAATTTAAGCAGGAGGCCATTAACTATTACACCATGGAAATTAAACCGAGTGATGTCTTCGTCACGAGCTATCCAAGATCAGGTACTTTTTTAACATACATACATTTAGTTAACACTCGTTCTGATGTACACTCGTTTGTGTAAGTAAACCTAGATTTAGATGACAAATCTTAACGAAATTTGGCAAATATATCTAGATATGATAGTAATGTAGTAACTATAATCTAGTTTAGTTTAGTCATAGTTTATATCCAATGGCTAAACATTTACATCAAAAATACATCATGTGGTTGATATGTCAAAAATTTTTGTTTTAATTTGAAGACACAGCTGCCGGTGCTTAGATTCCACGAAGTGAACTACTGTGTCGATAATCGTATTGTCAGTAGTTTAAGCATTTGAATAAAACACTAACGGTTTAAGTCACGAATTATATTAACTAAACTAATTCATAAATTATTCACCCTCCAGTCCCCACGTGACCACGACTGCTGCAAGCATCCTAAACGTCGTGCCGTAGTTAAATCATTTGTAAATCACTTTAATTCATATATCTCGTATTAAAACCGTTAAAGTGTTTAATTTAAAGATTCTTATCACTTTATTTTTAATCATTTCTATTATGTGGTTTAAAATCTCTCATTCTCTCATCTCATCATCTCATTTTTTTATTCAATTCAATTCTCTCTATTTTTTAGGAACCACGTGGACACAAGAATTAGTTTGGATGGTAGCTAATGACCTGGACTACGAAACATCTAATGCAATCCCTCTTACAGACAGATATCCTTTTTTGGAGTAAGTTTTCGCGCATCATTAATTTCTATGGCTTTATTTTGGACAAAATTTTAAGTGCGCAGTATTGACCCTCATAGGGAAACAACTGCAGCTAAAGAACCAAAAGGTTTTTTAATAATTTAAATTTCAGAATAAATCGTACTCAAAATAATTTAATTCACAAATTTCGTTACAACCGTTAAAAAATTTAATTTTAAATTCAAACCCTTGGTTTTCTAACCATTGTTTGTAGTAATCGTATAATCCACAAATTGAATAGAAGCAAGTTATCGGTTAGGTATAGAATAAGTAAGAATTTGCGAAATCAACCATAATAAATATACACCTACGTCTTAATTTGCCATCGTTTGTCTCACTCTCTTGTAAGGTACAAGAGAGTGAGATAAACGATCACTCATATACTCTCGCTCATTCTACATCGATAATATGAAATAATCTTCCTTGTTTAGCAAAAAGTAAAATATGTTTGTTATGCTTTATATATATTTAGTACTATATATTTAGTAGAGATCAATCTCTACTGATGCGACGCTGTAAAGTTTTATATAATCTCATTTTCTATTTGCATTGTTATGAGTGTTTATTATCTGTACACTGTGTGTTTAGCTTAATAACTTGATTGATAGCTTAGCAGTGAAGCCTTGTATGTAATGATAAAAGCTAACAAGGTATTGTTAAATATGACATTGAAAGAAATAACATTGGCTCAATGATTAAACGTTGCTAGGAAGAGGGCTGAAAAGGGGAGGGGAGGACAATCGTTTTGACAATCTAACGGACGCAATATGTTTATAGATATTAAAAGTTGAAAACATTTTCGACTCGAGCAGGACTTGAGCCGGCATCGTCAGCGTTCCGTGCTGTTCCTCTGACCAATTGAGCTACCGAGTCCTGCACCTCGTCGTCGATTTTTTTCAAATTATTGATACATGCACCTCTCGCGCCATGTAATTTTCAACCTGAACACTTGCGAATTAAGGTTCAATGTCGATTTTTAAATTTCTAATTTTTTCAATATATAATTTTTCTGAAACATGTTTGGACTTTTTTTGAAAATCTGGATATTAAATGGAAGGTAGGAATATAGAATTACTGTCCGGGACACGAAACGATGCTTAATCGCGCTTCGGTTTTAGTCTGTAGATATCCGAATATCCAAAGCCGAAGTAGGCCGACAGGGCATCTTGTGTAGATGACTGTGGTTCACCTCCCGTTAATGAACCTCATACTTATCCGTCCTCCTTTATCATTAAAAAAGTCTTTATGGGTATGTCCTTATGATTACAGATTTTCCATATGCGTTCACCCAGACAACATGCAGAAGTTCACAGAGGAGAACAGCCACGATGAAAGCAAACTGGAGTTATTAAGATTGGTCACGAAACCTGGCACAGAGCTGATAGCAGATGCACCTTCACCAAGGTTCATAAAGAGCCACCTGCCACTCTCGTTGTTGCCACCGAATATTCTAGACGCGAAGATGGTGTATGTTGCACGGGACCCGAGAGATGTCGCCGTCTCTTTCTATCATTTAAACAAGTCAATGAGGACGCAAGGCTATAATGGTGACTTCAAAACTTACTGGGAATTCTTCATAAAAGATTTACGTAAGCAATTTCGGCATACTTTTTGAATTATATACATGAATTGTTTTAGTAGAACAATAGATCAATTTTAAAAATCAATTCCATATTTCATATGATTTCTTTTTTAGATCACTGGACGCCATATTTTGACCATCTCAAAGAAGCTTGGGAACAGCGTCACAACGCGAATATGCTGTTCTTATTCTACGAGGAACTATCTAAGGTAGACATTTTGGATGATCGACTTTATATAGATATATAATCAATGTTACTATTCAAATTTGATAATTATTTGAAGGCCTCTCTAATATTAAGTAATCTATACGTTTAATTACGTTAAAGCCACTCTACATGTTGAAACTAAATTAAATTCTCTCCTCGAATCAAAAACCCTATCGTATATTTTGTTCTCGAGACTAGATCTTTCGTAATAACGAGCTCCGTCATATGTACACGCAACTGCATTTTATGTAGATACCTATTTGGAGTTAGCACCACTACTACTACGAAAAAAAACAAATTATACAAATGTCAACTTCCAACAACGTCGCGTCGCGTCTTGGTATGAGCTACGCCTAACACAAATACTAGTTTATGAAAGACGAAATAAATAATAACATGTTACAGGATTTATCTGCTTCGATACGTCGTGTCGCCGATTTCTTCGGCAAAACCTTCAGCGACGAACAGATTAAACGTCTTTGCGACCACCTTAGCATTGAGAGCTTCAAAAACAATAACTCTGTCAACTACGATGTGATGAAGGAGCTTGGAATCATGGTCGGGAAAAAGGAATTTATTAGGAAAGGTAATTAGATGAAATTATATGAAAGAGGCGGTAAGGGAGAAGACTTCCCCTTCTCCAAAATAACTTGCCAAAGGTACATTTTAGACCTACATACATCGACATAGAGTATTAATATTGTTTTTATACATATATATTAATTTAAATACAATTAGCTACTTAAATTTTAATAGCTATATACCATTTTAAGTACTTTCTGAAGTTTACCGGTGTCTGCGCTAGTTCGACTCAAATAATATATTTATAAAAAATAGAATATAATGTTGAATGGATGTATATTTTTGGCAAATATTACCCCTGTATGGGAGCCATTTTTTAACTGATGGTGTGAATGCCTAATGCACGCCCACTTCGGGCAAGTGTGACGTCGGGGAGTGTGGTTAATTGTATATAGCCGACCAAAACCACTAAATACACCACCAGCCCTCTACGGTGCTTTAACCCCTGGGACCCCCTGTATGCGAGCCTATGGTACGTTAAAGGACTTACCGAAACTTGAAGTTGAGAGGCTTGGAAACGCTGCGTAGCTGGTAGGTAAACAAACGACCACTGTACTTGCCGTCCCATAGCATAAGCGGCCAAGAGAGGTTAATCCACGACTGCCTACATACTACTGACGATCCATACATAGGAGGAAGAGGCAAAAAAACAAATACTATAAGAATTTTTTAGTTAAGTGAGAATTAAGAATGGATGGAAAGAAAGTATTAGAATTTTTACAATTAAACACGAATACCCGCACTGCCCATATTAATGGCCTAAACAACGCAAGTGTCTATAGAACTCACTTAATTAAATCACTTATAGCGGTTTTAAACGCCAAATGTATTAGTTACACTTAATTACAAATGATTTTAACTATGCCCGACGTTTCGAATGCTTTGCAACGGACGTGGTCACGTGGTTACTAAAGATGGAGGGCGTCCCCAATGTCAAAGTAAAAAACTGCGCCATCTGTTCCGCTGTTGGTATTTGGCGACACTGACTGGGTCCCTGAACCGACTTACAGTGTCCTCCAAAGACAGAAGATCACAAGAAAAAGAATACCTGTTAACGCGAGGACACTTAAATATTTTTATCTTTATATCTATAGTGATTATAATTACAATGATTAATTATAAACTTATATTGTAATTGTATTGCAATGTACTTAGTTAGTGTCATTGTCAAATTTGAATTTATTGTATTGGTAAGATATACCACCTTTTCAGCGTATATCTGCCGAATTTATTGCTCTAAACTAAATAAATTTTATTTTCAGGTAAAGCAGGGGGATGGCGTGACTACTTTGACGAAGAGATGACAGCGCAAGCAGATCAATGGATAAAAGACAATCTGCGCGACACTGACCTTCGGTTTCCACACTTTTAAATATCGATATCAATCGTGGATAAAAAATGCATTCTTAAACGAACATACTAATACAGGGAAAACTAGGATTAAAAGTAACATATAAAATAAATTAAAGTGTTAACGTCGAGGTTTTATTTATTGTTCTGTTTTATTAATGAGGGTAGTCTATTGCTTTGTTGGTTATACTGTCTACCTTCTTGTGTTAAAATTATAAAGTCTATTATGTGTTTCGTGATCTGTACGTTTGTATTTAAAATAAATGGAGGCAAAATAAAGAACCAAAGGGGGTGATATAACCATTTATTATAATAAAATGCTCTATTTTAGTATATTTAACACCATGATATTAAAACATTGACACATTAAGTAATAAATGTATTAAGTAAAGATTGTTTCTCTTAACTCCGCGTCTACATCGTTCCCGCCATAAATAAAACAATGCGTCAGTCCTTCCTCACGATTTTATTAAATAAGTCAAATAAATTAAAAGTATTCGTCATTAATATAAAAATTCTAAACGGACTCGAAAGTGGATTAGGGTCGAATGCGGGCCGCGACCGAATCGCGACGCAGGCTTTGCACTGTACGAGCCAAGACCAGAGGACTGTAACGGATCGACAATTTAGCGCGCTATAAACAACAGTCGAAAATAAACAAATTAACAAACATTTCGCTCGCTCGTACAATCCAGAGGCTGCTTTACATGAAAGCACAGTAAAACATTTAAGCAGTTACACAACTTGTCGTCCCTTAGATTACTTTCAGCCTTAGATATAGACACCTAGATCGATAGAGCACGGTCGACTGTATCTAAAGAGAAATCTCCACGAATTGAAATTGACAACTTTCCTGTCACAAAAACTTAATTCTTATAAATAATTAATAATTTTGCGGATAATAATAATCGATGTAGCCAAATACTACGGAACCCTGCTTGTGATAATGTAAACGGAAGTTGTCAATCCTCCGGAGAAGCACCTAGGCTTCGGGCCCCAGTTGTCGATGTGAAACCCGGAAACTTCTAGCGTTTTCGACTTATCCGGGGCACAGCACGTACTCGCGTGACTATTTGACTATATATACTGTGAAGCCACTAATATAAATCGGAAGGTACGCTTCCGCTAAGTCGCCGCGTCCCGGCCTTATCTATATTACACTTATAGAAAAATCACAAAATTCAAGCGAAGGAAATAATAGGAATATTGCGTTCACGCGATGACGTCCGGGAGAAGCGCGTTGTCGACCGGGGGACTGGACGGCTTGGTCAGCTCGGCCGAGCCGTTCAGGCCGTTCGCGATTATTTCCTTCTTGTTGCTGTCGCTCTTCTTGGGCACGCTCTTTACCGCCGTTTTACTGGCCACGGAGCTCTGTAAATGTTTTCAATATTAATTAATTACATAGAAATAGAACAGAATCTCAGGAAGAGAGAATCAGAGGAGAGAAGTCTAACATTTAAATAAAACACTTTAACGGTTTAAAACGCGATATATTAGTTAAACTTATTTGGAAATGATTTTTAACTTCGGCCCGACGTTTCGGATGCTTTGCAGCAGCCGTGGTCACGGGGAAACTTTTATAAAAATTATTAAATATGTTGGACCCGGTGGGTTCAATACCCACGACCCGTTGATTATTAGCCATACATTGCTACTATTGGACCAACGAGACCGTCAAAGTAACTAAGAATAAAGAAATGAAATTTGATACCTTTTTTAGGTTTAAAATAAAAGATACTGTCAAATTGATGTCAAAAATACTGTTCGTAGTTTACGCGAGTAGTAGTGTTCGAACATCGGGCCGGGAATATGATTTTCAAACAAGTTTAACCTCAAAATATCGCGTATTAAACCGCGATTAAAGTGTTTTATTTCAATGATTTTAAAAACGTTCAAGCGGTACCTTATCTACAAACAGCCGTAAGTAATCAAATGACAGAAAATGTGTTTTACTTGGTTAGTGCTTTACTACAATGCCACTATTATATACGTTTTATAACCCCCATTTTGTTTAAGCTTAAACAAAAAACACAATGTTTGTAATGTAGAAACTTGTAAACTTTACCTTAGCGGTTGCTGTCCTGGGAGGCGCAGTTTTAGCGGTAATGCGTTTATTCGCGAGATCTTTGCTCTGTTTGTCCAGTGGGGCTCGCACTGGGGGCTTAGCGGGAGCGGTTCTGAAACGTTAATTGAGTCATGAAAAAAATTCAATGTATATTTAAAAAAAGAGCATAATACTATTGAATAAAACACTTTAACGGTTTAAAACGCGATATATTAGTTAAGCTTATTTGAAAATGATTTTTAACTTCGGCACAACCTTTCGGATGCTTTGCAGCAGCCGTGGTCACAGTCAGTCGGTTAAAGTGTTTTATTTAAATGTGTACTACTTGAGTACAGACAGTATAATACTTATATTGTAAAATTATACAATATTCAGATTTGTATCTAAATGATGAAACCAGAATATAAAAATATTTTATTCTTTTAGTTACTTTCTGAAATACTCACTTAGCGGGTGCTGAAACAGGCGGGCGAGGCGCAAGCCTCGGTGCAGGTCGCGCTGCCGGAGCAGGAGCCTTGGGCGCTGGTTTAGCAGGTGGCTTGGCGTCCCCATTCATTAAGGGTTTCTTCTCTGGCGCCTTGGGCTTAGGTGCTGCGACTGTTTTTGTGGTCGCGGGGGCAGTTGTCTTGGCCACTGGAGGCTTGGCGGGTGCAGCGGTCGTTTTAGCTGTGACTGGTCGCGTTGTGGGTTTTGCTGCTGGCACTCGGGGCGCGGCAGTTGTAGTGGGTCTAGCAGCAGTAGAAGTGGTCGATTTAGCAGCAGGCGGTTTGGGTGCTGCCGGCTTAGTCGCCGGTCGTGGAGCGCTCGTTGTGCGTGCTGGGGCGGCTTTAGTAACTGGGCCCTCTTTGACGGGGGCTGGCGGCTTAGGGGCGGCCTTCGTAGGTGATGCAGGTTTAGGGGCTGGTTTCGAGGTTTTAGCTGTGGCGGACACGGGCGTTTTCGGAGCAGCTGGTTTGGTTGCCGCTGTTCGCGGCGTGGTCGTCGTTGACGTTGGCCGTTTTGTTGTCGACATAGGTGTTTTTGCTGGGGTTGGGGTCTTAGCGACTGTTTTTGGTCGAGGTGTAGGGGTAGTCGATGTAGCAGGAGCCTTCTTGACGGGTGAAGTTTTCGGCTTGGCGGCCAAGGCGGCTGCTACTGCAGCACCGGCTGCTGTTGCGGCAGCGACTGCCGCTATCGGGACATCACTTAATGGAGGTTCCGTGAGATCGACGGCGGGCGTGGGCGGCGGAGTCGTAGCCGGTGGAATCTCTTCCACGTGATTTTGAATTTCGTTCGTAACCGGAACGCAAATCTCTTGCGCCCGCGATTCGGGAATGCCTATGTCTATATCGGTGACTAGTTCTGAGCGTGCGTGCTCCGATACGATATCGGGGGCTGGGGCACTTTCACTTAAAAGATATCTGTGTTCAATGATGGGCTCATGTGGCACATTGCAATCCATTGATATTTCAGTTTCTGTTGCAGGCACAGGGTCTATTAACTTCTCAAATTCTTGTGATTCTACGGGCATTTCATTTTGTACATTATTCACTGGGAATGGCGATAATTGTGAAGGTTCCTTTGAGAGTTTTGATTCTATCATCTGGGTGTCGTTTTCTTCAACAGGAAGAGGAGACTTTACGACTACAGTTTCTTCTGGAATGGGTGATTCTGCTGCTATTGATTCCTGCACATTTGGCGTTGCCTCATATATTATTGTGGGTTCAATGGGGTTTTCAATTCTTTCAAATTTATCCACAAATATGGGAGAATCACTTACAACTGAATTTTCAGATATAGGTAATTCACTCTCAATAATTTCATCAACATGTACATTTTCTTTTAAAACAGGTTCTTCAACATGTATATCTTCTTTAAAAACAGGTTCCGCTACCTGTATCTCTTCTTTAAGAACAGGTTCAGCTACCTGTATCTCTTCTTTAAAAACAGGTTCAAGTACCTGTATATCTTCTTTATAAACAGCTTCATCAACAGGCGCAGGGGACTGTTGCTCAGGAATTAAATCTTCTACAACTTCAGACTCTACTGTGGATTCATAAGGCTTTGTGTCCAGCAAATCGTCTGTGATAGGAGAGTCCCTTTGGATGTGTTCATCGGGTAAAGGTGATTTTGGTTGATATGATTCCTCCACAGGTTGTAACTTGTCGCATTCTGGTTCTTCCACTGACAGAGTTGATTCCTGACCAACATTATCTTCAAGTATTGGTGACTCAGAAGGTGCTGGGGACTCTCTCGGTAGCGGTACTTCTGCTGGCATTGGCGGTTTAACTTCATCTAGTACTGAAGATTCTGTGGGTAAAGGTGACGTGGTTGGTAACGGCGAAGCTGCGGGGGACGCAGATAAAGCAAATCCATCGATTACGCCTTCTGAAAATGTTTCGTCATCATTTATTTCTTTCTCAGATTGGTGGACATCCACTATTATATTACTTTCAATTTGTTGTTCGAAAATATCTGGTTGGGCTAAATCTATCTCTGGTGTAATAAGATGTTCTTCAGAACTGGGGATATTTGCTAATGGCTCTGTGTCCTTTTCAATTAAGTCTTCATGTTCAATAATTGTAGACTCTATTGGCTCACTCATACCTGATGTTAGGTCAGGGTTAAAGCCTTCAGATTCTTCTACCTTTATTTCTGATTCCTGTTCCTGTGCTATATTTTCTTGTGGGGTTATGGCTCTGTCATCTTTTTCTCTCTCTGTTGGGTCTAGAAGTTCATCATTACTAAAACCTAATTCTGAGCTCTTACCATCTGGAATCTCAGGGATTTGTTCAAATAGTAACTTGTGTGACTCAGGTGTATCTGTTGGCACTATGCTCTCTTGGTTAATGTTACATTCAAATTCGGGAATTGCATCATTTTGCATATTGCTGGTTTCCAAATTGCAATTTGTTATATTTTCTTCAGCATAATTATTTTCTATGAAGTCATTTCTGTCATCAAATCGAATGATATCATTATTTGGTTCCTCGGTATTATCATTAGTTGAAAACAAATCACTTTGACATACAGGACTAACATTTTCTTTGTCCTCATCTTGACAGTCACCATTTGCTTCTATATCGTCATCATCTTCACTGTCAGGAAGAGGTTGTAGAGAATTAAGGTCCACCTGGGAGTCTAACTTGGTGAATCTTTCACATGTATCATCGTCTTTTTCCTGATAGAAGCTCATGCTCATTGGATCTCTCTCTTTGTTTTTAAGTCTCTCTAATAGATCGTTGTTGCCATCAATGTCAAAGGGATTTGTTTCGGTGTGAGTCTGAAATACCTGTAATATTGAAGACAACTGTTGAATATTTTGCATTTCATTTTCAGAACAAAAAGACACATGCAACATAGTAATTTATTTTTTTCTTATTGCTTTCACATAAATCCAAGTGTCATTTAAAATACTATTTCAATTACTAACCTGTATGTTGCAAAAGTCTGTTGTGTCCTTTTGAATTCGCTCAAAATCGTGTATAATACTTGAATCCTTAATTTTATCCGAATCGATGCCAACACCAAATTCAAAACTGTCCATATCACATTTATTATTTCCATTAAGATGTGCAGTGATGCCATCAATTGAAATATTCTGGAAAATAAAAGTAAACATTATGTAACCAGTAACAAAAACTTGTTATGTTATTAAGAAATAGATAATAATTCATAACTGATTGATGTGAAAATTTTCATTTTCCTTATCTAACATGTAAATTTTATCAAATAAATAATATGTAGACAGTAGGAGAGAACTAGTCTCAAAAACTAGTATACTGTACCGCTAGCAAAATTTTCTTTTTAATATTTATAAGCCACACTTCAAAATCATCATTTTCATAGTATAATCAGGCAATTTGTTTATCAGCTTTACTTTTAAAAATACATACATGATGTCCATTCAACTGATCACAGTTATCCAAGTCTTGCATTTCAGACGGGCGTCCACCCAGCTCAGTCTTAAATTGGTCGGCATCAGGCACCACTATATCCTCCATTGGTTGAGGTTTACGTGGTGACTCTGCCAACAGTATATCAGAACCGGCAACTCCGCCCGGCACGAACACTGGTGCATCTGGGTTCAACGGTGAACTGTTCATGTCTACAGAACTGCTTTCCCACGCTGACTGTAAGATAAAAGAGATTGTTTTGAGATATGACAAACACCTGATTGTAATACACATGTTTTATAAATAAATAGACAGCTTTCCAAGCTATAGATTCTAATAGAAAGAATGATCAGTACATTTTGTGTTTTTTATGAGTTAAAGTAGTTCCCTTTAACTCATAAATTGATAGATACACTGTTTGGATATTATTGTTTCTATGGAAATTAATAATGTTTATATAAAATGACTTTAATCAGGCCATTGCCCTTTCGTTTATGACTTTTGTTTATTAGGGAAGGGAAGCATAAAAGTTTATCACTGTGCAATAATTATGACATAATACATGAAAGAAATAGTTTGAAATGTTGTGTAATGAACAAGTCACAGCTACTGGAACAGTGCATCAGGTTTTAAAAAATGATGTTATGTAAGACTGACCAATTTAAGTAAAACAATGTGCAAATAATTAAGGAAGTGTTATACATTAAGCCAAACAATATCTAGAAATAAATTAGCCAAAAACTAGATAGACTATTTAGAGATATGAATAGCTAGGTGATGTGTTTTAGAGGTTTTTGGAGTTCAGTTTTAACAAATGCATATAGATGAATATACATTTTCCTTGTTTAAAATAGCAGCTAAGGAAATGACTAATAACATTATATTAAGTAGATTTATAAGTACACCACTTGTGAGTAGGGGAAATTAAATAATTATATTGTTGCACTTATTTAATATGACTCACTAAATCCTATGCAATTATAAGAAAAATGTTAAGTATACATTTAGACAGCTATGCAACTCATATAAATTTTTATTATAATTTAGATATATCTAAGTAAAAATACATGAAAGGACTCAGTACTATTATTATATACTAAATTTACATATGCGTCAGACTTACATTATCCTGACAGGGTGTCTCCGAATGTGGCGGTTCGTCGATCTCCTCACTTGGATTCTGCTCCGGCTCGCCCTCACCCTTGTAGTAGTTCCACTCGTCTTCAGACTCCTCACCACTCTCAGCTACATTATCCACCAGGTTTCCGTCAATGTGGCTCTCCTCCACTGCACAACACGCAATTATTAGACACGCGCACGAAAACACCAGGTGACAAAGAACAATGAACAACCCTCGTTCTATCAACAGGTGACACACCCTCGTAAAACCGGCTCGCGCTAAATCTATTGTTTACATATATCTTATATGGTACATACATACGTAAATGGACGTGTAAAATAACCGCCTTTTTAAGAATTGCGTAGCGCGTGCTGAGCGCTGGCTACCGGTCGCGAAATTTTAAAACTCGAACAAGTTTAAACTCGCGAAACTTCAGCGGACGCCATTGTGAGTGCGCCGGGCACGCCCGGTCGTCGAGTTTCGTCTCGAGTTGTTATAGACAAACACTTATTTTAAAGGACTTTGCGGGAATCCTGCGACCGCTGAAGGGATGCGCCATCGAACGATTCTATTTCCAGAACACCGCTCGCCATGAATCAACACAAAAATAACCACAAATACTTCGTGCATACGGAAATAATTTTGTCGATTCTGGAAAAAACACATACCACGTCAATCACGAGTATCCTCACAGTTGGGCCTTGTTAGTTATTTTCGGTGTCAAAATTACAGACAAAAGCCCGAATGAAATGCACGTAGCGCGATTTGAGAGCAGTACAGACCGAACGAGCGTTCAATTTGTGACTGAGAGCGGGACGGAACGATAGGCGACGGAGACGCGCGGCGTGAGGGGAGATGGTGCCACAGCGGGATGGGGTAAAAGGGGAAGCGATATTAATATTATTATACGTACTTATATTATTATTATTAGTGTACACAAATAGGTATTAATAATTTTAACGAGTCTCGCCTGCACACTAAATTATAATTCGAAATATCCGTAGCCAATTATCAAATTTATGAATAAATTATTTGTTTTGTTATTATGTTATAACACAAAATTCTTCTTTTAATGACAATTGACAATAGGGATGTGGAAAATATATACCTAATACTACTCGTATTATAATCGATTGTAAACTTATTCGATTATAGATTTATTATTTTGTAGTATATATTGGAATCCATAAGTTTTGTTTTTAATATTTTTTAATGTCTAAGAATGAGTAATAATCATATTATTATTATTTTAATACATATCGTTGTTAAATATTTTATTGTAAAGCACTTATAAATTAATATAAGATATACTTAGATTTTTTTTTACTTTACTAAGGTTTATGACTCAGGAAGAACACTATCAGAAAATAATTTATTTTGATAAAATGATATTATTAGTACACTTTGCGAAAAAAGAAACTGTAACTATAGACTGCTACAATGTACACTTAACTTTAAGGCACTGTACTCACCAGAATGAGCAGGTGGAGTCGGTGGTGCCGGCTCGTGGTTCCTCATTTCCACGTCGCCGTCATCAGCATCTATGTCGACGGCAGTCTCCGGTCCCAAGTCCTCGCTGTCACTGTCAGACACTCCATTGTCGTTCGCGCAGTCTCCACCAGCCGCCTCAGCGATAGATCCAGTGATTTTGCAAGCATCACCATCGATGGAGAACGGTGGTGCGTTCACCACCGCGTTGTCCAGCCTGTGGATTAGAATATTTAATAATTTTAAATTTACAAATGAAACAAAAATTTATCTGGTAATGATCTGTAACTAGATATTTAATGATGCAGAATTGTTTATTTACTAAATACGGTACTCATCTTTAGTTGTTTTATAGAAAAATAAATTTAAAAATCTGAAAAGATTTATAAAGTAGATAACTACACAAACATAATGTTAAGGATATTTTATCTAATACATTTAACTTGTCATTGTTTTATAATTTTATAATACATGGATACTTTCATTTTCATTCGCTAACCTAATATGAAGCCAAGGTCACAATATTGGTATTTTTATAGACAGATGAAGTCATACAACCAGTTTCTTGATAACGTTCGTTAAACTTTGTAAAAATACGTTATTTTTATCCGACTTCCGAGAAACGATGAATCAGATTATAATTGCTTATTAATTATAATAACTTTCAATAACAATTAATAACAATATTTTTAATAGAATTCTTATTAAGATAATTATAAAATTATCGTATGATGACATTATAGTCCTCTATTCACTATCGATTTATTTATTTTTAATTCAACAGGCTCATTGGAGCAATGGTAGCAATGAATGGCTTATAATCAACGGGTCGGGAGTTTCCCAAAACGCGTTGGAATTCATCTTGGATAGATATTTAATGGGTGGAATATAAATATCGAAAATTCCGTCCATGTCGCGAACCACCAGAGATGAAAAAGCCGTGAAGTTTAATAGCATTTTAATTTAGTCTTACGAACGTCCGGTTTGTGACACTGACAAACCAGAAGGTGCCAATTTACAAAAATATAGATGTATAATTAGTATAAGGAAAAGATTTCTGTATTACCCAAGATCCATGGGCGGGCAGTTTTGTGCGGCAATATCACGCGGGTCCTTCAAGAACACCACGATTATTGAGATATTGTCTTCCGACCCCTTCCGCTTCGCTAGGCCTATTAGACGCTTCGTCACCGCCTTTAAGTCATCTGTGAACAAAATAACAGATATAAGTATCGGCGTAACACAAAAGCGTCATCTAAAAATCAAGGAATCTTGAAAGAAGAGGCCATAAGTGAACAATAGACTTACGTAATAAAAGTAAAGAATACGTCATTTACTTTATTTACGAAACTCTACCAATAGCACTTATAGATTAAGGTAATTAAAAAAATTAAACGGTGATGTCCACCTGTGGCCTGATACACTATTGAGAGTGATCTGGCGGGTTCTCTAAGTTTCCTGTTATTTAATGGTTTTACATAGTTGCTTGAAAAATGCAACCACCTTGAGAACATGCAATTTATATACAACATCACTTGATGATATTTTAAAAGTTACGTATCTTGCAATTTTGTGTAAACAATACCATTTACCTACATATGCACATATAATGCATACATAGCTATATGTATAGGCTTTCTGCCTAATCGCCTTACGTAGCATTACTTAAAATAATGTCATGACCTATTGTCAGTGTTAGAAAAAGTGCGTATTAAAAAAAACAACTAAGGGTGGGTTGTTTCAAACAGTCTGTTACTTGTAACTACGAACGTTAATTTATATATTCTTTCTTAATAGGACCAAACGAACTAAACTATTTTATCTAAATTTGGAAAATCTTTCTTAAACCACTCCTTTTATGGGTAAAAATTATCTGGATATTTGGTACTACGTATATAAATTAAAAAAAACGATTATAAATTGAAAAATTACGACGGGGTCAGGACCTGAACCGTCATTCACAGCGTTCCGCGTGGTTCTAACTAATTGAAGTCAAGTCAAAATATATTTTAAGAATTGTTTAATTTCGAAACCCAAACATGATCCGACGCCTCTTAATTAGTATGATTTACGGTTAGAGCATTACAACATACATCTAATCATCAAGTAAAAAAAGTAACGTCTAGATTAAGTATTGTTAAAGCTACTGGCCCAAAGTCCCGGCGTCAGCAAAACAAGTAGAGTTTGTCTAGACATCGGACTTTGTACGAACTTAGTTGAATCGCGATATTATCGCTGAGGAGGGCAATTGACAAGTTGACTTTGAAGAGGAATACTTCTACAAATTAGAGGCTCTTCGTACCAGCTCTCTTTTATTTGTTATGCTAGTACTTGGCTTTGAGGTCTAATTTTAGGGTACTATAGCTTTATACTCAACCTTAGTGCCTGTATCTACTCAAGTATTGCATGCACTAGTAGTACACGTTTAGATAAAACAATTTTAACGGTCTAAAACACGAAATATGTTGTTTAACCTTTTTTCAACTAACGACCGACGTTTCCCAGTAGTCGTGGACACGGAGGAACTGCTTTTTAAAATTATTAAATGTGTTTGACTCAAATATATCTACTGTTTAAATAAAACACTAAGGGTTTAACGTATTTGGAAAGTATGTTACTATGGCCTGACGTTTCGGACGCTTTGCAGCAGCCGTGGTGACATGGAGACTAGATAAGTTTAACTAACATAATATATCGCGTTATAAACCGTTAGTGTTTTATTTAAATGTGTACTACTCGCGTAAACTACAGATAATTTAAAGTAAATATAAGCTCTGTCATTATAAAGAGCAAAATTCTGTGACACATATTTACAATTAATCTTGGTGTTTTTATACATAAATACCACAGTAAGTTCTCTTGTGTTACATATATGAGTTTTAATATTGGGTACCAATACACGGGCACGCGCGATCATAAGGGAATATTATGTGACCTTGAACAATAATTGCGAGGGGAGATCGCTCCGGGAACTACGATGATTAACAAAGACATTTCGTTGATTGCGACCATAGTACGGATTAAAATAACAGTCCTAGTCAAGCGTATGGAATTTCGAGGAACAATTAATTGACGGATTATAACTGCGCAAACGATTTTGCATTCTCAGTTTGATGATTATATATGTATTATTAGCTTAATAAACTGAAAATCTTGAGCTACTCCGTTGAAGAAATTCGACGATGACGTGTAGGAAACTAGTTGTATGGGTAAGAGCACGGAACTCTGTGGATGCCGGTTGTCCCGTCCTTATCATTTAATACATATACAAATTCTTTATTCACCAAAACTGTGTACATATCATTACAGGGTGTGCTAGCCCCCCACACTAGGATTCCCTGTGTCTGGGCGGCTAGACTCTTCCGGTGCATTTCGAGAAAAACAATGAAAAACTTAGTATCTACTATGTACTTATAAAGTTATTATATGCTAAGTATTTAAATAATAAAAAATAAACTTAAAAATATGGATAACATTTTGTCATGCAATTACCTTAATACAGTTTTCTGTTTGAGTATAATTTAATTTTAGAAGAAACACTTTAATTTTATTTAATTGGGAAGAATAAGAAGTAAGTGGGCTAATTATATTTTTATTAATAAATAAGTTAAGCAGGAAGGGACCTTTAAAAGTAAAAAATCGTTGGGCAAAAGAGGTGTGTTTGAGCGGAGTTCGGAATTGGACTTTTCGTTGTGTTAAAGATGTTTGTTCGGATGTTTTAGATTGTGATGGCGTTTTGAGTTTTGAGTTGAGATCTTTTTCAATCTAAATATATTTTTAATTTAGTGAACGCACAAAAGACAACGACAACATTTACAATTCATACTTATATACAAACATAATATAGGGTGAAGTAAATACAAATTTAATTAAATACACGAATATAGTTTCCTCTGAAGAGGACGTCACTCAGCTACGTTACTACTACTACTACAGTCCCAACATGGATATTCACCTGGTACCAAAAGAGACCGAGCTAACGCAAGCGAGAACGTTATACATGTTACCTGTTATACACAAACACTTAAAGGACTTACACTTATATATTAAAAATTGTTATAAACTATGATCTCAGCCACTGAAGGTACAAAATTTAGACAATTCAACCTAAATAAAAAAAAACGACATTTTCGAGCCATTTTTAAGTGTTCCTGGACTAAGTCATCACTACTCCTCCTACCTCCAGTGGTGATGGATTTCTCTAACAACTTCTGTTCTTAATCTCGATATCAGAACAAGGTAGCTTTGTAAAATGGAAAGTATACCACAGAATTTAAATAAACGGAATATAATTTAAAAATATACGCCTCGATCTAAACTAAATAAAAACGTCATCGCAGACAATGCATTTCTCAAGCGCGTCATTATCTTAAATCTCATCGTCATCTAGCGCCAAAGTGCTGTTGCGAAGTCTATTATGTCTCCAATTTGTTGCGGCACAATGGTGAATAGAGTTGTCGGGTATGGAGTAACGATGTTTGTGTTTCCATTTGGCAAGGCGGGGCGCAAGCATGCCCTTAGGCTGTGGTCTCCTATAAACGCTATAGCTCGCGAACTTCACAACTTCATTTTACAGAAATGGACTGTCGTTGACTCCTTCATTGGTATGTGGTAGTTGTAGCAGGAACGCGACTTCGGAAGTCCCTAGTTTTTTCCAAACATTTCACGCCAACATTCTTTGGAGTTCCCGGGGAAAAATTTTTATTTTTTGGGGGTTTAATCCCCGGGGGAAACCCCCCTTTTTCCCGGCCCCCCCCCCCCCCCGTGGGGGGGTTTTTTTTTTTTTTCTTTTTTTTTTTTTTTTTTTTTAAAAAAATTTTTTTTCCACCACCCAAAAAAAAAAAAAAAAAAAAAACCCCCCAGGAAATATGGGTTTTTTCTCCCCCAACTGGTTATAAAGCTGAAAATTTTGTTTCATTGTTTGAAAGCGAAATTAAAAATCTGAATATGTTCATTGGACCATTTTTCGAGGAATCTTTTAGACTATAAAACATCAGCCTGCGACCAATAGCGTGCGAACGAATCGAGGAAAAAGTGAAAAAAAAAAAACGGGGAAAATTACTCTCTACATCTTTGACGGCTTCCGTTACTTGCGCTGCGCAAAGGGTTCAAGATAATCCAAAAATATGTATGAAAAAATGAGGTTCTCTTTAAATTATCTAAAAAAAATGTCCTATACAGTATATCTCTATATTTAAGATTATCTCTCAAGAACGATGGGGCGCGGACGACGTAACATGGTAAGAGCTATAATTTATAAAGATGAGGAAGAGGTTCGAAAAACAAACTTATTTCACGCGGACGATGTCGCGGGCACAGCTAGTGTGTCTATTGGACCACAGTTTAACAGACACGGGTGAGTCATCCGCCATTGTGCCGGATATGTCAAATGCCTTTATGTCTGCAACACCTTAGTTATTCGACGCGACGTTCCATACATTGATATTATGATATTACCAGCTGGCTTTCGATCCGATGTATAAGGTGAGAGTGACTTTGATACTTTTAAAGTTGCCATTTTAAGTATTGGTCAACTAACGACCGACGTTTCGCAGTAGTCGTGGTCACGGGGGACCTTTTTTTTAAATTATCTATGTGTTTTACTCAAATTTATCTACTGTTTAAATAAAACACTTAGGGTTTAAAACGCGATATATATTAGTTTAACGTATTTGGAAAATATTTTTACTATGGCTCGACGTTTCGGACGCTTTGCAGCAGCCGTGGTCACGGGGAACACCAGGCCCGTTTTACTAACATATATCGCGTTATAAACCGTGATTTTATTTACGGCGAAAATAAATTGAAAAAATTTTCGGCTCGGGCAGGACTTGAACCGCGAATCGCCACCGTTCCGTGACTACCTACCAAATTGAGCTACCGAGTCATTTTTTCAATTTATTTTCGATTTTTAAATTATAGTGCCTTCATGTGCAATAACATGTAAAAAATATTAAAGTTTTCAAGTTTAAGTTAAACTTAAATAAGAACACCACCGTCGTACTTACTTTAATTTTGCGAAAGTAGCCGAAGCCTTCTAAAAGATTTGAATTTATAAAACTTTATAACTGTCTTTTTTTAATATAGAGGAGGACAGACAAGCATAGGGGTTCAATTGATGGTAGATGAAACCCCAGCCATTAAATGGCGCATAAGCAAGATGCGTAGTCGACCTTTTTTTTTTTTTTAATAATTATAGTCTCCGTGGGACAAGAAGTGAACACATCGCTGGTCGTTTAATGACCGATTTACTGGCAATTAGTAGATCATATTTCTGTGCTAGACCGATACAATCTATTGTCTCCCTTTGATTCGAACCGAGGACCTCTCGAGCTTAACGCAATGATACACGTTAACCATTTAGCTACATAGGCGGTTAGTATATGAGTTACTTCAAACAAGACATCGATCTACTTGTCATAGTCAGTTAAAAAACATTAACACGCAATTTCGTGAGAAAATTCCATAATATTTCACGGCCGCGTTAATTTATTTCGGGAGTGTCATAGTGGCAAATATTTGCGAATTGTGTCAGCGTATAAAATGTCTTTGTTAATTAGCCACCTGTAGTTCATTGGATGACAATGGCGCGACACGCCTAGTAACGGGGTGTGACCGATGCGGCCTAATAAATAATTAAGAAATATGTATGGAAATATATT